TCTTTCTAAAACTACTCCTCGACTGAGCCAACGAACTTCGGTGAAATAAGGGACATCAAAAAAATTTTCGTCCAAATCTTGTAAAAACTGCCTGAACTGTCGGTGATTTAGTCCTCTGCTCCTTATAAAATTTACTATTTTAATTATAGGTTGCATGACATGGTCCATTTTTAAATGTTTGAATGCTAATGATTCCTGATGAATTATACAGGGAAATCCCACAAAATTCCCTGATGTTTTCTGTTTTAATTTAGTTACAACTCCCGAATGTTTGCAAGCCATGGCAGGAGCGCCATCCGTAGTTGTGCTCCTAAGTATATTCCACTCGAAGATTCCGCTTGTTGCTAAGAAATGGCGTTACTGTCTATCTCTCTCACTTGTCTAGGCACGCGCTGCCCTTGAAATTACTTATAAATGTAGTGTGCACATTTTAAAACTTCCGTAGAGGAATCAAGTGAAGTCTAAAAAACACAATTCTTCTTTCTGTGATACATCGCGATCGCGGGCCGTATTGATACGAACCGGAGGCCGGATGTGGCCCGCGGGCCGTATCTTTGACATGACTGCCTTACACCATCTGATTACACCAACTGAGGAGATCTTTATCTGATTACACCGGTACCGGTCTTCTCCTCAGATGGTGTAATCGAGCGTTGCGATCGCCTATACTATTGGAATAATATCTTTATATTTTTAAGTATTTGATGATTGTAGTTTTCGTGTCTAAAAGTAAATGTTTTTCATTCGTTGAAATTTTATGCTTTGATTATGGCCTGGTAAAGTTTCGACTTTTTTAACCATACTAGGTATTGGCTATTGGAAATTCTCCCAGGTCAATTTTTAGCGTTGGCTTGGATAATTTTATTCGTAATACCTAATTAAAAAACTTATTTTGAAATTTAAATGCGTACGTTTCGCATAACACTGTGCTTACACGAGGATTGAAAAAAGGCGCCTGAACGCAGTCTTCTGACGTCACAAACCTGCGAAGAGGGAAGAGGCTTGTCAAATTTACACCATTCCAGATGTTAAAAGCCCCTCCTTGCAAAGATTATGCCCTGTTTCCATTAGCAAGTTAAGAAAGCTTAAATGTTCGAAAAACTGATCTAAGAATGCTCAAGTACAACTTAAGTAACCTGTTAGTAGAAACAGGGTATTTGCGGAAATTAACCACGTTGACTCTAAGAGGCAATCCTTCACGCTAAAAGAATCTAGCCTGGTTTCAGCTAGATCACGAGAGATGAGCTAGCTAGATCATAGATCAAATAACTTCAGCTAGATTCTTCTTGCCTTGCCTGCCTTCAGCAGACTAGAAGAATCGGAGGTGAAAAATCAGATTTTTGTTCCTCTTGTGACGTCACGAGTCTAATGTTAGATTTCGTGTAAATGGAGTGTAACGTGATTAGATCATAGATGATTTTAAATATCCTTGCTCAATTATATTTACTAACTATCCATGATGAAACTTTGGTTGCCGTCTACTAGACATCCGCTTGATATTCATAGAACTTTGCATGGCTGTATATCCGTCCATGAGAAACACATGAATCTTGGTGGATGTTGATGATTGTTAGTAGACATTTACTGGACGATTTTGTGCTATATGGGAATACTGACTTATGATCTTAAGGCTCGTTTCCGTTGTAAATACAATATTAGCAGATGAATGAACCAAAAATTCATAAGTTTTATTAAGCTTGTTATTGTTTAATTATGGTTAACAAACATGGTTTTTCCAATGCAAGTTCGCAACGTTAATTTTGTTGATGGTAATAGTATAATTATTCTCATTTAAGGAAGCTCCAATAAAACCCAAAAGTTCCAATCTTAAGAAATTTAAGTTAATATAAATTATCGGAACGTAAAATTATCAATATGCTTTTCTATTTTTGCATCTAATTATAGTTTGTAACATACTTCTGTTGTGAACAGAATCTTGTTTGATGTAATTGGATGCTGCAAACTATGGATAACAAACTTTAGAGCACGATTACTGTTTTCAAAAAAATAGCTCAAAAATTGAGACTTTTTAAATTGATGTTGGTCTGCATGCTACATAGATTAATTATTATGAAATTAGGATTATAAAATTATGATCATAAAGGAACTTTTTTTATTCAGAAAAGCCTCTTTCTTTATTTTTAAGGTGTCTTGCTGCAGCTCTTCTTCTCGTAGATCGAGCAAACGCGAAAAACTTTTCCAAATTCGCATTGTTCCTGTGCAACAGGAGAGAAGCTACAGAGATACCAAGAAGCTCTGTTACTGCTCATCTGAGAGAAGAGATGTGGGTGGCAGAAAAAGCCAGTCCATGTATCGAAGTGGTGGTGAATTTTGTTCAACAGACAGTTTGCAGAATTTTCTTAGATTTATTTGTGGTAAGATTATTAGCAAAAGCGAAGAACTTTGCTAGCCTTAATTGCTGTCCTTGCTTTGAGGTTGGTCCCGCAGTGAACTGATCTTTAAGACACGGTTCCCAGCAGATCACCGAAGTCAAGCATCACTGGCTACGGTCAGTGTGCGGGTGGGTGACCATTTGGATCAGTCTGCGTAGGGACCGAGGGTGTGCGGTATTCGTCCTCGTTAAACTGTTCTACCGTAAAGTGCTCGACTTCGCATGCAGGTCGTCGGACTACCGAAGCGGGGGTGCCATCCCTTCTGCAGAGGATCAAAATTGTGATGGCATGTCTTTGGATCATCCTCAGGCAGGGTTGCAAAAAACCCACCTGCCCAGTAAAACCCACCCTAAAGTAGATTTTACTGGGTTTTTCTAAGATTGATTTCTTTTTTTATCCTCTGTTATAATAAAGAGCTATTCTATTGAAATATTTATGTAGTCTAACCTAAAAAAATTAACCTATAGTGAAAAAACTAATTGTGTTGGAGAATGGGAGAGTCACCTTGCTGACTAGATTTGACTGTATGGTCATTGATTATTCAGTGCCATTTATTCGCTTTCTGTGCAAATAAAGAATGTTCCTCAAATATTTTTTAAGATTAAAATATAAATAAAAAGTAATCCTGTGTTAAAATAAGTTTCAAATGTGTGATGTGTGTGAGTACATATAACATTTTGTATCGTGATGTCAGAAGAAACTTTTTTCAGACTTTCACATCAATTTATTTGTATTAATTATCTATATGAAGTCAATTTATAAAATTAAACCTAATTATTAATATTAAAATAAGCTTTTTTAAAATAAGGTACTTATCCCTGCCCTCTCTTTTGAAAAAGCCCCCATGAAAACATGAAAACCCCAGAAAAGCTCAATAAAACCCAGAAAAACCCACCCGGACCAGGGTTGGGCTTTTCTACAAAAACCCTGTTTTTTCGCAACCCTGTCTCAGGAGTGCTTCCCAGACAGTCACCAATAGCCTATTGTGCAGCTCTAGTGCGACGTAAATTAACTACAACAACAACAACTTTGCGGTTGCCGTACCTCTGATCGACGTCGAAAGCAAAAATAAAACCTAGTTGACGGTGATCGGAGGAGCGTAAATCGCATTGCAATGAGAATGCCCACCCATTTAAATTCTTATATTTGACGTACAGAAGTTAACTGTTTGCTGAGCCTTCAGCCAAAGCGTAAATATTTTCCCTAACTTTGTTTGAAATCTAAACAAATGCAGGTTTTTAAGCGTATACTTCTTTTTCTTGAAGCAGAAAATGTTAAGGGGCATTCTCATTTAATGTGGTTCACGCACTTCTGATCACAGTTGGAGAAAAAGAACCTGATTGGTAAAAAAGTATTTTCAATTGAAAAATCACCAATCTGGTTTCCATTTTTCTCGACAGTGATTGGAAGTGCGTAAACCGCATGCAGAAAAATTGGCCCGTTTCGAAAACACAACCGTTCGAACCTCTTTCTTGGCATCGATGAAAGTAACAGCAAAAGTTGAGGCAAATATTTACGGAGAAAATGAAACAGCTGAGCGTCTTGCTCATTTTTAGTGGTCTATTCCCCCTTAATCTTTATAAAACACTCCAGTTTCTAGCCATTCGCTGGGCAGTCAGATATAGCAAGAATGGCATCCAATTTTACGAATGCATCTACGTTTCACTATTTAAAACTACCCTGGAAAATTTGAGTATCAGGGTCTTTTCCCATGGCATGCAATTCTCAAACAATCGAAAGTGAATCTCTGAAATCGATTCTGAATAAAGATTGTGTACTGTGCTCAAAATAAAAAGCATACCAATCTGAATAACTTTTGTTTTTATGATAATATTTTCACGAACTAATGCCAAACTTAGTAGTTCTAAAGATTTACTTGAAATATGAAGTCAGACTATATATTAAGTTACGAAATCAAACACAAAAATGTACTTTTTCTTACTTCTAAATAAACTCACCTTTTTTTCCCCTCCACAAATGTGGATTTGGACCATCGGAATATGGGTTGTATCTGTTCGATACTAAATAATTGATTGCTATGCTGGTTCGTTTGTTAACAAATGATTAAAATAGAATGGACTGTATTAAAGATTTTTATTATGATTGGTGCTACGAGCACGCTCATGCTATAAGATCAACAACTAATTTTCAACTGATTAGGGTTACAACAAACGGTGGCGAGGATGCTGAGACAAAGATGCCAAGTTGGCGCTATATTTATGAGATATTGAACAGTATCCTTAATCTGAAAAATATAGTCTGTGTTGTTTAGGAAAGAGGCTGAAGTTCTGGTCTTTTAATATCAATTTCATTTTTTTCATCCATTTCATCACAGCTGGGGCTTTCTTCCATTTCATCATAGCTTTTTAAACAAATCGAAAAATGTTTGCGCACACTTATGAAATTCGTTTATCCAAAGATAATTACAGTCAAACCCCGCCATAGTGAACACGGTTTACAGTGAACTCCCGGATATAGTGAACGAAATGTTCGGTCCCGTGCCTTGCTTTACCCGTATAATGTTATTTTTTGTGGATATAGTGAAACAAAAAAGTGATGAAGTTGGATATAATGAACTTTTTTCTGTCTTCGACTGATTTTTTTCTTCATTTTTTTGTAATAATTTTGAAATTTCTACTTCAAAATAAATACATATACCGATTTTTAAAACCATCTATAGTGGAGAAGGTAGCGATAAACATTTTCTTCTTGTTTGCTTCTTTTATATTACTTTCCCATCCCTAAACAAATCAAGTAGATGTTTCCAACCCAGACAGATGATGCACCTGTAAGGTGCCAGTGGGATCAATATGCATTTTCTGTCAGAAGGAATGAGTAATTATTCATTATTGGTCAAAGGGTTGGACACTGATCTATGTAGATAAGGCTCTTATTTCATCTCCTTTTTGCCCTCAGTTCAGTTAAAAAAAGGCCTGCAGACAAGTGTCTCAAATTTAACTATGGCGAGCAGTAAACGTAAAGCGTTCTCCATTGATGATAAAATGGGCATAATCAAAAAAATTGAAAATGGATGTAATCAAGCTGATATTTGTAGAGAATATAAACTATCCAAATCTACAGTTTATAATATATGAAGGGAAAAAAAAGGCAATTAAAAATTTCTGCTCATGAAAAAAATTTAGGTGACAGAAAAAAGTTGAGAAAAGCAGATCACATGGATGTTGAAGAAGCATTACTGAAGTGGTTCAGCATTCGAAGAAGCCGCAATCTTCCAATATCTGGACAAATGTCGATGAATTTGCTAAGCGATTTTATGAAATTACTTTTATGTGCTTGAATGGCAGGTTAGACAAGTTTAAAAAGTGGACTAACAAAAATTCAGGAAAAATTATCTGAGAGTCAGGAAATGTTTCCATATCTGATGTTGAGGACTGCTCAACAGCTAAAGATTACTAATTTCTTTTTTTTTGTACGCAGGACGAAGAGTAATAAAAAATAACAATTTTTTTGCTACTACATAATATTTTTCAGTCATTTATTTGAATAACGTGTAATAAAAGGGAGGAATTTGGGAACCATTAGTTAAATTGCCCGCATAACGGATATAGTGAACTCCCGGTTATAGTGAACCAAAATTTCGGTCCCTTGAAGGTTCACTATAGCGGGGTTTGACTGCAATAAAATAATTTTCAATAATTATTCATTATTTTTTATTATTTTATTCAATAATGATGAAAAAAATTTTGAATTAAGGTACACTAATTTTTACACTATTTTAAATTTTATAATTTTAAATCATAAAATGCAAAATTTACCGAATTGTTCCAGTGAAATGAAACTTTTAAAATACAATTTTTTGAAATTTTGCTTCTCAGTAACCGTTTGGTCGATTTCACATTCTTTTTTAAAAATTAAATTACATAATTTAAGTGGCAAAATACTGTATTATTTTCCGAAAAAAATATATATTTCAAAGAGTTTTCGATAATTATTAAATAAAATAATAAAAACTCTAAATTATTATTGAAAATTAATTTTTTTTACATAGAATTACCTATGGAAAGTTAATATAGTAGAATAATGCCAGTATTGCAATTTCAACAATTTTCAGGAACACGCAGAAAATTTATTCCATAAAGGGGTGAAGGGTGAAAGTTGAACTTACTGAAACTACTATAAATTTATTATACTAATTTTCCGTATAAGTGATTTCAGGTTTAGTTTACTGATCTGCCAAGACTTTTGCTTAATCCCGAAGAAGTAGTAAATGAAAAATAAACTAACACCTTAAACTACTTGGGATGAAAAAAATAGTGGAAAGAATTTTAGTATACTTCACATTCACATCAGCTAACGCATCATATGTCTGACTGATACTCAGCCAATCCTTGTGTACGTTTCTATTTTTTTCCTTCAACGTTACCTTTAAGAATACTGTACTTGCTTATAAATGAAAGTGTTGTCCATTTAGGTGTATGTAAAAATGAATTATTTATCTATTGATTAACTGCGTAATCTAATCTGTTTTCTTCCTAGGTACAAAGTAAGCTTCAGCTCCCAGTCTTGAATATCTTACCAAGTCTTATGAACAATTTTCAGAAAGTCAGTCGGAAATAAATAAAAAAATAAATAAATAAAGTTCTTTGCTAAAAAAATGTATTGTTTCTCATTGTAAAATTTAATGCGCAAATAAATAAAAGAATCAATGAATCAATAAACAAAGCAAATTATAACATCTAGATAATTTCTGAGATTGTATTTGCGTTGTCATCTAAGATGTTCATTATTCCTAAGATACCTAGGTCAGGGTTTACTTTTTTCGAAAATACATTTTAAAATTCACGCAGACATGGAAATTAAGGCTGCTCAATTTTGAAACCAACTGGGCGTCAATGGACGTGATCACAATTTAAAAAAACTATTTTAAAATTGCTGAATCAGAAATTTTTTTAAAAAAAATATGAATAAATATAACTTTGTAAATTCAATTGAAAAATTAATTTCATGCATTATTATAAATATACAATCTCTTCTCTCTATATATAAAAGTGAAATCTGTCTGAATATTCGTATGTTCATTAATAACTCTTTAGATCATGTTTCTTTTCTTTTCTTTTTTTTCTTTTTTTTTTTTTGCTGCATGCGAATTGTTATAGGGTGCAAAGCAATCACCACTTTCCGGCATGTAGTTTGACCTCAATATTAAAAATGCGAAATTTCATTGATGAAAACCATTGTTAGAAATTTAAACCTTGAGTTGTCATGAAAACAGCTACAGCATTTATACTAAATATTTAAAATATAGAAGCAGACGAAACCACTAAAAAAAATTATATGTTCCTAAAGCTCGCTGAGCTCATAGTTTAGGTGCAGAAGTAAGAGCTTGTTAGAAGCAAATATGCAGGCTAACGTAAGTTATCGGAAAGGGAAGACATGCTATGTTTCGTCATCAGTGGCAATGTTAAACATAAATATTCTTATTCTTCCAAATGGCATTTCTTGGTGCGAATAAATTACTTTATTCGCACCAAAATATATTTTATTTTATGTTTAACACATGTTCATGCTAATCATTGAGTTTTTCAGACGTAACGAATAAAAAATAAGTTAATATTCGTGTAATATTCAAATTACGTGCAGAAAACTTCTTTTTTTTCCAAGGCGTTTAAATTTATTAAAATCTAATATTAAAATTTTAAAATTTTTTATACGAATTAATTTTAATAATAATAATTGCTGAACGCTAATTTTAAATTCTCAAACTTTATATTATTATCCAATATACTTAACCATAAAACCAAGTTCACCAAAAAAAAAGAAAGAAAAAACGCCAGTTTCCGATTTACACAAGCCACTGGTTACCTATAATACACATAGCTCCTTCGAATATGACAGTATCGTGAATATTTTGCAAAGCGATAATTATTGAAAGCGATATTATTGTGAATGTTTCAAAATTTTCCTTGGGTTACAAAAATATTGGCTGATACAAAATTACTTTAAATTAACTTAAATGGGAAAATGACGTGATATATTTTTGACAATGCATTGTGATAAGATTCGCATTTATTACTCATGGGTCATAATGCTTTTTTGGGTAACAATTCGAAAAAGCTGGTTGGGCCATAACAGCGGATAGATGCCCAAACCATGCATAAATTATATATTTACGTACTTACATTTAAAACATGAACTGTTAAGTCTCAATATCAGGAAAAGAAGCTTTTAAAAACGAAAAATCTTCCTCCTAAAAATCCCCTAACTTCAGAATATCACTCGACAACAAACGTCTCGAATCAAATCTGTAGTGTGAACTGTACAACTAAACTTTCTCACATTTAGTGAGATTTACATTAAAAAAAAAGATTTTTACCTACCATAATCGCAACTTGCGTTTTAAAATTTGAAAAACTGCCTTTGAAAAATGATCATCAAACCATTGACAACTCCTATACATCATATTCTGAGCAATTAAGTTTTAAAAAGATGTCTTGTAATTTGAATACACTCATGGATTCATGTAAGCACAGAGGACTTTTTGGATTGCGAATATTATTTGTCTTGGAAAACTAATTATCAATTAATCGATATCTACAATTTAATCTGATTCTGAGCAATTAAAGTTTTAAATAATGTATTGCAATTTTAATGCTTTCATAAGAATTCAAATCACTTTTAGAATTTCGTTTACAAAATCAATAAAAACAAGTGTGTGCATCAAGACCTCTTTTGAAGTTGCATCAATTAGTCATTAGATGGCGCACTGCACAAATTTAACAGATTCAGAATCTTTATCCGTTTTTTTTTCTTCATACCTGATCAGACCTAGCGCCATCTAGACGAAGCACATAAAACTTAAAAGTTATCGCAAGTTTCATATTTTTTTGCGTTGTAATTTGACCCTTCGTGTGAGGAGGAATGTTTGCGACATCTCGACCCGAAAATTTGTTTTTATCCCTTTAAATTGTAAATATTGAACTGTAAACATCACATGCAATTACTTACTAAATTCCTTAAAGATGTTGATACGATTCAATTAAGTTTAATCTCCTTTTTAATTGTAAGTTGTGATAATATATTTTTGTTCATATTTGTCGAATTTATGTAAACAAATAAGATCATTCAGTTTTGGGTTACAACTTGTGATAAGTGACGTTCTTTTAATTCAAGTGAATAACGAATTGTAAATATATATTCTTGAAGCCATTAATTAAGTAGGCGTTCAATTAAAAACTTCTTATTTATAATTTTAATTTTCTCAATTTTTATATATTTTTATTTAGTTTTTTTCAGTACTTAAAACTGACAGGAAAGATTGTCAAGAAAATAAATTTGCAATGTGTTTACTCAGTTTTGCTAACATCAATAAAAAAAAAAAAATTTATAATTTTAGTTTGAAACGTTTGATATTGACACTTTTATTTACTCAAAGTTTTTCTTATTGAAGATTTATTCGTTAAAAAAGAAAGTTCGTCTTTATGGTTATTTGTAAAAGAAGAATAAATTATCAAATCTGGGCAGTTAATCGCATCATTTTCGTCTTAATTAATTTATAGTCTATTGAACAAGTAGTATAATAGAAATGATCTTTTTATAGATTGGTTTCTTCATTAAATTAATTGATTTGTGTTGTTGCTTCTCTAGTACAATTATTTTTTATCTTATAGCTCAAACTGTGTGGGATTAAATTTCTCTTGCTGTTTCTCTGATCACAGTAGTTTTTTGAAATTATATTTAAATTTTTAAAATTACATTCTATAATTTTTTTCGAATTGTTTTTAGTTATTTTTAAATAAAAAGGTTATTATTATTTTTTTTTGAAGTATATTGGAAAGAAATTGAAATTTTTTTTAACCAGGCTTTTTTTTTTAATCCTCAGAAGTAAATTAATTTTAGGTGCAATCATTAAGTAAGGAAACTTAAAATTATATATCCATTAATTATACTGCATAATTTATTATGCTGAATTTTGCTGAATAAAATTTCTGAACTTGGTAAGTTGTGATGTTGGTATGTTGGGAGTTTTCTGTATGAAAGATCTAAAAAATCTTACTTGTAACTTTCTTTTTTAAGCCTCAAAATTTGAAGTGTGTGTGTGTTTTTTTTTCTTTCTTTTTTTGTATTTTTCTGACTTAATTTCAAATGTTATTGAGTTCAGCTCACCCAAAGCATATGATGTCTTTGCTTCAGCATATCTTGTTCTCAACATTTACTTAACATTTAACTCAACATTTAACTTGATATTCTGGTTCTGTATACCTTATTTTAATGCAATGTTTATTATAATTATATTTAAAAGTTCTTGATAATTAGTGTAATGGAAACTTCAGAAAAATTCTATATATTTCACTCAATTTTTTCTTCTTTTTTTTAAAAATATTAAGAGTACTGGCAGAAATATTTAAAGGGGTGCAACCTGAAAAAATAGTCTATATATGGTTTTAAAGATCAGAGACAAATATTTTTTTATGAAAAATATTTTTACGTATGTGCATTACAAATTATTTTAAACTATTCAATAATTTAAGTTTCAAAACCAATAAAGTTGTCCAAAAATTGAAATTTTTATGTCACAAAAAATCTTGATTTATCTAAATTCTTTAAACTAAATATGATATAAGCATGAAAGAAAAAGTAGTGCTATAATAAAAAACAAAACTATAATTTTTTGATAAAGTTCCTTTTTTAACTGTATATTAAATAAGTAAAACATTATAACTATGGTTCCTATTAAGTTTAATATTTCTTTAAAAACAAGGTTGCCAAAAATAATGATTTTCTTTAAAAAGTTTTTGTTTTTAAAAAAATGTCTTTTTTTTTTTTAAATTTAAATCAAATTTTGATTTTTTTTTTTACACTAACCAAACAAAAGGAAATAATGTTTTGAAAATGTTGATATTATTTTAAAACAATTTTGTGATTAAAACATTAAAAATCTTTTACAAAAAAGGTTAACATTGTTATGCATGTAACTATTATTAACTAATCCTTGAATAAAGAAAATCATAGTTATTTTTGTTCTAACTCAACACTCTCATGAATTTGTAAACACGAATAAGTTCAAATTTATTTGTTAGATATTAAATGAAGAATGTATTAATTTTTATCAGGTAGCATAAAAAAAATTATTCTTAATTACTCTTAGCAGAACAAGTCTTCATTGTTTATATACACAGACTACATATTTAAAAATAATTGTATTTAAATAAAATATGAAACTAAATAGGGTTTAATTGAAATATATTTATTAATTAGCAAATTATTTTACATGCTATCAAAAATTAAAGTTTAAAAGTTTCATGTCCCTTTTATGATTTTTTATTAATTACTATAATTTAATACATGCATTCCTGATTTTACATACATTCTCCTTTCATTATTTCTCAAGATCAGTGAAATCAGATTTTAAATGAAAATCACATCTTTAAGAGTATATTTATAAATTATATTAAATATTTTTGACTTAAATCAATGATTTCTTTAAAACAAGAATCAGGTGATTTAAATCAGTGATTTTTTTTTTTAATGAAATAAGTTATTTAAATCCTTAAATCCCAACTTAAATCATGTCAAAATGAATTCAGCTTTTGCACTTATTGTATGTATCAAAGTAGTTGCAATTGGATAAATATTATTTTTAATTATTTAAAATAAAAAATAATGTTTAAAAGCAAAAAGCAAGTTTCATTTAATTGGGTTTCTAGTGGCGTGCACATGTTTGACCTTCTTTGTGAGTGGTTATGCCTTCATAGAATTTAAAATTTGTTTTAAAATAGAAATTGAATTACATTATTGGAAACTCTACAAATTCAGTAAATTTGTGTAGTATTTTTTAGATTCACATCTTAAATTGTTTATTTTGAAATGTTTTTTTACTTGTCTACTAATAAAGAAATTTATTATTAATCTTAGGTGATATTTTTTATTCTGTGATTTGAATCAATGGAAATTGCAGATGAATTCTGACACATCTCAGGTTGTGAACTTTTCTTATTTTATTCTTTTATTTTATTTAATTATCCATATGCACTTCATGATTTTTTACAATGTATTACACTTTACTTGAAATTATAATATTATTTTAAATAAAAAGACATACCCTCAAGTAATTTTACTATACATTAAAAGTTATAAAATTTATTAAAGGTTTTAATTAGTTAGAGACACCAAATATTTGATAAAAATTTTCCCTCTATTATTCCAATGGATCCCTTTATAGAAAGCGGAATGATGCAAAAATGATAATAAGCTATTAACGTTGTGTTTAAAAAAAACTGTTCATGTATGGTTGACTGAATGTAAACAATAATATGCATGGGATCTGTTTAGAAGAAGTTTGGGTCCGTTAACGGGCCCTTCACGAAATATCTTTTCATAAAAACGAACCCTTCTCAAATTTGTTTATCTTCATTATTGCTTTGTTAATGAAATAAACCGTTCTCAGGGGGGGAGGGGGAGAGACCGTTCGAAATGAACTAAGTTTTCCAAGTTTCCCCCCTAAGTTTAAATTCCAAATGTAGTATTCTAAGAAAATATTTCTATATTTATAAACATCATGTGCACATTCTTATTGATATTAAATGATAATTTTTTTTTTAAATAAATGATTGATAAATTTGTATTTTCATAAAATTAATTAATTGAATATTACGTAAATAGAAATTAATTTCTGACAATTTTTTAAATTAAATATTATAAATTTAAGAATTGTTTAAATTTACTTAATGCGTAACACATTAAAAGTGATACATTACTAAGTTGTGTTATTTAAAATATGTCAATTGAAATTATTAAAAATGTGAGTAATTTTGTTTCCATTATTCGTCCGTTGCATCTCTAATTTAGTAGCAGCAATTGTTGAGCAGAATCTTGTATCTATTTAATTAATAATTAGTCTTGTAATTTAAAAACTTCTTGAAAAGGTTTTTAGCAATTTTTGTAATAACAGGATCCTATTTGTTCAAATTCACAAAGCAGGAACCTGGTTGAAAGAATAAGACTTAATGCTTATTTTATATTCGCAAATAATGAGTAGTTTTTTCACAATTTTACAAAAACAGGACCTTTCACAAAATGTCTGGACAGACCCCTGATATGGTGCATCCCTCTGCTTATGTTATGTTATATAGGCTATGTGTGAACCCCCGTGGCAGAATCGTTGCAACACGGTGACATTGTCGCAGAACGTTACAGAGTTCTTGCAGAAAGATTCTTCCTTTGGGAAGTAAAAAAATTTAGTTTTAGTTTCTGTAGAAATTTTCGTTCAATTTTTTATGCAGTTATTACTATTGATTTCCTCATAGCTTTTAAAATCCAATACTTTTAGTACAACATTTTTCATTACAATTGAATTTCGAACTAAAAGCACACATACATTTAGTTACACCTATTTGAAGAGTTCGATCCGCTTGATTTCGCTGTCCATCTTTTTTTTTTCGGTAGTTAAAGCTACGGATTTCACGATTTTTAAAATTTTTTCTTCTTAATGTGATGATGATTTACAAAATGCGAAAAAGGAAATAATAAGTGTGTTCCCCCCCCCACAAAATACAAGAATATAGCCCATAATATTAGAATTAAAAAAATATTACATATTCAATAAAAAAAATTATTTTATTCGATCTCAGAAGTTTCTTCTTTTTTTTGAAGTTGATATTTCTGTTACTTTAAATTAGTAACATGTATATTTGTTATTTTAAAATTATCGTATACGAAGATATTAGTATTAGAGAGGTATATCACTAAAAGCATGGAAAAATTCTGCCGCAGGGGTGTGAACTGGCTTGGTATAAATTTTAAATTTTAAAGAGTTAGTAGCTTTAAGTAAATTTAGAAAAGCCTTACCCTGTTTTAAGTGTTATCTCTTATTTGGCTATATTTGTGTAAAATATTGCCATTTGCAGAGCTCATTCTAGGCAGAAAAAAGGGCAGGGTGCATAAGTTTAAAAAAGGGGCATTATTATTCTAAAAAGGCAATAATTTCTTTCTATGGGCTTTACATGTTCTATTAAAAAAACATTGTCAATTAGTAAAAGAAATTTTTTTCTTTTACTTTACTAAAAGTAGCAAAGCAAGCATATTAATTACTAATTTTTTAATAATAAATTAACATATATATTGAGTTAATGAGCTTATTAGCTTAGTAATTTATTTAAAATGCAGGCATATATTAATAAAATAATAAATGTATGTTTTGAGGTGTCTGTAGTTATGATTTAATAATTAGAATGATTAATAATAATTATGATTTAATGTTAGTGGAAGTAACTGCAACAAGAGGGTGTGATGGCTATTTTTCCTTTCCCATATAAATCTATGTATTGACAGCGACGCCAAACTAAATAAAAAGAGTTGAAAATAGCAGAAGTTTAAGAAATCCATTGTAGAGTTTGGGGGAAAAATAAAGAAGGGTTGAGAAAAGAAAGGGTGGATTCTTTTGACTAAAAGGGCAGCAGGGTGCTGCACCCTGTTTACCCTGCCTAGAATGAGCTCTGGCCATTTGTTATTTTTTGGATAGCATCATAGCTCGTTTGTGGAGCTTTCCAACTTTGTAGCTGTATAGCCATGTGCACTCCGTGTATGTTTGATTTATATGTTATAATGTAAACACTATAAGTATGATAATATTAGATTGCCTTCTTTTTCAAGTTCAGGCGTAAAAATAATTCGGAAGGGGTAACTCAGAAGTCTTAAAGCGAATTATAACTCCTATGTGCTCCATGTGTTATATACATTGTGCATATCGTTTTTAAAAAGTGCTTAAAGGTGCTTATTTTTGATTTTCTTTTTTTAAAAGCCCTTAAAGGTGCTTTTTTCATTAGGTGTTTCAACCATGTCAATTTTCGCCACATATTATGCAAAAGTGTGCTTTTTACATTGTTCTATTCAACGTTTTTCCCAATTCATTCAACCACAATCTAGTTCGGCGTACCATAAGTCCATAACGTATGAAAGCGCCTATCATTTGTCATGTTTAATGAAATACTTAAGCGTCCGCATGCGCGTCTGCTGAGCTGGGTTCGGTGAGATTATTGCACTCTCATATCCAACTCTGCTGCATTTTGCAAGATATTCTTAATTTCACACTTCATTTTCCAGCCTCTCATATCGAACCGAAAAATCTCTTGATCATTTTATTATGGCTAATATAAGCAAGAAAAGAGTTCTTTGTCAGAAACTAGTTATTTTATCATGATCACGTAAAGTCTTTGAACACTATCTTGCATTTTGTTAATGTATATAGTGCTTAAAAAATACTTAAAAGGTGCTTATTTTTTATTGAAAGATTTGGCTCTGTATATAGGCTCAACCATCCATTAAAATATGGATGGTAACTAGTTGTATTTTTGTTAAGATAGTATTTATTTTTAATAAAACAATTTTTGCACAAAAGCAATTATTTTGTTTTAATTTAAAAAAAACAAAATATTTTATTGGAAATGAAATTATCCAATACTCTTTTCTGTGGCTAGTTTAGTCTTTATGACTCCTTTTGTTCAAAAAAATTTAAAGAACATAAAATGATCAGAAATAAAAGTATGAAAGAAAACAAGTGGCACTAATTTCAAAGAAATATTTTTATTCTGATCCTAACTATGGGACCCCTCTATGCAGGTTTCTTCTTTTTGTGTTCATCAAAACTTTATACTCAAACATTGACTTAGTGACAAAAAGACTTAGGCACCTTAAAGCAATTTTTATATTTATTTTTGAATTTTAGTAATTTTTTATGAAATTCGTGAATTTGTGTTCATCTACTTTTATGTAAAATTTCATAATTTTAAGTATTGTGCCTGCCCTTTTTAAAATCACGTTTGTTCTGAGAACATTTGATTTTATGAAGCATTTAATTTTATAAACTAGTATATCAACTCATAGGGGGAAAATGTTTCAAATTTAAACTTTACATGTGCAGTAAAAGTTAAATTGCCTATAAAAATATTTTTTTACTGAATTTTTGTTTGACATTTTAGCTAAACATGAGCTACAATTTTTAATTTACAGAAAGGTTTTGAAATAGTGTATGTGTTTGATAAGCAAAATTTAAAGTTAAAGATTCAACATGGTTTAAAAGTTTATATTAGTTTTTGTAACTTTCAATATTTCTTTTGCATAATTGATTTTGAAATATTAAGTACTTTTCTGATATCAATTGAAGATAAAATTGATATAAATTTTTTTATTTTACATAGAGATAAGAATAAATATTTCAGAATAAATTTCTTTCAAAACTTGAAATATTTCAAAATTCTAATTTTTCAGACAAAAAAAAAAAAAGAATTTTTCCTTTTAAAACATATTCTTATAAAAATTTGGTTTTACAAAATGGCGATAATGATTTTGTTAAAGGATCATTTCAACATGTTTTGATATTGTAATGATTTTGTTATTAAGATTTGATTTTAAAAAAAAACTGATCTCATAACATTATTTTTATTTCTGGATGCCACTGTATAACCCTTATCCTTCCACTCAACAAGAAGACAATTTCATTTATTCTTTTTTTTCTTTTTCGATTTTTTTATTTTATTTTTCATAGAGATGAGAATAAATATTTAAGAATAAATAAGGAAGGGAAATATTGTTAACCTGAAATCAAAATTACATTAAAGAAATAGATTCCTTCTACTGGAAAACATGTCTTTTCTTTTTGAAATGCTCTTCTTTCTACACTAAGAATATTTTTTTTAAGTTAATGTTAGTTATAACTGTTGTGATAATAACTTATAAATAAGTTATCACTACAGGTGAAACAATGCCTGTAAGGGATAAAAGTTTAAATCATTTTTTAGCTGCAATTTTCAAATATAAATCACATTTAAAAGAAAAAAAATCTAAAACCTTACAAATTTTAATATTATTTACTGATGTAAAACAGAATATAAATGGATTTTACATTATAGGTATTTAAGTGTTCTATGTTGAAGTACTAAAATAAAAAATAGTGAAGTCAGGATTATTTAAAATTATTTCATCAGCTTCTGATACTTAATTTTTTTCCCTTTATAATTTATGTTTGTTAGACCAAAATTATTTAAAAGTTTGTCAAGTTACTTTATTTCCTTTTATAATTATTCTTCCATTTTGTACATTATAAAAAAATTTAAATAAATACATACATTTATTTTATTATGCTTAAACAAAAATTGTTTGGAAGTATTTATAAGTCTGTCTTGTTTTCTTTAATAATTAATATTTTATTTGTACCTAATAAAATAATAATACTTTTTCATTTGTTTCCATTTAAATGGTTTTATTAAATTGTACTTTTCCAACATTTTAAAAATTTGGCATCATTTAAAGAAATAGATATTTTTGCAAATGGTGATTCAATTTTTTCTAATAAATAATTTTATTTTTTGAGTTAAAAATTTTCTTTATTTTCATTTGTTATTTTATAACAATAAGTTGGGGAAAATTCCAGCACATTATTTGAATAATAAGCTACTAGTGTAAAGGGTTAAGGTGTCTTGCCATGAAAAAACTTTTTTCTTTTCAAAGTAGAGCAACCCATGCTTTTTGATCTTGGCTTATAGCCAACCAGTTGAACTCTTCTCTTAAAAGTAGTACATTTGTGATTATTTTGGGACTGTCTTGCTTACTGTGCTCATCTCTTATTTTGTTGAATTAAGAAAAAATTTTACTTAAATTTAAAAAGTCCTTTAAAATTAAACTTTCTTAATTGCTTACTGACTCATTTCAATTGCTAAATAGTTTATGAAATAAATTCCGGATATTCACTTTTAAAAAAAAATTGGAATTTTCAAAAATTGCTTTAATTTAAAATTTCATTCAGATTTAAATTTTAATTGTTTGCATTCAAAAAGAAGTTTTGCTTTAAAACTTTAAATGGATTTTTATTGTGAGATAGTTTTAACTAACAAAAATTAACTGAATTAAAAAATACATTTAGGTTCTCTTCCCTGTTAGTTTTATTTTATTTATTAAGAAGGATTTCTTCAGTCTTTTTTATATTTTTGCAAAAATATGAGTGAATAGATCTTACCTAAATGTAAGAGTTTACTTAGGTTTAAATTTCTTAATTGTTCATTGTCTTCATAAACAAATATTTCTTCAGTATTATTATTTTTTTAATTTTTTTTTTCATTTTATTTTCTTTCATTTTTTTTTACTTGTGTTTATCTAAAATATTGAACTAATTGAATACCTGACAAAAATAAAATGCTGAAGCATTCTAAAATTTTGTTGAACTTGTCAGCTTGTAATCAAAATTTTAAAAATTATGATTTTCTCCTTAGAGTTTTTTTTTTAAAGTATATTAAAACTTATATTTTTTGGAAATTAAGTAATTAAATGCTTAGATAAGTAAATCTTAGATTAATTTTTTTTTTTTTAAGAAAGTGAAAATGTGTAAAAGTGATGTGCAAATTTATAGAGATAAATAAATACTAATTTATTCATTTGTTGCAGAAGCAACTTTTGTTATAGTATTTTTTTATTCATTTATTTCATCAATAGGTTAAATATGTAACTTGAACAAGCATTTTAATAAATTATAAATAATATATGAGAATTTTATTGATAGAACTTTACGAAATTTGGCATTGTTCTTACACTTCTTTTAATTTTTGTTCATTGGATTATTTATTTATTATTTTGGTTATCTGATCTTTACATTTAGGCAAGTAATAAAATTAATTTATGACTTATGGGCCACTGCTAAGTTTTTACCAAAATGTCAAAAATAAGGATTACAGATTATGAACTGGAAATTATGTTTTATATGTATTTGAAATTGCTAGGGCTTATATATTTTTGTGAGGCATGTGAAAAGATAAACTTTTACACTTTTATATTGTTTTAATTAAAAAGAAATCCCATATTCTAATCTAAAAATATTTTTTCAAAAAATATGTTATAATAATATTTTTAAAGTGAAAATGGGAATTACTGATATAAGATATACTGATAGACAAATAATAAAATCCTAAAACATGTTTTTTTAAATTTTTTTTATGTAAATTTTTTTTCTTCTTCTTTTGAACTTTTCCTCTAAGGTGCCTTTTTTTTTGTAAAGTCAATGTTTTTTTAAACCCTGATTCATAGTATTTTATTTTATTTTTATTAAAATTATGTTATAAGTGGTTTATAATTTATTAGTTGAAAACACTTACAAATTACCATTTTTACAATGTCAAATTTTCTATTTTTTTAAAGCTCCATTCAGATATTAGTAAGCCTTCCTTGTGCATCGAACCATGCTTAGAAGCTCCTTTCAGCAAGGAAATGGAGCATGTTATACCTCAAATGATTGTTACTCCTGCAGATGATATCCAAGAAAATAAACAAAATGTTTGTGAAGCATCGACGTCCGAAGGGCAACCTTCGGAAGCTTCATCTGATGTTTTCAACAAAAATGAAACAGAAGATATTTCTACCTCAAATATTGTTGACCAGTCATCAACAATACTTGTTGAGCAAAAGCCAAGTGAAACAAGGTAAATTTTAATTATTATTTATTTAATTTATGAATTAATTATTTACTTTTAAACTTCGTCATATATATCTATATCAATCTATTTATATTTGTTAAGTTTTAGAATATATTACCCCTTGGAGAGTTGGCCAAGTTGGTGATCGACAACCCTGAAATTTTCAGTTGATTCTTCCATCTTTCTTCTAGCCCCTTCGACAAACTTTGTTTATAAAACTGTGTGGTTTTACTATTTAAAGTTTGGGGCAATTTAATTTCTGTGTCAATAAACTTAACATAAATTTATAACAGAATAAAATAGAAGTAGCAAATTTGTTAGATATATAGTTGCAAACTTTTAAAGTTGAGGAAAATATTTCTAAGTGGTAGTAACATTTATATTTTGATGCATAAATTCTGGTTAGAAGTATAAAAAGAAAAAAAATGTGGTCTTTCCTCTCATGACAAATCAATGATTCAAACTTATATATGTACCTATATAAGATCTATAACTTAGATTGTTACACTTTTAACTGCCAATGAAATAGCATAATTTTTAAAAAATTCCTTTTGTTTTTATCATTATTTCATAGCACTACTTTTTTAAATTTTACTCAATTACCATGCAAGCTGGTTGCATTATTTAGTTATGATATCATTTTCACAACAGATTATTTTAAGCAAATTGTTTCTATTAGAAATTAGTATTGAGAATTTTTCAAAGCATTTCTCTTTAATATTAGATAGTTGTTGAAAAATTAATTAATACTTACTAAAATTTTTTATGGAACATCATTTTTATTTAGGTAGCGGATTTTTTAATGAATTTCTCTTACACTTTGACTGAAAAGAGAAAGGAGTTTAGTTAGAAAATCTCTTTTTAAACTTAAAAAAAATTAAAAAAAATATATATATAGTTTGAAAACAGCTTTTAATTATTAATAAAATTTATAAAGTGATGGACATAGTTCCAAATAACTAAATGCTGTTCAATTGTTTAGTTTAAAAAGATTGTTTGGTAATTTCAGATTAACTATGAAGGATTTTTGGAAAAATTAATCATACATTTTTTTTTCTGTTATTTAAATGTTGAAAAATGGTTATGTTGAAATAATTAAAAAATTAGTTACTTAAATCTTTTAATTATTTCAACATAACCTTTTAATATCAATATATTGTATTCTTTTTATGACTGTTTTTATTGGAAGTGTGTTTCAGTAATAATCGTAACAAAAGATTCAATTTTATTTGATAGAAGTGATGAAGCGAGTATTATGCCTGATAAAGAGGCTACAAAGTCATTGGAATCTGTCTCATCATCTGTTTCTCAGAGGCCCCTTATCATTGAGTAAGAAGATGCTATCCATATATTTTCTCTCCATAGTTTTTTTTAATATTTTAAATAAAGTTGAATTGCTTTTAATTATAATTATTCTTTATTTCAGGTCTGATAAATCATCTTCCCATCCAGTTATTCATAGCGTAAATGTGATTGATTCTAGTGAAACCTCCGTTCCTGAGCCCCCACCTGTCACAACAATGCAGCGACCTTTAATTTTTAAGTGTGTATACATACTGGGTATTCAATTGTACAAGTTGTACAAAATTTAACTTTGTGTAAAGATACAAGGTTGAGTAAAAATTAGATATGAATTGGAAATAAATTAGATAAGAAACCCTATTTAAATTGCAGAATAATTTTAATAATTCCATAAAGTTTTGAATTGTTTTAAAATATACAAATAGAACCGACTAACTCCCGGGCATTACAGTCCACGTTGGACCATGGCCTCAGTAACAATTTTCCTCCAAAGTCTCCTGTCTCTAGCTCTTTGTTTCTAGTTTCGGACTTTTAGAGTTGGACTTTTAAAGTCTTTTTCCACCTCGTCTAACCATCTCTTGGCCGGCCTTCTTCTTTTCCTTTGGCCCTGGCACTGCCCCATGAATATCTTCTTAGTGCCTCTGTTTTCCTCCATTTTCTCAAGGTGTCCTGTCTCTGATCCATAGATAACGGTTGGTCTGACTATAGTTTTATAAACCTAAAGCTTTGTTTTCCTCATTATTACTTTTGATGTTAGCAATCTCTTAAGTGCAAAATAACTACAATTTCCAGCATTTAGTTTTTTCTTAATCTCTGGCAAAATATCATTGTTTTCAGTAACAACTGAACTCAAGTGCTTAAATTCCCAAACTCTTTCAAATTTTGTCATTTCATTAATTTGTAGTTCTGTGTCCCTGAATGAATGTAGAGATTTATTTACCATCTTAAAGATTGCTTTGTTGATTTTGTAGGTTTTTCTATTTATAGCATGGCTATTTCATACTGCCTCCTTTTTTTTCCAAATATTTTCACAAACAGCCACATTATTTAATTTTTCTTTTTTAAATTTTCCTCTCAACTCAAGTCATCTCCTAGGGTACCATCAAATTCCAGGGTGCATAGTGCTTTTAAAAAGTGCTTAAAGGTGCTTATTTTTGATCTACCTTTTTTTAAAAGCCCTGAGAGAGACTTTTTTTATTCAGGGTTTGTAAAAAGTGCTTAATTTTCTATTTTTTAAAAAGATATATTTTTTTTTTTTGCTGTGTCAATTGTAATTCTAACTTACAAAAACTGCATGATTTTCACAGTTTTCTCTGCAATATTTTTTTATCAGAAACTAGTTATTTTATCATGATTATGTTAAGTTTTTGAAAATGCTTTTGAATTTTATTGATTTTATGTTAATAAATTAAGAACTTTAAATGGTAGAAATTTTTTTTTATTAATGTACAGATCCTAATTATGAATTTTTTTTTGTGGAAAATGATTAAAAATATTTTCTGAGTGCTTAAAAAGTACTAAAAGGTGCGTATTTTTTGTTGAAAAATCTGGCTACACACCCTGATTTCCTATCCTCATAAAAGTCAAAACCTATTCATCAGTGAGTTAAAAATGGTTGTTGTATCTAAAGAATTAAAGGAGGGATTCAGACCTTATTTTGAGAAAAATTTGAGTATAAGAAGTTATGTAATACACATTAATTGGGAAGATTTCCAGAGTCTTGAAAAAGGAATAAATAAACTAACAAGACTTTAAAGGGTCCGTCTATGCTATCCCTCTTAACAAGTGTTACCCACTGCAGGACGAAACCAAAACCAATTTAGATCTTACAAACCTCTTTCTTAAGTAATTTAATTTAATTACTTGTAGTTTTACTTGATACTTGAAAATAATATTTTAGTAAATTAAGATATATAAAATGTGATACCGCAATAGTTATCATATTGAAGTTTTATATAAGGTTTAAATGTCAAATTCTCTGCACTTGTTCTTAAATGTTAATTATGTATCATAAAATTGGAAAGGTTGGTTGATTTTCAATAAAATTTAAAAATTTACTATTGTAAAAACTTCGCTAATTTAAATCTAGATATCAAAAATATTTTGATGTGTTATTAGTTTTTTAAGGTGAAACTTTTCATGTAAACATAAAACAGTTTGGTAACCTTGGCTGCATTATTCTTGAAATAAATCTACTGTACAAATAAGAATTATTATTGTGTTTTTATGTCACTTTTATTTTGTGCAGCTAAAAAAATAAGATTTTATCTATACACAGTTTTGCTGTTTTTACATTTTAACAACCCTTTTCATTATAGTGACATCAAAATGAAAACTGAAACTCCTGTAAATAATGCGGAACAAGAAGCCACTGATACTCTAGTCAAAAAGTTAGTTATTTTAAATTATTCTCAATATTTATATGAAATAAATAGAAATAGTTTGTTGTATAAAATTGTGTAACTCTATGATGTATTATTTCTTGAACAAGTAGATTAGCTTTAAAATTTGTTTCTTGCTATTTATTTTTTTTAAGTGTAAATGTTGCTTTATATATTTGTTACTTAGTAAGTCTTATATTATGACTTTTAGATTTTATATTTATTTAGATCATGCAATATTGTTATTGACTATATGTTTAAGTTAAATAAATTCCAAAAAAATATAAACTTAAAGTGAAACAGTACTCAGTGAATAGTACTTAAACTAAATATGTTATTTATTATGTTATTTATTTTATTTTAAATGACTTCTCAGTTTTTCCAAAGCATTACATGATATGTTTAATTTTGTTATAAATGTAATATGAAACTTACTTCTTAGATTTTGTTAACTACAATATACAATAAGTTTTTGACCAAAATTTAATTTAGTATATCATTTTGCAGTTATAATCTGTATTATATTAAATATTTAATATAAGTCTCTAAAATAAGCAATGCAAATTTGAATGTTGTGTAGTTAGCTCACTTTCTGCCATGGTTGTTTTCTAGGAGCATTCGTATTGAGTCAAACATGTATCAGAATCAATCAGTGAAAATATCTTTTATGATTTTCACTTAATGATTAGTAAAGAAAAATCTATCTTGTCCCTCTTTGAATTCTTTTCAATCTTTTTTACTACTATTATGGTTTAGATTTATAAATGTGTTTAGATTATTGTTCAAGACTATGAGATTTCTGTAATTCAAATTTTTTTAAATAATAGTTTCATTGTAAGTTAATCCTAGAAAGTTATAAATAAATAAAGCCTTAAAGCTTTTATCCAAGGTTATCTATGAGCTTGCAATGATCCCCTAGTAGTGTTTAGTTCTTATTGAATAACCTATAGGCTAGATAGTCTATATTTTCTTGTTTTTTAATTGCTCAGTTACTTTTGATTGTTAGTTACAAGGCATTCCTTTGCCTCTTTAGTTGCACTATTAATTTGTGTCAATTGTTCAACTTATAAATTTCTTTTATGTGTGTTAATGAATTACAATAATTCTTATATTATTTTATGTTTAATTATTCTTTTTGTTGTACTGTTTTACAATGCAGCATTATGAATTATATATGGGTAAAGGTAAGCAAATAAATTTTATTTTTAAAATATTGTACATTTGCATATTAAAAATTTAAGTTTATGTCTTTGCTTTATATTCTTTCTATCTTTTTTATTGAATTGATCAGTACATGCTTAAATATAATACTTTATATTTTTTACAGATAATTTTTAAATTTCTAATATATTTTAAACTTATTTTTTGTTCCTAAATCTGTTTTTTATTTTTTTATTTTATTCTTTTAAATGTAATATTCTTAATGCTCACAATCTTTTTGTATCTAATATCTGTTATTACAAATTGATTTGATATCTAATTTAACAACAAATTTGTTGTCTAAGCCATAACTAGTAATTTTTGCATTTCATAAGGATCACTTCTGCTTATAAGTAATCTCATCATTTTATATGAACTTTTTTCGTCTAAAAATTATTTACTTATAAATCTATCTAACGCTTTTCAAAATATTATAGTTGCATATAATTTTTGGTTAAATTATCTATATTATTAAAGAAAAAAAAGGTATTTAAAATAAGACAAGTTTATGTAAAAAAACTTTTTATTTAACTATTTGTGTGAAAAAGAGTAAGGAGACCATTGATATTGTTAGAACTACAGTGTATTTTTTTGTTTTGTTAATTTGAGACCCTGGACACTATTGAAAACACTGGACATGGTGTTTTTGTTGAATTTGTTAATATATTTCAATGCACTGTAAATAAACCTCTAAAAGCCCTTTTATAACATTGCTAACTTTTAGTATTTCAGAGCTCATATTTCTCAACCGTTGAACTTTTTTAGCTTTGTCATGATGAATAAATGTTAAAATATGCAAACTACAAAATAAAGTGTAACCATGACTATATCAATTAGACATAATGTTTAACATTCTTTTGGCTTTCTTTGTGTCCAGGATTTTAATCATAGTGTAAAATTAACAATAAAAATCAAGGTTTTTACTGGTTACATGAATTATCAAGAATGAATTACATGAATTATCAAGGTTACATGAATTATCGAAACTTATGAATGTTTGAAATGGTTATGAAAATGGTTTAGTTTTTTTAAGCATTTATGTTATCAATCCATCCTATAGTGATGTGGTAACAGATTGTAATTTGGTATTCGGTCACATAACAGCTAAAAAACATGGTTTTTGTTTTTGCCATGATTCTTATCTGTTATTAAACCATGATTCTTATCTGTTATTAAACATGATTTTTAGCTGTTATGTCCAAAACAATATAAAATTTTCCAAAACGCTTCTGTTTAAAACTAAATTAAGCAAGTTATGCATTAAAAAATGGATTACCCTTTTTTATTTAGTCATATTTGATTAATTTTTTTCAGTGATGTTCCAGCAACAGAATCTGCCCTTAATGAATCTAATCTTGCTTCTGAATCAGAGGAAATGCACACTTCGCAAAGCGATTTCCATCCAGCACCCATTCAACTTCCAAAAAAGGATAATTTTTCTTATCGAGATCTTGATGAAAGAGATGAAATGATAAGAGGCAATGAAATGCCGACAGAACTTCAGACAGCTGAAAAACTTCCTGATGAACAAGGGAAAAAAGGTGGCAAACAAAATGTAAAGCATTTCTTTGATAATTTGTTGCACGATTCACAATCTGATAAAAACAAATCCAGTAAAGAGCTTTCTTCAAGTTCAAATGCTAGTGATAAGAAACAAATCAAAGCTGAAAAACATGGAATAAAAAATCTATTCAGTTCTACTAAGACTGATTCTCCTGCCAAGGATAAACAAGTTAGTAGCAGTAGCACCGATGATTCAAAAAGCCATGCTAAAGATTCAAAAGACCACCCCAAAGAATCAAAATACAATCTTAAAAAAATGTTAGATTCTTTTAAATCAGATTCAAGTGATTCAAAAATTAAAACTAGTGATTGTGCAATGGAGGAAAACACTGAAATGGATGAAAATGCAAATGTCTCTAAGTCTCCCCATAAAGAGTCTAAATCTGGGATCAAGAAATTTTTTGATTCTTTTAAACATCCTGAAAGTAAATCATCAGATGAAATATCTTCTCCAGAAGGTGATAAGGGCATAAATATTAAAGTACCTGTTACTATTCAGTCCAGTGATAAGAAAGTTCCAGAAATTATTCAAGACACAAAAACTAACAAAGAATTTGAGTTACCAGGTGCCTCCATACCTCCTATTTCTGATGAAAGTAAAGAAAGTGATAAAGGGAAACCTAAAGACAGCTTGCAAAAAGTGAAAACATTTTTTGATTCTATTATACATCCAGATACTAAAACATCATCAGCTGATGCTCCTACTCTTAATGGAGATTTGGATATCAATATAAAAGTGCCTGTCACTCTTCAGTCCAGTGAACAGCCTTTACAACAATCTAAACTCCCTGATAGTTCATCTAGAGTAAATTCTAATATTAATGCAAATGTACCTGTTATTGTTTGTGCAGAAGAAACTGGTAAACAAGTAGAATCTGCTGTTGAACAATCTAAAGTAAGTGACAAGGAGAAACAAAAAGATCCATTGCATGGTGTAAAGAAACTGTTTGATTCATTTATGCATCCAGATAATAAAGTGTCCTTGGTAGATGTAAATGCTTGTGATAAAGAAGATAATAAAGTACTATCTCCAAAAACACCAACAGTTATGCCTGAGAAAGAAAGCAAATGTTTAAATATTACAGATATGCACACCTCCACCAACCTAGCTGACAACAAAGAAATTGCAAAAGAACAACCAAAAGAGAGTGCAACAAGCATGAAAAAATTTTTGGATTCATTTAAGCATGATAAACCTGATGTTTTAAAAGATTCTGAGAAAACTATTTCCAAGACTGACAAAAAGAATAAAAGTGTAAAAAAGTCTCATTCTTTCCGAGAAAGCTTACTCACTAATCAAACTGAAAAAGACGCAGACAAAGAACTTGATAGTAGTAAAAAAGGTGCTAAAAAGCACGACAGCTCAAAAGTTCAAGATGAGTCTAAAACAGTGAAAGAATTAAAAAATAAAGAACTTAAACGTTCTTTGTCATGGAAAGAAACATTAACATCTAGCTCAGATGGATCTCGAGGGTTCAAAAACTTTTTAGATTCTTTGACTCATAAAAAGCCATCAACTTCAAAAAGTGATTCGGATCATATATATGATGTTGTAGAAAAGACAAAAATTCCTGTTCAGCAACCATGTCACACAGACTCCAAAGTAGTTAGTAAAAAGTTAGAGGATAAATTCAAGCAGGAAAGTAAAAAGTTAGAAGATAAACCCAAACAGGAAAGTAAAAAGTTAGAGGATAAACCCAAGCAGGAACAAAGTGGTGTAAAAAAGTTATTTGATTCATTTATTAGCAAAGATACACCTGTAAAACAAAAAGAAGTAGCTGTTGATCAACCATTGACTTCAGATTCTAAAGCAGGGAATAAAAAATTGGATGATAAACCTAAGCAAGAGCAAAGTGGCATGAAAAAGCTATTGGATTCATTTGTTGGGAAAGATACACCTGTAAAACAAAAAGTAAGTGGACCAAAAAAGGTCAGAATGAATGATGACATCATGTTTTCAACAGATTTAGAAGAAAAACCTGGAACATCAGGTTATACATTTGAAACTAAACATGAAACATCAGGTTATACATTTGAAACTAAGTCTGCACTCAAACATCAAGAGGTTGTGCAAAAACCTCCTCAGGCATCCAATGAAATTTTAAAAAGTGACATTGAGGCTGGTGGAAGTGCACCAAAAATTCAAATTGATGGACCTTCAGATGTGAAGCCGTGTGATGTAAAAGATACCAAGGTGACAAAGGCACCATTAGGACCTGCACCAAAAATTCAAACCCATGAATCTTCCGTCAAAGATGCCAAACCATCAGTTCTCCATTCTATTGGTGACAACATCTCTGCTTTAAAAGGAAAAATATTTCAACCCAAAGTAGAGAAAAAAGAACATACAGAAGTTGCTACTGATATAAAGACGGGGGAATATGATTTAGAAAATGCAGCTAAACATGAAAATGGGGCAGGAATGATAGGTTCATACAGACCTATAAAAGATGCTGATTTTGTTGATGTTGATTTAAATAAAGAGAGAGAAAATAAAAGTCCCACTTTTGAGAAGGTAAAATATACTGCACCTTTGGCAACACCTTCTCCTTCTAAAACAGCAGAAGTAAAAACTGTTGACTCCCCTCAGCAGCAAACCTCACCAGATTCTTTGTATGATACGTGCTGCTTCAGATTGGCGATTTTATTTTCGAACAAAGCCATAGAAATGGTATCTGATAAAGGAAAAACACCTCCTAAAAAACCTCCCAAGCCTTCAGCAGATGCAATCGCTAAAGCTAGGGCCAAGGTAGTTTCTCAGAAACTTAAAGAAATGCGAGCTAAGGGGCAAAGTATAGGAGAAAACATTCCAGTTGGTTATGATGGAATACGATTTGCAGATGATGAAACTGAATCTTCATGTGACTATAAAGATGTGGACAATTTTGATTATATAATGGACTATGAACTCACTAATAGGTATAAATTTGATAATAAAATGGACACCTTTAGTGATCCTAGTACTTGTAGTGGTAGCTATTATACTGCTGATACTGTAACTCTTAAAGATGAAAATTTTTCTGATGCTCCTATGGATGCAGCTAGTCTAGGCAGCTATGACGGCAGATTTTCACCTGTAGCTAGTAGTAGCATAGACATGAAGAATCGGTTGAAACAATCTAGTCAAACCCCTACTACGCAAAAACCTTCAGGTAAAGTAGGTCCCTTAAACGATGTGCAAAAACAATCATGTAGAGTTCAGACTAATAAAAAAAGAGTTCCTCCACCCCTTCCACCAAAACCTATTATCTGTCCAAAATCTAAGAGTCAGCGAAAAGAAAGTAATGAATCAGGCATCTACACTTTAGCTTCTGAATGCATTAATGGTCTTTCTTTATCTCCCAGATTGAAAACAAAATTGTCCAAAGATTCAGCTGCTACTAAAAGCAGGCCATTAGTAGTTGCTGGGTTAAAAGAAACAGAATTTGTTGGCTTGCAATCTAAATCTAAAGATAGCAATAAACAATTAAAAGATAGAAAATTTGACTTGGTATTGAAAAATGAATCTTTGAAAAAGATAAATACTATATCCTCCAAACATGAACCTCTCAAAGCCACTAAATCTTCCCCAGAAGTATTATTAAATGGAGAAACTTGCTCTAGTCTTACAAGGAAAAAAGCTACACCTGAAAGGCCCCCTCTTCCTTTAACATTGAGTCGCCCTGAAGACAAAATGGTAAAAAAATCAAAAGTACCACCCCAAATTCCTGAAAAACCTAAAAGAGAAAATACTGTAACTACTATTGTAAATGAAAAAAGAACTATTTCTCCTCCTAGACCCCCTCCACCTACAAATTCCAAAGTTGGTTCTCCTCCACCACCACGACCTCCTCCACCAGTTTCTGGATTTTCTCCATCGCAGCAAGTATCGCAAGTTTATTTAACTACATCAGATAACCAGGAAGAAAGGTCATCTGATATAAAGCCCAACATTACATTTGAAATTCACGATGAAACTCAACATTTTCTTTCTGATAATGGGTTTTCTTCACACGATTATGAAAATTCAGAACAATCAGAGGCAGTGTTACCAAAATATTCCATGCCTGCTTGTAATGCATCTGATGTAAAACAAAATGAAGCTATATCAAGTAATGATATTGAAAGTTCTGTACTTACTGAGAAAAGTTCTACGGAAAGAGTTGTAAGTAATGTTGTTCCTAAGGCACCTCCTCGAAATCGAAGGTTGCGCTCACGGACTGTCGAAATAACTAAAGTAGAAAGGCCTCCTGAAGAAAACCTTAGGAGGAGTCAATCTTTAAGTGATATTGATGTTGAAAAAAGAACTTCTTTCCTTAGTATGCCCGAAAAGACAGATTTGAAACATCTTTATACATCTGTAAATAAAAATGGTAAAAAGTCTAATCTTAGTTTATCTCAGTCATCAAGTCTAGAAAAGCTATCAGGTCGCCCTCTGCCTGCTCCACCACCCCCACCTAGAAAATTTCGTTCTCTTGATCGCAAGCCGAAACCTAAGAAAGCTTGTGCAGATGATTTGCCAGCAACTGAAAAAACTGAAACAATTGTTGAGACAGTAACATCTGGGTCTCTAGTTCATCCACCTTCAAGAAAGAAAAAGACTGAAAAACAGCGATTTCATAGTCTTGGTCATGATCATAGGCCTGAGGCTAAACCTTTGGAGGTTACTTCAAAGGCTGCACGATCACATAGTGCCCCTATAAGACCGGAAAGAAGGCCGAAGCAGTCAAATGTTGAATATGATGAGAATGCCAACGTGGCTTTTCCAGTTCAAGCTGAAGTCCATCGAAGCAATGTAATCTTAGATGAATGTGGTAATGAAATACTTGCTTCTAACATTCCTAGTCCTGATCGTGTTGATTCAAGAAACTCGTCTGTAAAAGTGACACCAAATCCTAGGCGGAAGAAAGTGAAGAATCCCAAAAAATCTCATTCTAGTTGGTATGATACTTGTCCAGAAAGTGAAGAATTTGAGATAGTTGATTGGAGTGCAACCGATGAAGTTGAAAGTCGGTTCTTTGTTGATAAAAAATCTGTCCCAAAACGTCGCCAGTCAGATCCAGGGAAAGGTGCTAGAAGGACTTCAAAATTTTATGTTGATGTCCAGTCAGATTGTGGTGAGCATTCACTTGTTGACAAGGAAACATCTCCTGTACGGTTAGATTGCTCTGAAAAATCAGTACAAACGTCTCTGGAGACATTGTCCCAGGGTATGACATCTCGTGATGAGAAAGATGATGATGACGACACAGATGAACTGTTAGATCTTGCTCAAACATTACAAAATGAGCTGAAAATTATTATTAATAGGCATAAGTCCTCCTCCGATGTAGGGGGTGACAGCAATGCAACTAATACTCCTATTATGTCTGAAACCGAATCAGAAGAAAGAAGTCCTGGGCGAGAGCTTGGTGCTAATTTAAAAAAATCTCCCAGTGTACTCTCTTCCAACTCTGAGATGTGGCCTATGACATCTTCTGAAGAGAGTGATAATGAAGTGCCACCTGGTGGATCAACCAGTTTAACAGAGATTGCTATGAAACGAAAGCAGAAAAAGATTTTTTACATAGCTCAGGAAATAATGACATCTGAAGAAGTGTTTGTTGATACTTTGAAATTGCTCAATGTGGTAAGATTTTTTTTTTTTAAATTGTTACAATTGTTATTATTTTGTAATAATTTTCTTTAGAATTTGTCTGTATAATTTTCTATTTTCTTTAGGATTTAGTGATTCATTTAAAAAATGACCTTGCTAGTTTAAGAGAGATGGGTTATTAGAATGTTTTTAAGAAACACATGTTTCAAAGATTATTATTATTGAAGAAAGTTTAAAATAATTTTCTATATAATTATTCTGTATTTTACTCTAGTTTAGCCATTTCTGAAGCACTATAATTTTTGTTACAAAATATTAATGTTTAATTTTCTAAAAATGAGAAATTCTAAAATTAAAGTGTAAAATAAGTCTTTTGGACTACTGAGTCTTCTTTCTTTTATTTCGCAAAATAGCTGCTGTTTATATGAAGTAACTATAGGCTGTACATCATGTTTTGCAAACTAAATTATTTCATTTAAAGCACAATAAAAGTTAATGATTTCTGTCTCAGAAATTCCCGTTATAGAAAGATCATTATCACAGTAATATCTTTTATTTGGATCAATTACTGATGTACTCAGTAAAAGTATTAAACAATTGATAATAAATAAAGGTAGAGAAAGAAAATGAGTAATGAACACCAACAAATATGTTTATATATATATTATATTGGAATTGAAATAAACAAAGTCGATATGTTCCAAGTTTTAGTATACGAGGTCTAATGATAGTTAAAAAAAATATTAACTTGTAAAAGCAATTTATACATGAGAAAAGAGGGAAAAAAACTTTACTTTCCATGAGATAAGCTTACCAGCATCCTCGGAAAATTAAAGAAACTTTTAGCAAAATTTTTAAAAGAACATTAAAAAATTCACATCTTTATCTTTCTAATTATTTTTTTTTAAAAACAAATTTCTGTTCGAGAGAATATCTGTGAAGGATTTAAATATCAAATTGAAAAGGTAAAGCAGTAAACTTTCAATAATATTTCTATAAATTTTTTTACCAGTTTTTGAAAGTGAGAACTAACTTAAAATTAATATTTAACCCGGAAGCAATTCAAGACCAATGCAAAAGTTAGTGTAATTAAGTAGATATTTTATATTAAGTTCTAAAATTTTTCTAGAATGTCTTAAGTGTGTGAGAGAGAGAGTATGCAGAATAAATCCTCTGTTAACTATTATAATTAACTGCTTGATACTTTCCTATGTAACTATAGTTATCTTATAGGATTTCAAAGCTGCAATTGAAGCTGCCAATCAACAAAAGGGCATGAATGTTGTCCCAGACGACGCATTATCCCAAATATTAAACCATCTCCCACAGCTTCAACATCTGAATGAAAATTTACTCATGGAGTTAAAAGACAGAATAGAAAACTGGTTTGTGATTTTTTTTTTAAAGTTTTAATATCCTAAGTCCTGTGTAGTAAAAAGTGATAACCCCATTTTTTTAATTTTATGATTAAGCAGATTTTCCTGATACATCAATTGCAGAGTATTGAGTAGCTGTCTTTCGACACAAACTCGTACTGTTTAAGCCGAATTAAAGCTTTGGTTGAATCTAATTATTTACTGTTAAGAAGGAAAATTTTTATTAGGTATGGGTTATCACTTTTTACCCCCGAATTTTTCAATTCTCTAGTATCATAGATAGCTCTGCTTTTAATAGCATTCCTATATAAAAATATAGTATGATTACTTGTACCTTATTACTTTAAGACATATACCTTTATAAAGCATGAAAAGTATAAATATAAATACTATGACAATTTATATCTTTATTTAATATGGAGCTCCAGTTAATATGGGCATATTTATAGTTCTTACCAATTCCTAATAGTGGTTCATGTTAAAAACAATGCTTAATGCCTACTACCCATTGGATAAAATCTATAAATCTCATTTCTTTACATATTTCTATCCAAAAAATAAATTTTTCTTTTTTTTCTATCAATTTTTTAACCACAGTGTCGTTATTACTGTCTGTTACAGTTGCATTAAGAAACCTTATCAAGAGTTTTTTTTTCTGTCATGAATTCATTAAAACTTTTCAAGAATTAATAAGTTATTTCTTTAATCTTTAACTAATGACACATTAAAGACATAAAAAGCAGATAATTAAGTCTGCTCATTCAGCAACCACTAAGTTAATTGTTATTTACATAACTTTATCAGTTTAAACATAAAATGTAGTTAAACAATGTTTCTAGAGTAACAAAATGGTAATTTAATAACTTTAAAAATCTAGTTTGATTAATATTTTTACTTAATTTTCAGCTATGAAAACAAATTTTATTAATTGAATGTAATTTAAAAGAAACATTATTTTTAGGTAAAATTTTTTTTAATCCATGCATACTGCGCTTTGTTTTGTTTTAAAAAAGAATTTATGAAATGTTTCTTGTCAATAATATGTATCATTATAAATATATAATTCTTTCTAATTTAACTTTAAGATTTTTAAATATTTAGGGATAAAATCGGAAAAATTGCAGATGTAATTGTCAAAATGGGTCCATTTTTAAAGTTGTATTCTTGGTACATACAAGATTTTGAATATAATGTGTCATTGTTGGAAGAGTCAAAGAAAAAATATCCTCTTTTTGCTCAAGCTGTTAAAGATTTTGAAGTAAGTTGTTATAAATTTGTTCAATATTAAATTGTTTTTTGATGGCTTTTTTATTTAATTATGCTTACATAAAATATGTTATAGCATAATTTTTATTATTATTATTTTTTTTTTTGCATTTGGTATTTCTCAACTTTTTTATTTGCTAATATTTGGATTAATTAATTTTTCTTGGAGAAAAATATATTAACGTTTTTATGTGCATATATTTTTGATTTTATGTTGGTTTGAGGTATCTTGTGGGACCTTTGCTGCCACACTTTCGCAGCCTATGTACAAAAATTCAACATTCTATTATTTGTAAAATTTATTCTTTGCCTAAAACTTTTTTGCTTTTGTGTGTACATCTGAATGAGGAATCATTTCTTTATATTAGGGTTGTATGGAATATTCGGTCACTATTTGGTATTCACCCCTTTTGCCTAATATTCGGGCAACCAAATATTGGGCAAAATATTATTTGAAAAATTATTTTTCTATGAAGTTTGTTTGGAGGAAATTTAATTAAGAATAAGCATATTTGTTGAGTTCTAAAACTTGTTAACTTATGTTCTGAAAGACGCACAGAAAAACGAAATTTGAAGAATCGGAGCTAAATTACTTAATACTGAACGATGAGTTTTGTAATGCTGATTATTTTTTTTTGTAATTATATTCAGGCAAGTCAATTTTATTGTTTTTGCAATACTTTATGTTTTAAAGATTGAGAAATTTTTTTTGTTTCATTTATACTTGTTTTTCTGTTTTAACTAAAGCAATTCATGTTCACAGAGCTTTTCTAATAGACTTTATTTTTTTTTGTTGTCACCTTTTTCTTGTATGGTAGGATAGATAACTAGTAACATAGAAAACTGTAATTCTCAACAATAAAGTTATATTTCAGAGCTAAGAAATTTTTTTTTCAGTTTCTCTTTTGATTTTTTTATTATTAACTTTTCTTTCCATCATCATTTTTATTCTGACAGCATTTTTTAAAGAGCGTTTCTATTGAACATTATTCTTTTATTGTCACTTTTTTCTAAAATACAGCAATATGAAAAAGTTAGATTAGGATTTCAAGTATTAAATCTTTTGTTTAAAAATTAAGAACGATTTTTTATAGTCTATGATGATCTCTTTAAGCAGTTCAAATATGTAACTTTTCAACAAAAGAAAAAAAAGGGTAAAATATTAAACCTGTGTCAAATAATAAGCTGATCAAATATTAGGGGCACCGGAAAGTAATGTCGTTTCGGTGCATTTTATTACCAAGATTTTATTTTTAATCAATAATGTATTCACCCTCGTTAGCAACAATTTTTCAATGCTGGGTCGAAAATGAATCGCAATGGATCGGAAAAAAATGAATTGGTTTTTAAGACGAATACAAATTTCATCTTCAATTCAATAGCACTTGATTTGATCAACTTACATAGATTACCTAATACCATTTAGGTTTGGCACAGTCATAATTATTCCACCTCTCATGCCATTTGTGCTATGCGTAGTAAAAATGAATATAGCGAAACAAACTGCTCAAGGTATTTTAATTTAAAATATTCTATAGCAATTAGGAATTTTTTATGCTTTTTAAAATGGATAACATCCAAGAGGTTTTAAGTCATGTTTTTATGCGAATCTTAAAGTTATCTTTTTTGTTTTCATAGGCTAGTGCCAGGTGCAAGAGATTGGCCTTAAATCATTTCATGTTAAAACCTATTCAAAGGATACCTCAGTATCGATTATTGCTTCAAGAGTACTTACACCATTTGCCTGAAGAACATGTAGACTATCAGGATACTGTTGCAGCTCTACAAATTGTCAGTGAAGTTGCTACTCATGCTAATGATAGCATGAAGCATGGTGTAAGTTAACTTTTGTTCCTTGATTTATTTCAGAAATTTTATTAAAAATTGGCTGATATTTCTTAGAGCAATTAGTCATAATTTCAATTTCAAGTAAATTTCTAGACTTATCAAAAGAAAATTTTTTAGAGAATAATTTCACTCCTCTATTAATTTTTGATAAGTGAATTTTAAAACAGAGTTTACGCTTGTAAGTTATCTCCATTTTATAACACAGCTTTTTATAACTAAGATATATGTTATACAAAATCACAGTAGAATAATTGCTTGCTTATTTAGCTAATTGCAGGTAACTTAGACTAAGGTTTCTTAAAAAATTATTTACAAAATGTATGGAACGTAAATTTTTTGCATACTTTCTTTTGTTTTGACCATTTAACAGCATGTTAGAAATCCGAGAAGGTCATTGAATTGCTCTAAAATTGACTTTTCCGATTTCATTCAAAACAAAGTACTTAAAATATAACTAACTACAATAGCTTCAATAAAATAACTGCAACTGCTTTTGAAATCTCTCTCATATCTCTTTAAAAAGCACTTGCAGTTATTGGCTATGTTTGAGTAATAACAATTTCCTTAATTCAGAATTCATTACAAAGATTATCACTTTCTCTACACTGATTAATTGATTTTCTGATGGATAATCTTTATTCAGCAGCAAGGAAAAAAACTAACAATTTACACAAAAATTTTACAAGTATTTTCACTCCCACTAAAGGTTGTAAGGAGTAAAATTCAAATCCCATGTATATTGTCAAACTCTAGTCTTAAATAGGTGCCTTATTTCTTGCTTTTTATTATTTAAAAATAACAAAGTCTTTATTTTATCTCTTTGATTACAAATCTTATTTACTTATTTGTTTTTATATTTTTTTCAGGATAATGCACAGAAGCTTATTTCTATACAAAACAGCATTATGGGACATAAAGAAATTATTAAACCTGGACGAGTATGCTATCTTAAAAAATTTGCTTCTCTTATTTATGTTTCAATATTTTCGATACTATGAATAATTATTCTCTGTTTTATTTATTTATAGTTGAGATTTATTAAATTATGAGTTATTATTCAGTTTGTTTGCTGTAATTGTTAATATATAATTATAAAAAAATATTTGGAAGTTATTTTTCAAAATGTGGTTATTTGTACAAATGGTATTATTTTTATTTGTGTATATGAAGAATTTAATTAATTTTTTTTATTTATATTTAATTTTTGTTAAAAGTTAGCATTCTATGCTGTTTTTTTATCCTGTTTTTTCTTTCCTCGATTTTGTTGGCAATATTTGTTTATTCAGATTCAATCTGTGAGTCTTTTAGTCTTGTATATTTTGGTGTATACATCAATCAAATTAAATAAAATAAGCTAAATTATGGTTTTTGAACAGGAACTGTTATAACTTTGAGAATGGTTATCGGTGAAAAATAATTCTTTATTAAGTTAGTTATTTTATTTTAAAGTTTGATGATAAATACTGATGCAATGATTTGTAAATGCATATCCTATTAGTAGTTTATTTAATATATTGTTATTGAAAAAACGAAAAACAAAATTTTTAAAAATTTGATTTTTCTTTTTTATTGGCCTTCTTTAAAATAATTTCATAAAGATTATCTAAATATTAAATAAATAATCCTTTATTGGTTGGATTCAAACCTATTATAGGTTTCAAAAATCATTCCTGTTTTTTTTTTTTTTTTTTTTTTTTTTTTTTTTTTTTTTAAAGAAGAAAAAACAAATAATGTCCAAACTCACAGATCCCCAGTGACCTTTCCATGGAACCCTAGGCTTCCGCAGAACTCCTTTTGGGAATCGCTGAATTAGGGTAAAAAGGCTCTGTTAATACTTTGAAGTTAGAAAATTAAATTAGTAATTTTTAAATTCAACATCTATTCAGAACAATTTTGTTTCGATTTTAGTCCTCACATTAAAGGAATTACCAGAATTTCTTATGATCCGTAGGTTCAAGGATCTATTTCAAAATTAACATTGTTTTTTAACTTTCCATCATTGCATAAAATGTAACAAAAGTTTGAGTTTTTTATCTAAAAAAAATTACTGTAAGACATGAATAGTTATACAATTAAATTAGTAAGACAAACAAATGGTAAATTAAGAAGGTTTCTATAAAAATGTTTCTATAATAAAATATATATAAGTATGTATCTATAATGAAATATATATAAGTATGTTTCTATAATAAAATATATATATATATATATATTATATATAAAAAAAATTTCAGCAATAAGAGTAGTTTATAATAATAGATGAACATTTCTCTGTTTCAGTTTATAAGCACAAGAAGTTTTGAAATTCAAAAAATAGTTAATGTGTCATTTCTGCAAACCCACCTATAGGTTGAGAACTCTTGCTTTAAGATAATATATCTATTTTAACACTTAATGAGTAACACATAAATCAAAATCTAGCAATCCGCTGGTACTAAATTTGGAACGCCTCAACTGATTTAGTATACGTTCTTTGTATAGGTCAAAAATCAATATCATTCTGTTGATTACAAAATGAGTTAGTTTCGCTTTATCAAATGCTTTATACCAGGTGTCCCCAAAAATGTACCACAATATGTAAAGTGAATTGAAGAAAACAGAACGAATATAAAATAGTACAGTTTGTTATGTTCTGTTTAAGAAACCAGAGCATCTATTTTCACAGAGTTTCAAAATTAATTACAAAGTTTACAGATAGTGCTGCTAGTGGGAAAAAATTATAAAACAATGGTTTGCAGAAACAATGTGGCGCAGTTTGAGAGCAAAATTATCAGATACTTATGGAATATTTCCAGTTTACTGCAGCATTTGACAGCAAACTTTGCAACTCATTTTCAAGCTCCATAAGAATGAATTTTTAGTTTCCTAAGGAGAATGCAGCAAACTGCACATTTCTATCTCCTATTTTTTCCTCAAACGAATTTCCGGAAAAAAAACTATTCTTTTTAGATTTTTTTGTTTTTGATTTTCTTCATGGAAGAATAAATTTATATATTTCTTTCAGTTATTTATTAAGGAAGGTGAATTGATGAAACTCTCACGAAAAGGAATGCAACCGAGGTGGTTTGTTTTAGTAAGTAAAATGTTGTTTAAAAGTTTTATTTAATTTAAAATTTCATTATTTAAAACAATTCTTTCTTTAGTTTGTATAATTTATAAAATTTTATTCTATAGAATAACTAAAATCTTGGGCAGTTTCACAAAAAATAAAATACTTTTTCATCTATAGAAATATAATTTAAAACACCCAAACATTCCTTGTTGAAAGCATTTAAGTGCTTCAGTGAAGTACATTTTTTTTCTAATTGAGACATGAAGTAAACAGTGTTTAAGCCATTTATATGTGTTTAGGAGGTTTTTGACTTAATTACATCACTCTCTTTTATATTGATAAGTTGTAAATTTTTTATTTTAGATATTTGCTTTTTTATATAAACTTGTGGTTATCAAATACATCTTTTTTTTTTCTTCAATTAAATGATAAGAATAAGTTCAATAAAAGTATTGGGAATAAGATTGGTTTAAAATTGTTCTTTCATTTTACTAGACGACAGCCATCACAAATGTAATTGTGGAAGGCAGCAGGTCTTGTTCTTTTATTATGTTTTCAAATGTGAAACATTATTTTTGTGTAAAATATATTTCTGCTAAAGTATTTACATTTATTATGTATGATCATAAATATTTGAAATTTAATTTCTTAGTTACATGAAAACATAGTCAGTTGTTTATTTTCTTCTTTCAGTTCAATGACCTTCTTTTATATCTAACACCTGTTCAGCAAGGGTTATACAGGGTTAATCATGAGTTGCCTCTCACTGGCATGAAAGTTGCCATTCCTATTCAGCAGGATTACCAAAACGAATTTAGCATCATCTCTGTGGCAAGATCTTTCACTTTGGCTGCTAGGTATGTTACCTTTTTTTACACACTTTTAGTTACTCCAACTGTTTATTTTATACCATTCTGTATTCAAAATTAAAATAAACTATGCAAAGTATTTCGCAATGATTGCCCTTTACATATGTTTATAGAATCCTTATGAAACTAAATGAAGTAGAAAAAGTCACATTATTGTCACTAACAATTCAACATGACATATGAATAACAACATGAATATCTCAAAAAGAGCAAAATATTTAAAATTTTTGTCCAATCCCTATTGTGGTTAATATGCTGCTTATTTGAGAATGAAGTTGAAGCTGCTTATTTGAGAATGAAGCTTAAAAGCAATTCCTAACTTAAGATGAATGCTTTCCTCTCCCACTAGACAAGCTTGTTTCTGATGCATGGTGCGTAGTGTTTTTAAAAAGTGCTTAAAGGTGCTTATTTTCTATTTTCGTTTTTTAAAAGCCCTTAAAGGTACTTTTTTCATAAAGTGTTTTTAAATAATGCTTAATTTTCCCTTTTCAAAAATGAGATTTATTTCTTTATCCTGTCAATTTTTGGCACGTATTATGCAAAAATGTGCTTTTCACATTGTTCTATTCAACATTTTCTCAATTCATTTAACCACAATCCATTTTGGTGTACAGCCTGTCCATATAGCGTATGAAAGCACCAAACATTTTACATGTTTGATGAAATGCTTGCGAGTCTGCATGTACGACTACTGAGCTGGGTTTGGTGAGATTATTGCAGTTGCATGTGCAACTCAGCTGCATTTTGCAAGATATTTACAATTTCTGGCTCATTTTCCTCCCTCTGATATCGAGCCAATAAATCTCTTGATTATTTTATAATGGCTAATATAATAAAAAAAAAAGTTCTTTGTCTGAATCTAGTTATTAACATGATCATGTAAAGTCTTTGTTACTGTATATAGTGCTAAAAAATATTTTTTGAGTGCTTAAAAAGTACTTAAAAGGTGCTTATTTTTGTTGCAAGATTTGGCTACGCACCCTGTAATGGTTTTAATTCCTTCTTTGCTTTCAATCTTAGTGCATTGTTGATCATTGGCAAGTTAATTTGCCATCTGTTAACAATGTTTGGGCATCAAATCAACTTATAGAATGTTTATTTTACTTTCATTTTCAATTACAAGATACTATGCCAGAGAATTAGCATAGTTTCTGTGTAAAATTACTGCTCGACAAAGTGTTAATAATCATTAGAAAGAGTTTCAGAATGTTTTTTTTTTCACTTCAATGGAACTTTCCATCTTATATATGATTATAATGAAGTTATTAGTAGCAAGTTTTTAACGTGCATTTATTAACGTTTTGAATTAATTTTATTTTCACAACATTTTATCACTGACTGAAAGTGTAAGTAGTTTGTAATTATATGTTTGATGAAAGAAAAATATTTTCTTTAGATCTCCGGAAGAAAGGCAAGAATGGATTATTGCATTGACAAAAGCCATTGAAGAAAATGCTTCCAAAAGAAGCACATTCACAAATACCAGGCTACAACAAAAAGTAATTACAAATTTCAATTCTTCTACATTTATTGACTGTCATTTAATGAATTTCAATGAAGTGTTTAATTATTGTAAATTTTTTAGAAAATTATTTAGGAATTAAAATAATTTTTCTTGTTAATTTATCTTTACTAAAACAACAGTTGCTGATTTATATACAAACCTGCAGTTTTGCATGTAGAAAGTCATAGATTTTTTTTTATCCTTTCAAATGAGATTGCAAGTAAAAAACCTCACTCCATTTTCTACTTAAAAATGGTCTCCTAGAAGAAAAGCCTCAGATTTATTTGCATTGAAGCACCCATCTACATAGAATTAGGTAGGAGACTATCTAGAATTGGATCAAAGAAAAAGTATCTTTCATACAATGGTTTTTTTTAAGTGGGAAATGAATGTAAACTAAAGTTGTTTCAAAGAAAGTATGAAAATTTCATGGCAGAAAAAATTAAAATATTAAAACTGCCAGTGGGTCAAAAGTAAATTGTTGACCATCATGTTAAATCTTGCTGAGAAGAATTTTTCTAAAAAATTTACTATAATAATTAATTTTTATTGTTTAAAATTATCCTTAGAAGCATGCAGAGTGTTGAACAAGATGGATGCATATAATCTTTATTTAAGAACTAGTGTTAATATCAATAGTTACTAATGAGGGACTATTTTACAATATTTACAAGGAAATATGTTTATTTCGTAGCAAACATANGGGGAGACACACGCTAGAGAGACTGCCGGCCTCAGCGGTAAGCGCGCTTTTTCGCTTTGCGTCGCGAAAGGGTTAAGAACTAGTGTTAATATCAATAGTTACTAATGAGGGACTATTTTACAATATTTACAAGGAAATATGTTTATTTCGTAGCAAACATAGGGGGAAAATTCTGGTTTTGAGTTGAAAAAGTAAGTTTCTCAGTTGCTTCATAAATTTTTCTCTTGCATCAAACCTTTCTGCTGGTTTTATAAAAACACATGTAAATAAATTATTATTTTACTATGCATATCAGATATATCAAATTTTTTCACTTTTTCCTTTTGTAATATACAAGTGTGTTTTGCGTTATGAAATTTATTTTTAGGATTTTTATTTTTGATCAATTATAATTGTTTTTACATGCTTTGCAATTTTATTGAATAATATAATTTATATTTACTGTAGAAATGTTATAAACCATGTAAAAAAATAACTATAATTCATTGATAAATATACTGTAGAGTTCTGAAAATTAATGTGAAATAACTGAACCACTTTTAACTACAAAAACTTAAATTCTCTAAACGACAATATTCTTTTTATATTTTGTAAAAAATCACCTGAGATATTTAAATTCTTTATTTTAGTAGATTATAAAATTTTCGTAGTTCAAAGCAGTATTTTTAGCTGTGATAAAATGTAGTTATTTCCCTACTAATTTTAATTCCTAGCTAGGACNGACAGCTTAAATCAGATTTCTGATGCATCGCTTGGAATGAAAGTTGCTGTATCGGTTTGCCGATATAGGCATTAAATCGATATGTCGCGATATATCGATTTATAGCCCAGTCCTATTCCTAGCATAACAATATCTAAATAAATAAATTTAAATTCCTTCAGCTTAATGCAGCATGTTGTTATCCAAGTTATTTTCTGAACTTGCTTTTGAGTAGTTCTAGAATGAAATACTTAATTCATATGATTTTAGACGCAAGATAAAGCTGCGGAAGATGATGAAGCAGAATTTGTTTTGGGGAGAAAAGCACCAGTATGGATTCCAGATTCTCGTGTCACTATGTGCCAACTATGTACAAGTGAATTCACTGTCACTTTTCGACGCCATCACTGTAGAGCTTGTGGAAAAGTAATTTATTCAATCTACTCAAATTTTTAAGGGGTAACACCTTTGTAATTGCCTACAAAAATGCGTATTTTAAGTAAATTTAGTGGTATAACATATGTTTATTTAAAATGATTTGTTAAAATAAATTTTGTAAAACTGTGTATGTGCATTGATGATATAAAATTGAAAGCATTTACTATTGGCAGACTCTATATATTATTAAATTTTTGTCTGATTTAGTTAGAAGTTTAATAATATGTATATCATTGTTGTAATTTAATGCAATGTTCAGAGTTATTGCATGCCAAGAAGAACCCATAATTGTAAGGGAATATTGCCTTTATTATGCCGAAACCTGTAAAAAATTCCTGTAACAAACACAATAAAACTATGAACAAAAATTAGACAATAAGGTAAAAAATAAAAATGTTTGCTTCTATTATAATTATATTTTGCAAAGATTTTATTGCAATGTGGTTAAAATTATTTTGTATTAAGTCAAATTATAATATATGTTTGTATAAAAAATAATATATCAATTCATGCTTCATATTTCATGAATAAACTTAACATGTAGAATAAATAAGAATGCTTTTTGATAAACATTTGCCATGTGTAATAAAGAAAAAGATTTCAAAATTTTGTTGCAGTTTTGTTTGAAATCCTTTCAAAATAGGTTTTCCCCCACTTTAAACCCTGAGGGAACCATGATTATTTAATAATTAAAAACTAGAAATGTAAAAATTTCTGAGGTCAATGGAAGCTACATTAATTTTCTATATGTAAATTGGTTGAAAATTTAAGATATCAAACCTGCAACTTAAAAAATGCTGTTATTAGAAAACTCTGAAATTTGTAGACTGTATCTTTGCAACATAGATTGAATCTTTGTCATTTATTTGAGTTTCAATTTATACTTTTAGCTTTTAGAAAACTGTTATGGAATAGGCATATGATAAATATGTAAAAATGAAATAATTTCTGCTCTAGTATTTTATTTTTTAAGAATCAATTATAGTGTGACACAAAAAAAAATTTCTAATCGTAAATCTTGTTTCTGTTTCAGGTTATATGTTCAATTTGCTCAAGTAACCGCATATCACTACCTTATTTGGGGAATAGAATAGCGCGTGTTTGTGATGATTGTCATGTAAAATTAGGACCGGGTAAATATTTGATTTAGTTTTTTTAAATTTTAATTTTCTAACAAGGAAAACTTATTTTCTTTAACTTAAATGAGTTTTACATCAAAATATTCATTAAGTATCACAGAAAAAATATTTAATACTCTGATAATCAAAAGCTTTTTTTTTATCAAATTTTTAATTTAATGTCATTTTTGTTCCTCACAAACTATTTGGTTAGAAATGCATAATTATTCTGCAGGTTCTGGTACATGTACTGAATCAGCTGAAACTGATAGTGATAATCAACAAATTGCTGTTAAATCTCACCTCAGAACGGAACACAAACATGTTAAGAAAGGGAAACGCAATTTACCCAGTGTCTTGAAAGAGGTAAAATGTTTATAATATCTATATTTTAAAGTTTTTTAAGCACTGTGTTGTCAGTTACACGCTCAGTGTTGTCAGTTACACTTACACGTTCTAACACTTTAAATGTGACAAAAATTGTAGGGGCGCCATGATGGTTCAGGTGATAGAGCGTTCGTCTTCCAATGAGGTGAACTGGGTTCGAATCCCAGCTGGTCAATACGAATTTCGCATCCAGCTTGCACCAACTGCAGTGCTGACATAAAATATCCTCAGTTGTAGATGGATCATGGGTTAGAGTCCCCTTGCTGTCAGGCTAACCGTGGGAGATTCTCGTTGTCTTCCTCTCCATGTAACGCAAATGCGTTCCCAATGAGTTCCCTCAAATGAGTTCCTCAAAACGCAAATGAGTTCCCTCAAAAAAGTGCTCCACGAAGACAAATTTATCCCAATACTGATCCAGGAGTTCCCATGCCTTCTGGATTGGGTTCAAAATTACAAGGCTACGGAGTTGGAAAATTAGTAGTCATAAACCCAAAAAATTGGGTCGGTTGTTCAATGATGGTTATAAAATTAAATAATTGTAGGGGCAGGAAAAATAAATTATGATAAATCCCCTGGGATGCGTAATTTTCCTGTGCAGGAAAAAAAAAGAGCTGTAATAGATTTATGCAGGCAAACTTATAACCAAACTTTAAATACATGCAATAAAAGAAATTCTTCTTTATTAATAACTGAAGGAGAAAATTATAATAATTCTGAGAATCAAATTATATCATCGCTTTCCCTCGATGCAGGTGTGTCTTAATTGAAAGCTTTAATTGTTCAGATCTAACTCTTCTTGTTTTGTCTATCAATATATAGAATAATCATGAATGTGAATTTTATAGATGGGTAAGGAAGTAGAGAATTAATGTTTTAAATTGGGGTCCACTTTTAGCTAAAAGGGACCCAGAAAAATGTAAGTATCATTAGGACCCATAGTTACCAAAGTCTAGCGGAATCACTGGTTGCATATTTTCATTACTACTTTTTTGTATTTATATGATAATAATACTTTGCTTGAAATTGCTATCTTAAGTGAATTAATCTTTGTGTATATTAAGGTTTGTGCTAATGATCAAGGATCCACAATCAGTGGGTATTTGCAGAAAAAAGTCGGAAAGAGTTGGAAAAGGGAATGGTTTGTTATTAAAGACAAGGTTTTATATGAGTACAAAGCAAGTGAGGTATGTCTGATTTTTATTTCTAAGTACACCCTCCCTTTTAATTATGCGCTTAATGTGTATATTCTTATAGAAAAAGTTATTTATTTAATGGATTTAAAGTATATTACTTTTAATAAATTATTTTCCAGAGTTAGGTATGATGTATTTTTGTCAAATATTGTACTTATTTTTTGTAGAATTATTATCAAAGTTTAACCCTGTCCCGTCCCCGTCAGGGGGCATCCGGAGAATACTGTAAACTCTAAGTGCACGCACATGACGTGACCTCTCAGTAAAAAAAAAGGATTAAAAAAGGTAGGCTTGGTGGCGATCCGTGGCAACACCAGAAGGCCTCAAAGAATTTAGTGAAATCTTAAAATTAACAATAGTAGTTACTCAGAAAATAGAATTTAGGAGTTTGAGTGTTCAAACATAATAGGCGAGGCATAAAAAAAAAACTTTAAAAAAAGGTAAACATATTGATGATGAAAAGAACCAGAATTTGTCCAAAGCCCATGAAAACAGATTCAATTTCAAAAGGAAGAGTTACGGCAATATTTTTTGTAGAATAACAAGGATGAAATTTTTTTTTATTTCAAGTCTTTAATTTATGCAAATAGGTAGTTTGTTACAGGTTTACAAATCGTCATAAGTTGTGTTATGAAACGTTCCTACTATTCGATGTATAATTAACATTTTGTCTTTTAACATGTCTTGTAATAAATAATTCTACTTAGACAGTATGCCTTCTGTAAGTAAAAACACATCCCCCCCCCCCCCAATTTTCTTACTTTAATTCTTTTGCAGCAGACTCTCTGTTACCTAGAATATAATGTTTTAGCATTTAACAGTATATCAGATTCATACTTTTGCATTATTAAACACAGGTCCCATAACCCAGGTACATTAATGATATTTCCTCTTTTTTTTTCCCTTTCAGTTTATTTGACTACCTTTAATATATGACGTAATATTGGTACCTTCCACAGAGTATATATGTTTGGTGCAATTTGACAAAATCTGTCTTTTGTTACATTAAACTTCTTTATAATAAACAATTAAGAACTAATTTATATCAAAAACTCGAACCAGCTTAAAATATTGATATTTATTTCATTGTGCGTTTTGCTTTTGTTATTTATTTTTTAAAACCTTTGCTAGAAATAAATAACTTTTAATTAATAGTTGCTACTTTTGTTTTAGGATGTGGCTGCTCTTAAAAGTTTACCTCTACTTGGTTATCAAATAGAATCTTTTTCTGAGGTAAAGAAATTATTAATATTGTTATTATTTAGGGTTGCTATTTTTTCATATTAAAGTGTAGAAAATCTTAAAGTCTGGTGATTTTTTTATCAAGATAATTATTTCTTACATTTACACATTCATAATGCTGATTAGATAATTTGAAATAACACTTTGTTTAGAGTAGAATAAAACATGTATTACTCAAAAATAAATATCAGTATGTAGCTAAACTATTTATAGAAATTAATGGGGAAAAAAACAGAAAATTTTTCTTAAAAAATACTTTCTATTTAATCATAAAAAAAAATTTAAATAGAGAATAACTATTAAGTCTGTCAGTCAGAAACTATAATTGGCATAAAAAAATATATATTAGGTATACATCTGAAAAAATTCTATATACATCTGAAAAAAAAATTCTATAACAATAAAAATTAAAGAATTAAAAATGAAAAATATTCTTAAATACTATTATTAAATACTATTATAAAATATTATTAATCATTCAAAATTTGCAGAAATTTTAAAATTCTACATAAAATAAAATAAATTCACACTTTAAAGAACGTTTTAGAAATGAAAACCTAGTGTTAAAAAAGGAGTTTCCAAGATAAAAAGCTGATGATAAATTCTCCACTTCTACAACTACATGTTAGAACATGTAATTATTTTTCATTTACTGATATAAAAGCATTTAAAACAAGAAAGGAATTAAAGTCTAACAATTTTTTAATATTTGAAAAAAAATGATCTCTCTCTCACTTTTTAATTGGAAGACAATTTTTTTAAGCTAAGTTTAATTTGACTTCAGGGTAAAAAAATTTCTGTGTGTATAGGATCTAACAAAACTCCTTTTTTTTTTTTTTTTTTTTTTTTAATTNTTTTTTCATCTTGTCAATTATTTTTGATGTATCAGAAGTGATCTAGTTCATAAGCAGATCTCTGAAAATGCTTAGATGTGGTGTATTTTACTATGAACCAATAGAGAGAGAAAAAAAACTAATTTATTGAGAAAATAATTCTATAAATTATATATTTTTGGAATATTTTTTTGTTTTCAATATTAAATTTGTTTTTAAATAAAGTGTAATTTACCTAGAAATTTTTTGAATAAAATTATAATGTGTCAATTTTTTTGTAAGTTGTATAAATTTCTAAAGCATATTTCCTGTAGGAAATGTGAATGTTAAGTTTTTCAATAGTTTAACATTAAAACAACAAACTTGAATCTTTCAAATTTCATTAAAAAAAAATTTTAATTTAAGTTTTTTTCTATATATTGATAAAATGTATTTCTATAAAACAAATTTAATCAAAAAATTAGATGTAGCACAAATATTTATTACACTTTTAAAAAGAAACTGCTAAAGCATTCACCCTGCATTTCAAAATTTTGCATTTATGATATATGTTATAGTAAATCAATTTTTAAGAACGTCTAGCATTTTATTTTGTGTACAGAGGCTCTGTCCCACAAAAATTTGTCAGTGTGAGATTTTACTCAACAATATTTTGCCACAGTTATTCGATATTGCTACCTTAAAATACTGTTTTGCAATATTTTGTGTGAGCAGATTCTGTCTCGTGATATTTTGTGAACATTTTTTCCCACCATTTTTTATTTTTGGCTATGATGAATTTTTGCATCAACAAAACATTGTTAAAATAACAATGACAAAAAAAAAAAAGTTTTTTAAAACAATGAAACTGATAGATACTCTAATGTTTCCACGCCAAACATTTCCTCAACTAAATCGAAGTTGATTTGTATGTTTTTAATCTACTTAAAAATGTGTTAATACCATGAGTTTTTTTTTTAAAAATAATGTTTTATTTGTATGTAATTTAATGGCATCTTTCTATTAATGATTTAGAACATAGCATTTGAAAACATAGATCCATCTGTGCTGTTTCAACTCACTCACCCAGGACAGGCTCCTATAATTTTTCATGCTGATACAGTTGGATCAACAGAGAGGTATGCGCAATCTCTTAAAACATTTAGTTTTACTTAACTTGAAAGTTTTGAATATATTTTTAATGTAATTTATTTCTATAAATGCGATTTTTTTCTTCTTCTTTGTTTAGTAATTCAAAAGAATATGATGATTAGTTTCAGATATCCTATTGATAACTTATAAAAATAATTCCCTGATTTAATGTAGAGCTATATTTTACTCAGTATTAAATTTACAAACAAAAAAAAAAACAAAAAAAAAAAAAAAAAAAAAAAAAAAAAAAAAAAAACGCAAATAATAGATTGCAGGATTACTGGATAGCAATTGTAAATGACATGTCTTTTTCCACATTTTTTTATAACTATAAGAAAATTAACATTTTATTAAGCATTTAATTTAAATTGCTAATTTATATGTTGAATTTATTTTTAGAAGTACACTGAAAATTTTTACACATGAGTAGTATTTATATAAATTACTAAAAAAAAAATTTCCAATATAAAATACTTTGGACATTATTTAAAATTAGACAAATATTCATTATTTGTAAGGGGCATTTTTTGACTTACAAAGTGGACGATGATTCAAAAAATGTCAGGGAACCTATGCCTTAAAGGAAAATGGAATAAATAATCAATAAGTCATTCTTTTCTTTTTAAATCATCTTATATTGATTTCTGTGAGCTAAGATTTTATAATATAAATTAATATAACTAGTGTAAACTAAATGTTACTGTGTATTGAATTATATAATTATCGTGTAAGAAAATAAGGCTAATTTGATGTGACAATTTTCTTATTTCCAAATATATAATGATTACTTTTCAGTCAACAAAGCCAATAAAATAATCTAAAAGGGAAAAAATGACCTACTGATCATTTAATTCATTGTATTAAGTTAGAAACATAGATTTTTTATTCAAGTTTACAAATTATTACTACAGTGCAATTAAAAAATTGTGTATAATTTTAGTTCTATTTTGAGAAAAGAAAGCAAAAATTTGGGATTATTCCATCAATTTTTATAATGAAGTAATTTTTAACCTATTTTCTTGAGTCTCGTCAAAATTGTACTGTAATTTCCCAACTGCACACTTTTTCACTGAATAACATGGATCAAATTGGTTTGTCGCCGTAGAAAAGCTTGTAGCTCAAAGTTAGAACAAAACCAGAACTAATTCCCAGTAGATTAACCTAAAATCTCCTGTTCGGGTGCAAGTAAAATTTGCATTAACCGTTTGAGTGCGAAGCGCTATCGCTTGTTATTTGCCAAAATTGCTCGTTTTGTACCGAAAATGTGGAGACACTGTTGCTGGTTAGTATAATTTTCGGATCGATTGAGAGCAGTTGAATTCATATCAATCGCAGTTTTTATTAATTTTACTCAATTGTGATTTTTAATAATATAAGAATTAAAATAAAATACAGTGCGCATTTCATTCCGCACTATNAAACGCTGGCACAAATAAGTGACGGTCGGGGGTGAACGAGAAAACTCTCTGACACGCGGGTGTGTCGGCCGGGAAGTGAGCGCGTTTCTTGCTGTCACATATATGTGACAGTCGGCTCGAAAGGGTCAAGTGTTCCTTCACTGGTTAGTTTACCCTATATCAGAAAACTCTTCAGCACTCAAAACGGTTAAGTTATGCTACCCTGAAAACATTTTAAAAAAATTTCTTATTTTTATATTACAATTTTGCCTAATGAATTTTAATTATTTTTTTAATCATCTTAAAATATTAGTTATTTAGAAAATTATCACATTTTTGGTTTATTAAAATATTTTGTAATTTTAGATGGATATCTGCTCTAAAAGAAGCTTCAGTACTTGAATGATGTTTATTGGACTGTTTTGATACATAATAAAAAGTGTACAGTAATTTTATCATTTGTGATAATGAGTGCCCTCTAGTGTGTGCAGCTGAACGATTGAATTCTCTTTTTTTTTGTAACTCTGGTATATAAAGGAGTCTGATTGGATGATCCTAATGCATTACGGGAATGTTTACACAGATTTTTATTTAAAATATTATATTGTACTTTTTAGAATTGATCACTTCTTGCATGTTTAGAAATTTTGCAAAAACCATATTGATTTTAGGAATCTCAATTTGTGATTTTTTTTTTAAAATTGGTATAGAAAGAAATAATAAAAGCGTATCATTCTATTATAATTTCTGTTAGTATTAGATTTGTGATATTATAGAATTTACGTACAAAAAAAGTTTTTGTATTTATGTGCAATACGAGACAGTATTTCAATTTTTGAATGAATTTTTAGAAAAAATTTTGAATAATAAACTTTTAAACTTTGTAAAAAGTTTTGAATGTGATATAATACTTTTTAAACTATGTAAGATATATTTATCTGTTAAAATTATCAGCATAAATTATTCTGAAATATTTGTAGATATCGAATTACCTTTATTTATTTTGCTGAGAATAAATTATATTTATGTTGAAATGTTTCTATTTTTTCCTTCAATTTAAAATATTATACAATGTAAAATTTTTTATTTCACGATGTTTGCAGAAAAAATTATGTATCCTATCAAAATTTGTATACATTTTTTGTATGGAGACAAATTTTAAAAAGTTAATGTAAACCGGAAAGTCGGAAATAAAAAAAATTAACGTTAGTTATAATGACTAAACTATCAGTTCAAAACAAACTTAACATTTAGAAATTCAGGAAAAAAAAATTTTTTTTTTTAAAAACTTGGACATAAAATTACTTTTCTTTTTGTATATTCCAGAAGTACTTCTTTAAAAATTTGGCTTTGTAAGAAAATGTTTTATTTGCAGCTCTGACTAGAATAACTATTTTGTTATTTTTATTTTTTATAAAATAATATTGAATATCCTCTCCTTTTCTCTGAATAAAAAGCTGAAAAAAGTTCTATGTATTATAAGAGTAATTCCTGAGAAATAAAATGAGAAAACAGGAAAAAAGTTTTAAAAACCAGAATAAATAGAAAAAAAACGTAAAAAATATTTTGTAAACAATTACCATAATTGATTTTCATAAATTTCCCGAAATGTTCTAAGACAGGATTTTCTAGTAAGCTCCTTAATCGCCCATGGGCATGAAATTTGTATTTTGTTGAAATATTTACTGTTTACAATCAAAATAAAAATTCAGCAGCCAGGCAATAGCCTATCATTTTGTAGAACTGGGGTTCGATTTGTACGAGCGTATCTGGAAGCTGTAGGGAAGTAAAGGCGTGCACTATGCTGATAATATTGCCATTATCATGCAAAATAATGGAATCTTAACGTCTTTGATCCATGACAGACTGGTGCAGCAATATTTTTTTAATAAATAATTTATTTACAAAATAACTCCAGAGTACACATTTAAATGTAATTAATTACAATAAATAATTTGTACAAATTTTCTAAGTACAGTGAGAATATTTAAAGAAATTATAACACAGTAAAGAAAGACATAATAAAATGAAGCAGTAATTACATGTAAGATTCATTGAGATACAAGTAATGAAAATCTAAATGATTAAATATGGTGACTGCAGTTCCATATATTCAGTTCAGTTTTATGAAATGCTTTCTTCTGTTTTTCGATGAAATTATTCACGCAAAAATTGGAAGATTTTGCGATACTCTGGTTGAAGTACTAAATACATGTGGGGTATTTACACTTATCAAATGTTCTGGAATTATTTCTAACAAGGTTGTATAAGTTACTCAACCAACAAAATTCTGCATTCCTGCAAAATTATAAAAACATTTATTTAAAATTATACATAGCATTTTTTCAAAAAATGAGAGATTTTATGAAACTTGTTAAAATACTTTATATATACCATAGAATAGTAAAAAGTCTGTTAAACTTTATCGTAGAAAACCACAAATTTAAAATTAAAGAAAAATAATAAAACGTATCATAATAAAATTATTTCACACAGAAAAAAAAAATTTAAAATAGCTATGACATAAAATTTAGCTTATTTTTTATTGGAATTAATACTTTTTAACATGTCATGTTGATTTTCTATTCACATTTTTCCCCACAAATATTCCTATGGTTATTAATTTTTTCTATATCTTCTTTATGGTTTTGATATATTTGGCTACATAATTTGTATGTAATAATCACTAGTAATTGACCTTCGTACACCTGATGTTAACTTGCAATCACCCAGTATGTAAATATTGTCTTTATTACGGGTGTCCTTTAATCTATGCAGACTTAGATGATTGTTAATTTCTTATCTATTAGGTCACTAATTAATATCTTGCTATATTTTTAAGAATTAACAAACTTTAAAGATTTAAGTGTTTTTAAAAATATGGTTGTATCTCAATGTTTTAAAAATATATAAGAAACCTAAAAATATTAAAACTTTTTTAAACAAGGCTCATAAAACGCATTTCAGTGAATTTAAATAAAACTAAAAATATTGATTAGTGACTTAATAGGAATTAATACATTTCCAATCTTATAACAAAACTCCCACGGGGTATAAAACAATGCATGGAAAAATGCTGTAATTTCTAAAAGTTTTATTTAAAAAAAAATTTTTTTAATGCCATGATTGCATAAATTTTCGATTGGCTAATTTGAGTACAAGAGTGCAGCAAACTCAAGATAAAAATTTTGCAATGTTATAAACTGGAGGAGTAAAAAAAAAAACAAGCGCTAAAAATATTTCTGATTAGAAAAAAGAAAAGAAACATAAAGGGGGGTCATTAAGCAATTCCACAATGTATTATAGATATATCCGTTTACTACACCTCAGATTTTCTGCATGACATAAACCTTTAATAATTTAATAAATATTTCCAATCTGTAAATTTTGCCAATTTGATCAAATTTAATTTCTTGATTAAAGCAGTTAGAAGCTAATTTACTGCTCTTACTATAGCTTGTAACATAAAATCCATCAAGGAATCTTTTATTTGGTTCCTTATAAGAAAATAACCCATAAGGGATTTTAATAAACGATACTTGACTTTGCATTTTAAGAATATATTAATGCAATGTGTAAATGTATTGATGCATTTTTAAATGAGCACAGTCGCAGAAACCTTCCAGCATGATAGCAGGCTCTGCAGATAATTTTTCATCCAAAATTTTTATTTTTAAAAAACCAACAAATGAAGAAAAATTGCTGAAACTCTTTTTTAAAACATCGCTAATCTTGTTCCTAACAAAAATTAAATTGTTAAATTATTAAACGATAAAAAATAAAGAGTGAAGAAATTTTTTTTTCTTTCTGTTACTTAATTACAGGCTTAACTGTATAGGGATTTATTAATTTTTTTAGAATCATGGTATAAAACTCAACTTAAATTTAAACAGCGTAAAGTTTTTATGTATAATTTTAAATTAGTTATATTTTCAAATTTTGCTACTTGCATGCTAGATTAAACTGAATTTTAACAATAATAATATCAGTTTGTATGGTAGTTTAGACAGAGTTGGGACCAATTTAGATTTAGGAAGATAGTGCTGCAGTTTCATCCTGCATATTCTGCTATCAGGCTCGTGAGTAGAGTATTTCTTAAATAACATTTAGGAATCGCTAATGAGGAATATAAAATATATCTACTTAGGTTAAGTAAATAAAAGCTATTTTAACAGAAGAGAATTCTTCTATTAATGAATCATTTAATAGACTGAAACCCAATCACAATTAGAGAAACAAAATACATACAGTTATTTACTTACATTTTTTTTCTGGCTGTAATGGTTTTATGCAATCGATAACTGTTTTGCAGAAGAAACATTCTTTGTGACTTAGGAGATGAAGAGATATACAAGATCTATTTTTTTTTAAAAATGTAATAATTTAATTAACATACATTAATGAATGTTAATTAACTTGTTTCAAAATAATCCAATAATAAATCATCATAATTAATTGAACAGAAATCTAATAAGTAGTAGAGAATAAATAAAAATACATTTTTTGAAATTTATTTCCTTTGTTCATAAACAGTACATTAATGAAATTTACCTTTCACTATATGAATTCTTGGCCATAGATAGCACCACTGACAAACAAGAAACGCACCCTCTGCCTTAAATTTGCTCAGTTTCACCAAGCAGGCTTGCTAGTGTGGCAAGTGACATTAGAAACAACAACACCTTTCACTATGATTGTAAATACTCAAGAGGGTATTAAAAGTGTTACTACTAACAGTTACAACTCCTAACAGTTGAGTTGATATTTTTTTTTAAGGATGTGATCCCCATGATTGCAGTCCTTACATTAGTGGTTCTTAATTTATTCCCTTTTGCCATTGCTAAATTACCCCATGATTATTTTCATTGGAGAAAACTATACCCACCTAAATTTACAAGCCTAATTTACGTTAAACAAAGAGTAATTAACCAAAAAAAATTTTTTTCATAGATAGAAAAGTGCCTTCTTCACATTTTAGGATATAAATTGTGTTATATATCCTTAAATATACCATTCTGTTGAATTTAGTTCTCAAATTGAAATTTTAAGATTATAAATATTTTTTTTCTTCAAAGTTGTAATAACTTTGAAAAAGTTAATTGTTTACAATCTTAAAATTTCTAACTAGATTCTTCTTAATCTGACTAGGTTCAATAGAGCATATATTGATGAAAAAAATAAAAATATTCAAAAATGCCTAACTAAACATAAAAATCTGAAGATGGTGTTGCAATTCACCTTATTCTCGACGACGTTTCATGCTCTTGTTGTTTTAACTTCCTGTATAAAATTCATATAGACGAATTTCTGCTGCCGTAAACCAAATTGCCTAAATCCGCATCTTAACAATCATGTAATTGCATATCAATTTAGGATAATTTCTACAAGTACTTTTTTTTATAGCTTTATATGATATTTTAAAATATGAGGAACAAATTTTTTCACAAAAAACACGACACAAAAATTAAATTAAGAAAAACTAAGTATTACCAGTATATACATACAAATCCTGAGACTCAAAAAAAGAAATAGTCTCTTTAATGCTGTGACGTCAGAAGAGGACCTCAAGACTTCCGGTAGTGTTTGTTTGTTTTTTTAGGATAGATGGTGAATAGTTGTTGGTGGTGTATATTTATTGGCCAGAAAATCGCATGGTAGGATCCAGTTTTTTTCACAGTAATTTCTATCTTTATTTGATTATCATCAGCATAAAATTAGTAAAAATCATAAAGGTATTATTTTCCTGTAAAATATTCTTGTATCCCAAATTTAAAGGCACTTATCTGTAATATAAATTTTTCTTATATTACTCTGCTATTACGCTTATGATTTTTTTTTCTAAATTAAGAGTTTAAAACTAAAAGAGTTGTTTCTTTACTATGCCATTTATTAATTTTATCTTATTACATTAAGATAAATTTATTTAAATCAGTGTCTAAACCTATTAATCATTTTATAATTATTATTTTTGGTGTAAATTACATGAATATTCCATTATAAATTACCGTTAAAGAGATCTAAAATTTAATGATTTAAACCTTAACTATCAGTTTAGACACTTAGTGATGTATGCAAAAATCATATTTAATCTATCAACCAAGCAAAAATATAAAATTACGGTTGTGAACTCGATAATTTGTTATAACAATATACCGATAATTTTAATAATTTTTTTTGCCAGGGTTATTATGCAACTTTAATCCTATTGATGGGCCCAACTCTTCAAGAAGTTTGTCGCAACATTTATATGACCACCTATGTACGTTTTTAAATTTGAACATTTTGACAAAAAGTAGACTAAAAATCATTTAAAAAAAAAAAAAAAAAAACCTGTAGTTTGGAGAGAGAAACCATTTTCAGACTTGAAATCAGCCATACAAAGTTAAACAAATCTCATGCAAAAAAAATATAGATATATATATATATATAAAAATTTTCCTCTGTGTTATTTATGTATGCGAATAGATCTTTATAGATTCCTAAGGAAAACAGAATTGTATGTGATTTTTCATGTTATTTACCAATAAAAAACATTTATTTTAAAGAAATGAATGTGTGAGAAATGGTGGCACAAGCGTAAGCAAACATAATTCTTTATAGTACATATATTTTAACTGAATAATTTCAATTTTGATATGATAAAACATGTTTTCTGCTAAAAAAACAAAACAATTATTGTGAAGCAATGAATCAGGGTTGGTGAATGACGGAAAGCAAGGGATTTAGGCCCCTAATAATTAAACAAATTATGTCCATAGGTCAGGGGGGGGCGAACCTTTATACACCAACATGCCATATTTTCTAAAAAATTGTTTAATGAGGTCATAGACAGGCCGTCAAATAATTTTGACTTCGTGATTATAGGGAAAATAATAATACTAAATACAGTACAGAACCCGTTATCCGGAAAACCAAAAAACCAGAACGAAATTCGATAAAATTTCCCGCTATTTTTAAAAAAAAATTTTTTTTTTTTTCCTCATAAGATTTTAGGATTTTTTTTTCTTTTTTGAAAGATGTTTACCTTACCATCATTTTGGAAATAATCATTAGTGTATTACTTCATCGTTTTTTCTTCTTCGTAAAATTATTTCAAAACATTTTTTTTTTAGTTGGGTTTAACAATAAAAAAAAGGCTTTTTGTAGCGATTCAGAAAACCGGAAAAATCAGTTATCCGGAATAGCGATGGTTCCGATCGTTCCGGATAATCGGTTCCCTACTGTACTATCATCTCAAAACTCTTCATTTACATTGGGAAAAAAAACATTTTGCCATGTCTTAAAACAACTTAAAGTAACATCAGTGTGACTTCCGTTGTTGCAGATTAGATGACAAATAACTTATATTAGGCTGTAATATGTTAGTTTAAGCAGGACTGTTAAATTTTTTTTTTGCTACTTATTTATTGTTAGCTTGTTTTTTTATGGTTATTAATTGTTTCTTTTTAGCATTAATTGTTAACTTTTTTATTAATAATTGTTTATTATTTGTTTGTTTTTTGTAAATTTTAATTTAATTGTTACAGATGCTTCATAGTGTAATAACATTTGCGTAATAACCATTGTGATCGGTAGCGTGCCCAAAATATTGTGTCTCGTGCCATAAATGGTACGCATGCCATTGGTTTGCCATCCCTGCCGTAGGTTAACATGAAGGTAGTAAAATCTTTTCTATTGGAAGAGGATTACATAATAAATAGTGACTGCTAAAATATAGGATCTAATAGCAATAGACTGCAATATAAATAAAATATAGTAAATATACTTTTTTAACAAAAGAAGAAACAGAACAAGTAGTGTTTATAGAAAAGTAATTACCTGCATGACTGATGTTCACAAGGATGAAATGATGTTGTTTTTGGACTAGCATAACATATAGTACAAACAAGATCATCATCAATTTCTTCCAGGCCTCTGTTCTGTTGAGCTATATCATACTTTGAATGCAACAACTGTATGAGATTTTCAACTTTTTCTGTTTCTTCTTTACTCACTTCTTTATCTATCAACAAATGGCAACATTAAAACTAACATTTCTTGCACTTTAAAGAATACTAGACGTTAGCTGTAATTGTTTTCTAATACCTCAGAAGTTTAAAAAAAATGTTCAACATACTTTAAAATAAACACGGATTAATAATAATAAATGCTCAAAAGAATCCAATTTTGTAAAGGTTAATAACTAGCATGAAATCAATGCAATGCCCATAACTAATCAACAGAGTCAACCTACAATGAAGATTCCTTACAGTGAATTTCTTCCTATAACAAAATCATTCATCGGAATGTTAAATAACATTCACAACATATTTGATATAAGAAATTACTCATTTGAAAGACTGTGTGTAATATGAAAAGCGTAAACTCCACTTTAAAATTATGAAAGTTTTATTTAGTTCAACATCAGAAAACAGATAGCAATGTAATATAGCAGAATTTTTCAAGTAAAAATAAATAGAAGAACAAATTATTCTCTAAATTGATCAATTGTCTTCACTTTTGAACAGTTTAATTACACAATAAAAATTAACGATTTTAATAGATCAGTAATATATAGCAACTTTATTTTTAGTTTAAAGTCAATTATATATTTTGAACTTTTCAGAGACAAACAATTTTGTGACCTTTACATAAATTGCAGAAAAAATCTCTAACTTTGTTATAGCGAGATCTTTTTTATAGTTAAATTTTCAACTGGAACCATTTTATCTTATTATTAGAAAATTCCGCTATGTATATGTATATATTGTATATGAAGGTCAAAAAACAATAAATAAATATTATTCAGCACAATACATAATTAAACAGCCTAAGAAATAAATGTACACTCGTCATTCATAAATACAGATGAAGTGCCAGGTGCATCCATCAAATCAACAAAAAAAAAAAAAAAATTACAAAAAAAAACATTCTTAAGAAATTAGAAACATAAATGTACTTTTGCTTATAACTCTTTCAATATAAGTGGGGCTTTAAAATTTTGATAACAAGTTATTTTTAACAAAAAATAAACTCTGTAATTAACATTTTATTTCATGTTCGGTACAGCAGCAGGGTATCTAAAACAATTACAATAAATTGCGTACTAAAATTTTTATTTGTATTTATATTTTCAAATATTTTAATTTTCTTTTATGTTTCAAAATGAGAGTTTTTTGAAACTCGACAGTTTAACAAGACAGTCAAACAAGATAGTTTTTTTAACAACGGCAAAAATGCTGTAATTAAAAAAAGACTTATAAAAAATATGCCTTACAAATAAAATAAAAGAGCTATATTTCACTAAAAGCAGTCACGGAAAAGATTTTAAAAAAACAGAGATAAACATACAATCTCTTAAAGAAAATGGCTTGAAGTTAAGAGGTTCCTGAGACATTCCAAGTAAGAAGTCTAAAGATGATGGTTGGAAACTTGGTTCTTGCAATAAGGCATTGATTGCTTTCTTTTGGCTGAAAGAATAAAATAAAATGTACAGCACATTTTCAATATTGTAAATGTCTGAGGAGACAGAAAAAATCAAAATGTGGAGTTTTTATGCAATCTAGGTAATGAGAAAAGGAAGAAACCAATATCTAAAAGATAAATATGATACTTCACCCAAAACACTAATGCTAAAATATACATTTAATATACTATACATGCAGGATTAGAAATTAAGAATATTTAATCACTGGTTCAAAAACCAGTAAGCAAAATGTATTACTGGTTAGCACACATTTTCACTAGACAGTTTACATGTTTCTATAATATATTTATATATTTCTAAAAGGTTAATAAAGTGAACTTATAAAAAAAATGACAATGTAGAGAATTTGTGCCATGATAGCTCAGGGGATGGAGCGTTCGCCTTCCAATGAGGAGAACCGATTTCAAATCCCAGCCATATGAGACAAAACAAAAACCCTAGATTAAGTTTTTAGATTATGAAACAGAGAATCACAGAACTCAAATTTCTGTGGCATTATATTTATGTCATGCCACAGTTACAAGATATTGTTACAATATTTTTAAAAAATGATCCAATGCAAGAAAAGAAACAAGGCACTGTGCTCTGCTTAACCTATTTCATATGAACCAGAAATCATGAAAGCAATTTTTTTTCTTTCTGGATATCAATTTTTAAAATATCACGTACTGTTTCACTGTCTATCAACATGATTGTAATTTTCTTTTTTAATAAAGACAAAAGCGGAAAAGGTACAATGACAGTAAAGCTTTTAGTATTATCTAAATGAGTTATTAGAGGGAAAAAAATGTTTTTAACCCAGATTAAAAATTTAAAAAAAATATCTTTACAAAGAAGAAAAGGATTTTGATTCTTTTATATTAATATATGCCATGTTATAACCATTTTTAATTATTATGTTTCTTTTTAATTTATTCATTTACTCAATGCATATAGCACAGCCTTGTAGCACAATCATGCCCAGCTATGTAAATAGCCATGTAGCCCAGTGTGTGTACAGCTTCTAGTGTTTAACCCCAAATTGTTTAGCCTTTTGCATATGGCTAATACAACCGGTTGATCAGAAAAATATAACAAACTTGGCTAAAAAACTAAAATATTATGATAGACTTTTTTGAAGAAAAAAAATGAATGAGCTTAAAAACATTTTATTTTATCAATCTGACAATCAATTTTAATTTTTATTGACTCTGAAGATGCAACTCAAATTAAGTGACTTATGTCCTCGAATTTTAACAAAAAATACAAAATAATTGATTACAGATTTTTTAAGAGGAAGAACAATTATTATTTAAAAATATTAATTAAAAATAACAACTCAAGATATTTTTTCTTTTCATTTTATATTCAATACAAAAAACACCATCATGATAGTTTTGTACAAAACTGGGAGCATGCAATTTTTTAAAGCAACTGCAAACTTGTTTACTAATAGATCAAAATAGTTCATAACAGGCCAAAAGCCATACAGTGTGCAAAAGATTTCTTATTATACCAGGTGTCCAAAAATGAAATGATTTTTGAAAGAAAATTTTTTAATAAATTTTATTTTAATTAATATTTTTATAATTTATGTTGTACATTAAAAAAAAAAGCATAAAACAACATTTAGGGATGCATTTCAGACCATTGCAATTGAAATATTTGCATGGGAGTCTTTCAGTTTTTACCTCAGACTGTGTCACTTTGTCACAGCAAATGGTGATTATTTTTTAAAAATATTGCCCTGTACGTTTTTTTAGTTAGCAGTGCTCTCTCTCTCTCCACAAATTCTATCACTAATTTTGAAATTGGGCGACAAATTTTTTAATCTTTTTGAGCAAAATGTAGCAAATTGTGTCATACATATCTCTCTCTCTCTTTTCATTTTTCTCCAATTATATTTTTTTCAAATTGTTGGTCATTTTTAGAACAATGAGTAGTTTATCCAATCACCTTGCTATGTTTTGCTTAAAATGTTAAACCTTATTTTCTTCTGAAATTTACTAGAGGGGGCAAATAATGTGCTTCGCCCCCTCTGAAATTTAGGCATTCATGAAAATAAAGTCAAGTTGGTAAGAAAAAGTTATGTTAGAAAAAAAAAAAATTTCTATATATACGTATATATTTCTGTCTTCTATATTATATATATATATTTCTGATATGCCACCTTGTTCTAACAAATGACGATTATTTTCTGAAAATATTGTTTTGTAGGTTTTTTTAGTTAGCAGTGCTCCCTTTCTCTCTCTCAATAAATTTTACACTAATTTTGAAACTGAGTGCGAAATTTTTTAGTCTTTTTAAGCAAATTGTATGTATCTATATCCTTCCATTTTTTTCAAATCGTTGGTCACTTTTAGAACCTTATAAATTGGATAAAAGTAGTTTATCCAATCAACCAAAGAATACTAACAAATGAATTAAAAATAAATGTATGATGCATACTTGAATGCTGATTGCTTCTTATTATAAAATGCTTACCTTTTTGGGACTCCATCAATGATAAGAGAAATTAATATTCCAGTAACAGCAGTCAGAATGGGGAAATGATCAATCGTTTCAAGTCCAGGAATTTCCATGCTTGCAACTAAGCAAAAGCAACCAGATTTCGATGTCACTCTGTTCAAAACTTGACAAACTAACTATTTAAGGAAGAAAAAAAAATTATATACCCAGTTACGACCATTTTAGGCAAGAAAATTTATTTTTATAATTGTAAAAAAATGATTTAAAGCATATTTATAGAATAAATACATATTAAAAGTTTCTTTTAAATTTTTTTTATTTTCTCAAAAGTAGAAACACATATTATAGTTATAAAAAAAACTATTAAATTCAACAGATTAGCGTGTATTGTAGCTCTTTTCAAAGTATTATTCTTCAGAAAAGTTACCATGAGATGTAATACTACTACATATGTTTCCATAGAAGTAGTGTTTCCACATCTATACTCCAGTTTTGTCTTCTGATCAGTGATAGGATGAATATACGACTGCCACCTACAGCTCAAAAGAGTATGATGTAAATAATCAACTGAAATTATTTTTATCATACGATACTGTAAAAACTGACCGTAGCCTATTATTTATTGAAAATTTAAAAAAATGGTAGCCAATTTGTATTATAAAAATGACAAAATACTGTAAATATAATAAGACTTTCATTCTATTTTAAAAACAGCATTGTCAACTAGAGCAGTGTTCCCCAACCTTTTTATCACCGCGGACCTGTCAATGTTAGAAGATTTTACTGCGGCCCGCTGGGAAGGGGGGACGTTGATTGTTTATATTTTAGATTATTTTGATTTATTAATTTTAATTTAATTGTATTCAAATATGCCTTCAAAATAAAATACAGTTACACCACAAAATAAATATAAAGTGATTTAACATTTTAGCATACTAGAATGCTAAATCAATGAGAACCTTGAGCTTGTTTTTTTGCAATGAGACGGTTCAATCTGGGGGTAATCCAAGACAATGATAGATTACAAACATTAAAAAATTTATGTCACTACCTTTGGGGGCCAATTTTTTTTAAATAAGGAAAATTTTAATGGTACACGGATATTTTTAATTTGGGGTATAAAACTAGGAATTTAAATTCAGTTTCAATGAAATGGACGGCCCGGTACTATTTGATCTGTGGACCGGGGTTGGGGAACACTGAACTAGAGAACTAAATATAACCACTTAAAATACTAACATGATCTGATTGTCAAAATTTCATGTTTTACTCATAAACTGATGAATATATAATAATCCTAATACTTTTTAATTTCACACCATGGCTTCTGACTTTTACAGAGCATAAAACAAAACAAAAAATCTTATTTTGGAGTTTTTATAAACGCACATTCTTTTCATAAAATAGATTGATATTCCAATTTTACAAGCTATTTTATTATAACTTTAAGGTTACAATGTTATCTTTGGCCCCAGTTAGGTTCAAATATGGCTCAATTTGTGATAAGAGCATGTTCTGAAGGACCAATATTAGGATGTCTAGATTTTTAATATTGGTTCTAGAATGACCTATATAGTGTCAATATAGGAGTTTTCATAAATGCACATTCTTTTCATGAAATAGATTGATATTCCAATTTTACAAGCTATTTTATTATAACTTTAAGGTTACAATATCTTTGGCCCCAGTTAGGTTCAAATATGGCTCAATTTCTGATAAGAGCATGTTCTGAAGGACCAATATTAGGATGTCTAGATTTTTAATATTGGTTCTAGAATGACCTATACAGTGTCAATGTAGGAGTTTTTATAAATGCACATTCTTTTCATGAAATAGATTGATATTCCAATTTTACAAGCTATTTTATTATAACTTTAAGGTTACAATGTTATCTTTGGCACCAGTTAGGTTCAAATATGGCTCATTTTCTGATAAGAGCATGTTCTGAAGGACCAATATTAGGATGTCTAGATTTTTAATATTGGTTCTAGAATGACTTATATAGTGTCAATATAGGACCTATATTGGCTGAATAATGAATATAAAATATCGAGTGAATCTTACAATTCTATATAGGGCGATATCGGAAAATAATGGCCCTTTGAACCCTTATTGAGTCAAAATTTGCTAATATTGATCTAATGAAGACCAAAGTTACTTTGTTGCTGAGGTAATTTCAGAAAAAAATAAAATTTATATGTACCTGACATAACCTAGTTAAAAATATTTCAGAAGAGGGCCTAGAAGGATCAGTAAAGAGTTGAGGCACCAAATGAACTGTCATTTCTAAAACACGTAACAAGCCTAATGCAAGATCAAAGCAAGTTGCACATATTTTCAGTTGCCGTGAATCAATAAATACTCGCTCAGGTCTGTTGGAAGCATTTTGAATCTGAAAAAAAAAATATATATATAAACAAATAAAATAGCAAAGTAAATAAGCATATTTCAGAAGAAAATACTAATCACAATTATTTCGATTAAAACTATTAAGAATAAAGAAGTAAATATACTTAAGAACAATTTTCCAATAGAGTACCCTATTACTTCAATGACTGTTACAATGAACTCTATTTTCTATTCAAATGTCATTTTTATGATCATTAGAACGACCAAACATTCATGTGATATAGCATCTAAACTCAAGTTTCTTCTTAAGAAAATCACTTTTAAAAATAGTTAATGATAATAATAGAGTAAAGTTTTTTCAAATTTGCGATTTTCATGCCATTTTATCTGTCATTTACTTTCACACTCCACCACTGGTTATGTGTCTTTTTTTGTCTATTTTCCCAACCTAATATTTGCTGAAGGTATGTTTATAAACGAGATTAAGATTGGTTCAAGTGATTAGGAATTTGAAGGAAATATACATATAAAGATGAAGAATACATGGCTGGTAACTTCTAAGTCTTCATGCACAATGTGAAATGCAAACTAAACTACTTAACCGCATTTTCCCAACTATTTTCTGCATTTTTAACTGTATTACTTACATTTTTAAGTGACATTAGTAAGACTTTCGACATATTGTTAAAGCTAAGAGCTTCAAATTTGTTCACATCTTTAGCATTATAATCCTCTGTATAAAAGACTAGAAAATTGGTTAATAAGATATATATATATATATATATATATTAGTAATAAATTAAGTTTTCAAAAATTTAAAATATGAAAAAAATTTCTAACCACAAAAAAAATTCAACATTTCTAGTTTTGTTGTAAACATATATATCTGACAAAATGACTCTCAAACTGTATTTAATACAGTTTCTAAAATACTTGCAGCTAAAAATAGTAAATTTAACAATGGCATAATATGCAGTATAATCTTCCCTGAAACTGCATGCAAATTAACAAAAAGATTATTTTAACAAACAAAATATAAAAAAGATGAATAATTTATAATTTTTTATATCACAAAAATATTTATTTTACTTTAAATAACATTTATTCACAAATAAATTCGATTCACATAAATAAATCCTATTTATAAAGCTAATTGTCTCTTAACAACAAAGATGGAGATAAAAGATGATTTAAGAAGTTACGAGTTTTATTTCATAGAATTAAAATTTAATTTTTCAGTTGTCTCTTAGATGTACATAATTTTATAGTCATCTAAAAACTGCATAGTTTTCTAGTAATTTTTAAACAAAAAAACTTGGTTAAAAATAATTTTCATAAACACCTTTCTGGTAAACAAACTTTAAATGTTCTTTTAAATCATAACTAATAATAATTCATAATTAATATTCATGAGTCATGAAAGTGAAGAAAAAAAGATTTACAATAAAAATTTTAAGCATCACACTAACTTCTTGAAGCATTCCAATAAACTCTGAGAAAGCCCAGTTGAGCTGATTTAAGACACTGCTCATAAAACTAGCAGCTGATTCAGGATTTTCTAATAGCCATTGACTCGCATGTTCTAGAAAAACAGGTGAGGGACACGGAGCTAGAAAACAAAATGGAATGCATTGATAATACAGTAAACCTTTTTTAAAAATAAAATTAAGCACACACAGAGAAAAAAAGCTTTTCTTTATTCAAACTTAATTGTTATTGAGAAAGTGATAAGTCAAATTATAAGTGATCAATTTGAGATCAGCTTTCTAAAATGTAAAAATTTCTTTTATTTGTTTCAAAAACAAGTTTTTTCTTTCAAATTTATAGTTCAGTATGTAAATAATGAAACTGAAAATTTTTGAATTAAAATTTACATCATGCAAATGATGTCTAAAGTAGGATTATGTGGAAATACATCATTTTGATTAAATTATCAAAAATAGTGTTGAACCTATAGTGAAAATGATAAAATCAGCTGAAATATATCAAACTGAATTAAAGGCATAGTGATCATATTAATAATAACTACATTGAACTAACTTTGAATTAACAAATTAGATTTATTATCAAATTTCCTGTATTTTTAAATTCTAAATTTATATATTATTTTTTAAATTAAATAAAGAAAATATAAATTATTTCAAAGTAATTATATAGAAATAAAAATATTGATACCATATAAGACATTACACAACACTAATTTAGAGTTTATTTTTAAAAAATTCAAGATTTGTTTCATAATTCGAAAGAAATGAGCAATTAGAGAAATTTATATCTTGTACAATTATTTTGTAGAATTGTTCAAACAATTTATACAATGATGAGTAAAATTCAAAACTATAGTCCAATAAAAATAAAACTCATTAATTTAAACAATTTTTCATAAACTACTTATTTACACTTGCTAAAATGTAATTAAGCATAAAAACCAAGATGTATTTAACACCAGAAAAATTATAACCAGGATTAATAACCATTAAATGAACAGAGATAAAATAGGAAGAATAAATTTAATATTATATAGAAGAAGAAAATAATCACTTTATCAGTTTATTCAATATTGCCAAATAAATTAAATTTTAACTAAGTAATAAATCTTAATCAACTTAAAACTAAATAATGAAGAAGGTTGATGTTCAAGAAAATGGAGTTAAAGCTCAAAATCAATTTATTTTTTAATGCCCATAACACATTCAATGGTGGGTTATTCATACACAAAATTGTAATTAAATGCAGTATGACGGCATTTTTGTATAAAGATCAAATTATAACAATAAAAAANCACTTCATCAGTTTATTCAATATTGCCAAATAAATTAAATTTTAACTAAGTAATAAATCTTAATCAACTTAAAACTAAATAATGAAGAATCAATTTATTTTTTAATGCCTATAACACATTCAATGGTGGGTTATTCACACACAAAATTGTAATTAAATGCAGTATGACGTTTGAAATATATTTCATGCATTTTTGTATAAAGATCAAATTATAACAATAAAAAAACACTACTTTGGGATATTGTTGGAAATGCCTCAGGTAATGGAATAGATTTGCAGCTCATCTTCTTAGCCAGATGTGGTGAAACTGAATAACGAAAGGCAAATCCACACCCCTGGAACATGAATTTAAAATAATGATACAATGCATCAGTGTTACAAATGTTATGCTTAATCGTCAGCTAAGCGAAAAGGACAAAAAATGGCAATTTTAAATTACAAAAATACACAATATAAGATGGATAGCGATATTGCCTTTTTTCTTAAAATATAAGTAATGTTGAAAATTCTTTTCATAAAAAAATTTTAAATATTACATACAGATATTTTTGAGAACATCTTGATAGAAACAAACTATATTTTTAACATATTCTTTAAATATAAATTTAATTAAAGTAACAACAAAATTTAAACACAATACATTTTGAAAGATGAGATGCATATTTGGAGAGCTTATTGGAAAAGGTGCTACAATGCACAGTAGCTTTTGTCGTCCTTGATAACACTCATAAAAAATATTAAGCTCATTTAGTACATTATAAATGTTATCAAAGTATAATTTATGATGTTATAAAACGATAACACACATCATAAAAAAGTATTTAAAATGGAAGATTCCCTCCATATATTTTTGAGAACATCTTGATTAAGACTATTACATATTTAAAATTGTATCCTTTAAATATAGATTTATTTAAAGTATTTACAAAATGTAAATATAATACATTATTGAAAGATGAGATGCATATTTGGAGAGCCTAATAGAAAAAGCTGCTACAGAGAACAATAGCTTTTCCCCCGCTTGTTTTTCAAATATAAAGGGTTAGGATTGCAAGAAGGAAATAAGGTGAAATGATGTTGTCTTCACTTTTCGGCATCAGTGGCAGAAATAAATAAAATTTCTTCCATTTTGCCTGCAGAAAAATGTATTACCCGCAAAACAATGTTGCAATAGCAGATGATTAGTAATGGTGATTTAGAAACTTGTCATAACAGTGAACTTTTTGTAACATGCCATACTCATTATATTGAGTTTTTACTGTGTATTTTAATTGGAATAAACCATGCAATAACCATAATTTTAACCATAAATTTTTACTAAAATAGTTACAAAATATTAATATATTTTTGAAATTATGATATGTGTAGCAGAAGAAGGTACTGAGCGATAATAAATTTAAGAATTATTTAGAAATTGAGAATAAAAGAATTATTTAGTGAATTTAAAGATTTCATTTTTAATTAATTTTAAAATAAAAAGTATGTAAAACAGATATTATTTTTAAAAATTTTTCGGAAGATTCTTCTAAAAATCAAATATTTATGGTAGTAATTTAAAAGAATAAAGGAATCTATCCAATATATGTTATGAGATTATCTATTAATATAGGAACAAACCATGTTTTAAATAAATGTTTTCTAAATATAATTGCATTTAAAGTAGTTTAAAATAACATAATATATTATTAACAAAATGTATTATTAAAATGATAAAATGTATAATTGAATAGTTTATGGGAAGAAGGTTCTGAGTGGTAGTGAATTTGAGAATGTCAGCTTTAGGAAGAAAAAAAATGCATTTTTTTCCCATTTAAAAAACATATGTTTTACAACTAACCTTAACAAGTTTTTCACTGAGCTATTTCAATTGTGATTTGAATCATTTATGAATTGAATAAATGGATATAGTTTAAATGAATAAGTTATCATTCAGCAATACCTTCCATAACCTTATCAGAATCCAGTTTGATTGTGCCCATGCCCTGTTTTCATAAGGTTGCAGGAGAGCTTTAGTCATTATGAGACGACTGTAGAGAGAAACAACAAAGAATATTAATAGACAACATTTAGGTTCAGCTATGACTCATTTTTTTGTTTCACAAATTTCTCAGTGAAACATAAAAAATCTATCTTAAGGTTTTCCTGACTATACTACATTAGTATACACTAATATAGTATATACTATAGTATACTAATATAGTATATATACTAATATAGTATAGTCAAGAAAACCTTAAGATAGATTTTTTTTGTTTCACAAACTTCTCAGTGAAATATAAAAAATCTATCTTAAGGTTTTCCTGAATATACCATATTAGTATATACTAATATAGTATATACTAATATAGTATAATCAGGAAAACCTTAAGATAGAATTATTTTGTTTCACAAATTTCTCAAGGAAACATAAAAAATCTATCTTAAGGTTATCTTGACTATACTATATTAGTATATACTAATATAGTATATATACTAATATAGTATATATACTAATATAGTATAGCCAGGAAAACCTTAAGATATTTTTTTGTTTCACAAACTTCTCAGTGAAACATAAAAAATCTATCTTAAGGTTTTCCTGACTATACTATATTAGTATATACTGAATTTATACTAATAAAATTCAGAATAATATAGATAAACTGTTTGTTCAAATGAAAATAATTGCATTTTAAAGAAGAGAACTAGTTTAATATTTTTTTTTAAAAAAAGGCAAACTTTACTAATTATTGAAAAGATTTATTTTAAACATGAGATATAATAAGAAGAAGATATTAATGAGATACTAATGAATAAAAACCATACCTTTCAGAATCCATGCTTTCCAGAGCCTGTAAAGTGGCAGGATAACAAACGTAGGATGCTAATGCCTGAACCAAGCTATCCTTCAATTCTGTGTATGAATCAAACAACAAATAAAAATGAGTAAAAACAAATTATAAAACCAAATTAAATTCCATTAGTCTTCATTTGTGCATTTACCTGCATTAACTACCCGTTCATCTGCAAAATGGTGAGCTAAGAAAGACCCGTACTTTATTAAAAGTTCATGATGTCCTGCAAATGCTGCAAAAAGAAAAAGAATAAAATTTCAAAACAAAGAAATGAATAAAAAACTAAATCCCTTTTACGTTCATCAGGAAAATATCAAAATATATCTAATTTTTTTTTTGTATCTTAGCAAAATATTATGCAGATCAAGAAATACTTCTGAATAAAAAGTGTTAGGGCTTGTGCAACAATGCTTATTCACTACATTACAAACACATTATATATTCACAATGTAACCGGCTTCAAATAATCAGTAAGTCATAAATAATTACATAAATACTTTTATATAACTTGAAATGACTTGAGAATGCTTCAGCTGTAGAGGATGTATAAAAGTAACAGGGTGCATAGCCAAATTATTCAACAAAAAATAAACACTTTTCAAGCACTCTAATAATATTTTTAAGCACTTTAAAAGAATATCATAATTAGGCAGGGTTGGAAAGTTTTTGACAATTGACGGTTTTATCTGGTTGTAACAGTCATGACAAAAAAAATTCGTTTGGCATTGTTTTTGACAGTTGGCAAAAATTTTAATCATGTAAATCGAATGGTATTTTCATAAGCTACCGTCTGACGGTGCACCGAAATAAATTGGGGATCAAGGTTGAAAAAAGTCNGTAACCGGCTTCAAATAATCAGTAAGTCATAAATAATTACATAAATACTTTTATATAACTTGAAATGACTTGAGAATGCTTCAGCTGTAGAGGATGTATAAAAGTAACAGGGTGCATAGCCAAATTATTCAACAAAAAATAAACACTTTTCAAGCACTCTAATAATATTTTTAAGCACTTTAAAAGAATATCATAATTAGGCAGGGTTGGAAAGTTTTTGACAATTGACGGTTTTATCTGGTTTTAACAGTCATGACAAAAAAAATTCTTTTGGCATTGTTTTTGACAGTTGTCAAAAATTTTAATCATGTAAATCGAATGGTATTTTCATAAGCTACCGTCTGACGGTGCACCAAAATAGATTGGGATTGAATTAATTGTGAAAAGGTTGAATAGAACTATGTGAACAGTGTCTTTCTGCATGTTTCGTAGTGAAAATCAACATGGTAAAGGAAAAATCTCAATTTGGAAAAGGGAAAATTAAGCACTTTTTAAAAACACTCAATGAAAAAAGCACCTTTAAGGGCTTTTAAAAAACGAAAATAAGCACCTTTAAGCACTTTTTAAAAACGCTAGGCACCCTGAGTAATAATAAAAATATTAGAAAGAATAAATGACAAAGAAAAAATGACAATATTTGATGATAATTTAATTTTACCCAAAAAAATTAAAATTCACCTGGTAGACTGTCAGCAGGAGCAGCAGGGGGGAAAAAGTTTCGAAGAGCATGGCAACATTTAATACAAGCTTCAACATAGAAATCAGGTACAAAGGAAAAGAGGACACCTGTTTCAGATGCTTGAGATAAAGTTCGAAGCAATATTTGCAACAACCAATAGACATCGGCTTGCCGATCCTAAAAAAATTTAACAATTATACATTAAACTTTTATAAAATTACAATAGCTGAAGTGAAAACATAGTTATATCGTTATAAATAAAATAAAAAGGGATAATTTGCTTCTCTGGGTGTTTTACCACTATTTTTCTGAATTGAATACAAGTTAGATTTTTTCCAAGCAAACAAATGAGCTTTAATTTATATAAAGATTAGTAATCATATTTTATAAAAGTATTTAAAATGATAGCTTTAAATCTAATTACAGGAATAAATAAATAAACCCGCTTATACATATAAAGGAAAAATATAATTTTGCTTCTGAATAACAAAAAAAAAAATAACTAAGGGCTTTTTCCACATCTTGAAAACAAAATGTGCAACAAAAAATAACGAATCACTAAAAAAGCAAAAAATTTTTAGTAGTTCTAAAATAATTCCATAGAAGAGAAAAGAAATCCTTTCTATGGACTTTATTTCTGAGGAACTTAAGTACATAAAAAATTATGATGTGCACATAAGTAGGATTTCTTTTTCTGGGCTGAAGAATATGTAACCAAAAAATAAAGAAAATATAAAAAAGCAACCAAAAGTTATAAACATATCTGTTTCATTGCTATTAAGAAGCCACCTGAGCCAAAACAAACTGATGAAAATCCTTCAACTCACCAATGAACAAAAAAAAAAAAAATTTCATTTCAGTTAAAGTTTCTTAAATGATTATTACCCAAATCTTTTTGATTTATGCACCATTAACATACTAATTCATTGTCTTGACGCTATTGCAAGAGAATTAATCTATAGAATCAAAACAGCTACATGAGTATAGGATTTATACATTACCAATTCTTCATATACCGTATCATCATAATAATAATTACTGACCTCCCTACCATGCTTGATAAGAAAGACTGTGTGCCTGACTTCCTCAGACAATTGTCCCTGGAAATCATCAATAAAATCCCTCCAAACGACATCAAAATATTCTCTGATGGCAGTAAAATGGATAGACAGACTGGCAGTGGGGTATTTATTGAAACACCTCGAGAGAACTACACTCTTCATCAACGAAACCCCGATTTTTGCTCCGTCTTTCGAAGCGAACTAATTGCAATCGACAGCGGACTAGAGAAAATCTTGAGTGAAGGGCACCTTGGAAATACTTGGATACTATCTGACAGCTGTAGTTCATTTCAACACCTCAAAAATTGGGCCCTCATTGGAGATAAAACCAGTTTTTCGATCTTACAAAAAGTAAAGCTTATTTCCCAGAAGCATGAGGTCCACTTTCAATGGATCCCGTCCCACGTCAATATCCACGGCAACGAGTTGGCTGNGCATCCACCTACTCACTATTGGTATAAAGCAAAAAGACCAGGACTCTCCCTATCTCTTCCTGGTGACAGGCAAACCAACACTTGCTTTTCCCGACTGACCAGTGGTTACCTGAAAAGTCACACATTTCCTGCTAATCAAAAGATCTTTCCTCTTTGCCCTAAATGCCAACAAATCCAGGCATCACCTGAGCACATCTTGAACTGTTTAGGGCTGGACTGGAACGACATTCATTCCTCTCCCATTCTGGTTTCGGATTTTCTTAATGTCAACGGATTTATTGATCTGGTCTGACCCCGTCAGACCAGATGGGAATTAGCAACAACAACAACAACAATAATTACTGAAGTTCCTTCAGTTGTTGTCCAATCAGTTTATTCTTTATTAAATAATTCTTAAAATGTCCTTTTTATTTAAATCTCGTTTCTTGCTTTTCTCATTTTAACTTACACAGAAGTGTGTATCACATTTATAAACTGCATAATTAATATTTTTTATGTTTATTTTTTATAAAATATATTTAAGATTGCTTTGTCACTTAATCCATTTTAAATTTAAGTAAAATCTACCCATAAGATTTCATTCTAGAAATACATTTTCGGAAATATGATGTGATTAAATAAATATAAAGAATGCATTTTAAAGATTCATACTGGAAAATAAACTAATCTAAAATTAGCATTGAGTTTAAAAACATAAGCTCACATATTTGTTGATAGGAGACACTACAATAAAAATATTCCCTGTAAAATATAGTAATGATAACAGTCAAATTATTTTTCATAATAATTACTATTGTATAAACTTACAGCTGAATAAACAACAGATGTTATCCATGCTTGGTGACGACCTTGTTCAACTAATTCTTCAAGGAATACATTTTTAGCAAGATTCAATTCTTGTTCGACATCTCCTTTCTGGACTTGAAGTCGCTTTTCAATTTCTTTCAGTGAATGTCTGTATTCATGCATAGTATCACGAAAAGCACACATCTTTACACACAAAAATAAATAAAATTAAAAAAATAGAAAAATATAAATATTTTAAATTTATACTGAATTGCTCCTGAAATATAGAACATTGAAGCAATAAAATTTTACAGAATTACAATTACTACTATGAAGGAATAAAAAATTATAGTTTGGATAGGTTGTTTAATAATAGTTAATTATTTTTTTAATCTATTCAAGAACAGCAACTGAATAAAGTTTTTATAAAAAATGAGAATATAAACTGGCAATAGCGGTAAAAAATCAAGCTAATTTACTTTAAGCTACAATGAAACTATGTTAAATAGATTTTTAAAATAACATATTAATTTTGCTTTTAAGTTTCATAAAGTTGTTTAAAAAAAGCATATAATACAATTCTCAACATTGATTCCACAAACTTTTACTTATAATTATTAATCATCTTCAATCAAGCCTCTCATTGCGAGAAGAAAATTTAAAAAAATATTTTTATATAAGTAGATGATAGGTGATTAACTTTTTGAACAACCATATATAATAGTCTCTACTTTATGTCATTGTAGTTAATGTTATCAACTGCTTATTGTTATCAAAATCACTCAATTCTGATTTCTTCAATTATTTTGTTTGATAAAATTATCACTTTCTGCAATCATTACATAGTATAATGTACCTAATCAGTATTTCTATTTATTTTTTCAAAATCTTTTAATTTACTTTAATTTTTTCTGTGTATTCAAAAAAAAACTTTTTTTTCTTTCTAACCCTAATATTTGAAGTTCTGATAATGCTCTATTTAAAAGGAAATTTGGAGCCCCACTGTTATAAATAATTTATAAAGCTTTAAAAAGAGGGATAAGTAAAATTTAGAGAAACCTTTTCAAGTTGACGATGAGCAGCAATGTGATACAGTCGAATTATACCATCTAGAAGCTCAATAAGTGTCCCAAAATTATCCTTATCACCAGCATGTCGCAAATGTTGAGCTTTTGCTTTATCAGATTTAATAAGTCTTCCTAAAAAAGAAATAAATAATTATACTTAAATAGTTCAATGATAAAAGTACTTTCATAAATATACAATGAATATTCATAAGCACATGAAAATAAAGTGGTCAAGAAAACAGTTTTTTCAGATAAACAAAATAAGACATTTCTTAAAAAAACATAAGCAAGTTCATTAAAATATCTGAAAGTGCATGCACAGTGCAGGTGCATATAGTATCTAAAAAGAAAAGCATTATTGTATTCTTTTCTCTACATTCTGCAAGTTTAAAAATCTTCCCTCAAGAAGTCTAATTTAGACCTAACAAGAACATAAAAAACCGTATAAAACAAGAACCATATATTGAAATATTTAAAGAATAAAATAATTTTGTCTTCTTTTCTTCCAAATTGGCAAAAACAAACAAGGTAACAAGTGAGCAAACGATAGAATTTATTTAAGAGTTTGCATGATAATATTATCCGTTGGTCTCTGAATTTATCCTCAATTTTTCAATCCGATGCAGCTTATGGCCTAAATAAATTTCTGGTAAAACAGATGAAGCCTCAAATTCTTCAAGGCTACATTCAAGTTTTGAACAATTTAAACTATATTGCTGAAAAATTGTAATTAATTTAACTTGAAACTTCAGTTTTTATAATTAAGTTTTTAAAAATTTTCAAAGGGAATGAAATTTCCGCAAACAACCATATACTTTTTTTCCTAACAATTTCAATAAAAACAAATTTTTAAGTCTATGAAAGCATTTATCTTTTAAATCTAAATTATGAACAAGTGGTTACATAATTATACACATTACTGGTTTACATAGGTTTTTCTAACATTAAACTAACTATTACTTGATTAAAAACGCTTCATAAGTATACAAATTCGAAATAAATAGTCAATATGTTTCAAGTGCTCAAAATTACTCATTTTTATAAAATGCTGTTCTGTGAAAGTAAACTTTAATAATAAAATAAAGTGATATTAAAATGAAGAAATTGATTAACACATTGATTGCTGTATGTGTTTACAATGAAATCTACTTCAGGCCACGAGTACTGGTGTATGAAGCATATTCTTCTAAGTACTCCCACCAATATTTTAATAATGCAAGTCTCTGGTGGTCACAGGAATAACATCTTGCTCCGTTTGTTTCCTTGGTATTATGTTTGTTCATTTGTGTCTGTTGCTTCGCATCTGTTTAGCATCTCACTACTTTACACAATCAGTTTGAATTTTTGCAGAGTAAAGAGGTGTTTACCTTAATTTGTAGAAATTTCAAAAAGAAAAATGGAAAACTTATTTCTTACTGAGTCAAATAGCAGTGAACAAAAAAGCTTTTAAAAGGCTCGCAATAACTTTCTTAATAAAAAAATTTTATATTTTTTTTATAACAATTCAATAGTTTTGTTACTTCCTGTGAAATATCCTTTCAAATACATATTAATATCCTTTGCAAGTAGTCAATTCAATGTCATCTTAATAAGGGTGACGCCGCCCGATCAGAAACTTTGCTTTCACCCCAACAGGGGTGATGTGGCAGTCAACATCTTAAAGGAAATCAATTCATGCTCTTACCCACTGATTCAGAGTCTAAAGAAGCTTTCTCTTTGCTTATTTCTTGCAGAACAACATCCTGGTAGACTCTCATCAAGTGCGATTGAAGACCACCAATACGCTGGACTTCTGTGTAGGTTATAGAATTATCATAAAAAGAACTGCCTGGTACGCTAAGACCTGGAAATAACACGCATTTTAATAAATGAAATTTCTGGTACATGCATTGTTGCCATCATGGACTGGAAAATTTTCAGTTAATTTTAAGCAAACTATAGTTCAATTAAAAAAATATTCATCTACATACACACAGAGAATTTCAGGAATCTTTAATTATCAATAATTTATAAAAACTAAATAACAAAGATAACTATAAATTGAATGTGATATTTCCTGTTAGTGATTGATTAAATGAACTTCAATATAAAATTTATAATTAAAAAGTCATAGTTTTAAATAGTGCAATATTATATACATTGAGGTAGCTGAATATATTTAATATATAAGGAATCTCAGGCGTTTTTTATAATCAGAAAAAGAAAACAATTTTTTTTAAAAAACAAGAAAAGAAAAAGAAAACAATATTGCACTAATAATGAAGTCCAAAATTTAAAGAATGAATGAATATTTACCATTTGTAGTTCATAAATACGGACTCGGTAGTAATTTTTTATTGTGTTTATATTATAGTATAGATAGTAGTATATAATATATTTTTAAATAACATATAAGTTAAGTTTCACTATGAGAAAAATTAATACTTTACGGTAGGTCATGAATCATATGTTTTCCGATATAAACAAATTAAACTACATTTTTGAACTAATTTAAAAATATAAAACTTCCCGAAATTTTTTTCGATTAAAAAAGGATAAAAGATTCAAACTAACTAATTTAAAAACGCATTTTCTATCATAAGCTAATTGAAATATAATCATATTAAAACTCTTATGTAAATAATATGCTAAATAAAAAATCTATTTTACATACTTAATACTAAGGAAATTTCTAAAGCTCACAAAAACCAAAAGCATTTTTTATTAAACCAGATGACCAGAGAAATTTTAAAAAATTCCACAAATTTTATATTAGGAAGCAATGGCTGAAGTATGAACTATTCAATCAAATGTATTTTTTATAACAATATTAAATGCCACAAATATACAAAATTTATAATAAAAAAATTAAAAACAGGCCTTAGCTTGGCTAGATTTATATTTTAATAGTTTTCAATATATCACATCTTTTTTTTTATTGCTGAAGAAGTACTATCAATAATTTCAAATAATACCATTTAGATCTATTCCAGATGCAGAAACGCAGATGCGGAGGAGCGAGATGAGACGATGGAAGAAAGCCAGTGCCACTGGCAACGGGCATAGGTGAACAACTGGGACCTAAAAATTTAAACTGGTATATAAAATTTTCTGCTAAAAATAACTGACAGTTGTTAGTTGGAAAAAATGAAATGTTAGCATTTTGAAAAGGAAGGTCAAGTTTCACATAACATAATTACTCGAGCCCCTCCAGAATTTTCCTTCAAAAACTCCCTCAGCTTTGCTAAGAAGATACAACGACTGCACTGGCCCTGCAAAATAAATATTTCAAGTTGTACTCACAATAGGCTCAATAAATATTTAAATTCTTACTTTACAATTACAACTTTGCATACTTCAACATCCTAGCCCTGGTAATAAGATAAATAAGCTCTTAATCTTGAGTGATTGGTAAATGTTTTTCTAATAATATTATTCTAAGTAAAAACTATTAGTTCTTACTTGACTATTAATTTCTGTATTTCATTAAGTAACTTTGAAGGTAGCATAAAATTATATGTTTTATTGACACTTCAAAATATTTTTTATCTCAAATATGTATATTTAAAACTGGGCAAACAAAAGAGTAGCTTCAATAATAGTTAATCAGTCAACATGAAAATAAGTTATTTCAAAATTGTTTACTCTGTCAAAATTCATGAAATTTTTTGAAAAATATTACCAACAGTTTCTTTTAAGAATTATATATATCAACTTTACCTTTATATATATATTAACTGTAAATATTTTGGAAAAATTCCACTTTCTATAAATAAATAAAAAATTATTTTTCAATATACTTTGATAAAGATTCCTAGAGTTGAAAGATATTTTATTTGACAATCATTGGAAACAGGAACTTCTTACAAATGCAGTCCTGTTCTCAAAAGAGACTATCGATTTTGAATTATTAAATGTTTTAAATAATTTTTCATAATTGCTATATCATTACAAATTGTTTGATGGCTAAAATAAGTTCATTTAACTTTTAAAATAAAAACAATTAACTGAAAAAGACTTTTCAGTAACATTTACTGAAACAAAACATCTATGTTTTAACACTCTAAAATATCATTATTTGTTTAAAGTAACTATTTTATAAAAATAAATTAATAAGTTTACAATAAGTAAGCATAAAGTACATTAAAAAGTACTAATTTTTTACTAATAAATAGCATAATAACTAGAAATATCTTACTTGATACACATTAGAAGCATCAAAGAGTTCTAACAAAATTTCTAATTGCACAAGCTCAACCTCTAAAAAAGAAAAGTTATTATATAATAAACTAAACAAAATAATAAAATATATTTGTTCAACTAAAAATACCCTAAGAATCAATGGAATCCAGATGGTGCTTAAAATTCTTAAAAGTTGCTTTTTCAATACCAATATTTATAACAATTTAATTTATACATTGATAATAATTTTAAAAATTATGACTTTACAATGAGCTAAAAAGTAAATAAAGGATAATTCATAATCATTTTATAATGCAATTTATATGAGGGACATTATGAAAGGAAACTTTATCATAATTTTATCAAGTAAACTTCATTACAATAATTGTAAGCTTAACATTTCACTCCAAGTTGTTCAAAAATGCATGCATGAAGTGTTTACATTTTTTCATCTGTTTTATCATGAATCATAGAGTTATCCTGCAACAACAAATGAATTAAAAATTGGGACTAGTAATTGCAATGATTTAAGAATAGATAATAACTCTTCTTCCTTCATTGCTCATATGTCATGTATAAATATTTGTGATCAATATGTCTCATCTGCTTTTTATTTTATCAACACGCAATTTTGATAATCTAAAATAAAGGTTCTTTACACAAAAGAGAAAATCGAATTTTATGTGAGAAAAAATATAAGGAAAAAGCTTTAATAAAATTGTTTTATTGCTCAATAAAGTGCTGCTCTTGTCATCAACACTGTTAGTGATAAGTCTTAAAAGTTGAATAATTTCTATGTGAGAAAGAATATAAGGAAAAAGCTTTAATAAAAATGTGTTATTGCTCAATAAGTGTTGCTCTTGTCATCAACACTGTTAGTGATAAGTCTTAACTGTTGAATAATTTCTATGTCAGAAAGAATATAAGGAAAAAGCTTTAATAAAATTGTTTTATTGCTCAATAAAGTGTTGCTCTTGTCATCAACACTGTTAGTGATAAGTCTTAACTGTAGAATAATTTCTATGTCAGAAATAATATAAGGAAAAAACTTTAATAAAATTGTTTTATTGCTCAATAAAGTGTTGCTCTTGTCATCAACACTGTTAGTGATAAGTCTTAAATGTTGAATAATTTCTATAATCAGATGCAAGTTCAAGCTTTTTTCCTTTCATTTTAAATAGAAAAAAATTAAAAAGTGAACCTATTTTGAAATATTTTCTAAAGCATAATTAATCTTCATAGCTCTTAATTTTAGCGGGATGCTGCAAGTTATCACGGCATCAGCAAATTAATTTCTTCTTTTGAAATGAAAAGATTTTATTTCTTTATTGTCATTTGTAAGTTCATCCATTTTATAAATATCTTTTTATCCCAATTTCTGCATTGGGTCTAATGTAAATATTTATGCATTGAATTTATTTTAAAACATTAACTCTTCTTTTATAACCACTCTCAACTTATATTTTTTAATCAAATGTGTAAAACTGAAAACGAAGGACACAAAGGAAAAACAATACTTGATTATATATAGGCTTTTAAGGTATAGGGATTTATTTAAATATCATTTCATAAAATTTAAATAATTTTAAACTACATAAAGGTTTTGTGAATAATTTTTAAACATTTTATATTTGAAAATTTTGATTTATATCTATGTTAAATTAAGCTAAATTCTTATAATTCCTTGGGATTACNCTTGTCATCAACACTGTTAGTGATAAGTCTTAAATGTTGAATAATTTCTATAATCAGATGCAAGTTCAAGCTTTTTTCCTTTCATTTTAAATAGAAAAAAATTAAAAAGTGAACCTATTTTGAAATATTTTCTAAAGCATAATTAATCTTCATAGCTCTTAATTTTAGCGGGATGCTGCAAGTTATCACGGCATCAGCAAATTAATTTCTTCTTTTGAAATGAAAAGATTTTATTTCTTTATTGTCATTTGTAAGTTCATCCATTTTATAAATATCTTTTTATCCTAATTTCTGCATTGGGTCTAATGTAAATATTTATGCATTTAATTTATTTTAAAACATTAACCCTTTTTTTATAACCACTCTAAACTTTTTTTTTCATCAAAAGTATAAAACTGAAAACATAGGACAAAAAGGAAAAACAATATTTGATTATATATCGGCTTTTGCAGTATAGGGATTTATTTAAATATCATTTTATAAAATTTAAATAATTTTAAACTACATAAAAGTTTTGTGAATAATTTTTAAATATTTTATAATTGAAAATTTTGATTTATATCTATGTTAAATTAAGCTGAATTCTTATAATTATAATATCATTCCTTGGGATTACAGACAAATTTAGGTTTATGAAGACAGCGTATGAAATTAACTCCCATGCTACCAGGTATGTAAACAAATTAATATAAAAGGAACTTCCTCAAGTACTTTTGTAAAGCTAGAATATTTTCAAAAGTGAATTAAGTTTCTTAAAAAATAGTTACCTTTTACAACTAATTTCAGGTGAGTGCAAGATTTTTGATAACAGGCTTTTCTAAATAGTTCATCATCACTCATCTAGTAAGATTCCAAAAGTAAAAAACATAAATAAAAATATAAAACTTTAAAAACAAATACAAGTTACATACAAATTTTTTTATTTACATCTTGTTTAAAATCCAGCCACACTTCAGGTACAACTTCTGCCAATCCAACTTTGTCTAAAGGCTTTACTTCTAATAGTACAGGGAATTTAATTTTATCAAACTTAAAAAAAAATTAAGAAGAATATGTTCTCATATCATTTAGAATTTTATTTCAACAAAAAATAAACAAATAAATGTATTAAATCAGGGAAGAGGAAGAAAAAAAAATTCAGTGACTTTCCCAGATTTATTTTATCAAACTTCCCTGATTTTTGTAACCGTTGGCATAAATTTTATTATTAATTTTTCAGTTATGCCTCATTCTTGCATAGAATTTTTTTTGAAAAACTCACATATTCGATGTTTGAGTTGAAAGCAAAGAACTATTTTTATCTAAAACAATTATAACAAAACAAATAAAGGAAAATAAATTATTATACATTTAGGTACTTCAAACTCAAATTAATTCAGCTTCCCAGACATTAGGCATTTTAAATAAATTTCCCGATATTTTTGGAGTTATTTCATCAAAAATTCCTGATTTTTGTAACCAGAAATCAGAATCAGAAGAATCAGAAATTTTACAACTAATTTTTCAGTTATGCCTTATTTTTACGTAAAGAAAAACACTTATACTCATTTTTAGAGTTGAAAGTAAAGAATTTTTTTTATTTAAAATAATTATCACCGATAATTGAAAATAAATAAGACCGATAATTAAAAATAAATATTGAACTTACTTTTAGGTAATTCAAACTCAATTTTATTCATTTCCCGAGACATTTTTTGATACTTTAATTAAATTTCCTGACATTTTCCTTTATTTCCAGATTGATAAAATTCCTTCATCCATAAAGCAAGCATTTTGACGTCCATTAATTCTCTTTCTTAACTTGATGAGGAAGCTTAATTGGAGATTTTATATTTTCAATGAATTTTTAGCGTAGTTGACACTTCTAAGTGACAATTTATCAAAATCCAAATTATAAAAAATAGATTACAAGATACAGAAAAATTTTTTTAAAAAAAACAACTAATATTTTTATATAAAAAGGATATAATACATTCTGTAACAGGTAATGTTTAGTTGGGGTGTGTTGTAGGAGAGCAAGTGTTAAAGCTAAATATTTCTTTTGTTCATGAAACTCTGGAGTAGCAGGTGCAAATCGATAACCAGTCAATAAAGCAACAACAATGAATTCTAAGCATTGATAAAGTTCATGAGGCTGAAAAAAACAAGAAGATTAATAAACAGCTAATCTTTCATTAAAATTTATTAGAATAAAATTAATTAAATGAAAGATTATAATAAATGAAAAACAAGGACAGAAATTTAAAAAAAACAAAGCACGACATTTTACTTAAAAACTGATTTATCAACAATTTCAAAAGAAATTCCTTTTATTTGTAGAATGTAATAAGCAAGATTAAATGAGTTTGCAGCATTTACATATATGTATATACATCTAGGTGGGCCACATACAAGTTTTCTCCCTACATCAATTAAACATGCATGACCACCACATAACCATATGACACACATTCTTGATCACTAACTCACAGGTGGTTCTGGCCTTTTATGAATAAAGAGACAGGGGCTTAAATAGCCTAGGGAGGCCCCCTCTACAATAATGGTTGTTAGATTTATGTCACCTTTGGCCTATGAAAGGGACATAAGCCAAAATGATAGCCAATGTGACCCATGGAGATTTCTCAGCGATAAGGGTTCGTAAATTTATCTCATCTTAGAATGCAGGAACTCTTGTTTTACACTTTGTTTTTTGGTATTCTAATGAAATATCAGATTACAACATAGAACTGTAAACCTGGTTATTAACACATGCACTCGGCTATACAGTGAAACCTCATTAACACCAATTCAAAGGGACACAGAAAAATTACTCACATTAAAGTGCATACACAGACAATTTGTATTAATTATAACTACCATATATTTTCTAAATACAATTTTTAATGCGCACATACAGAATGATACAGACTTTATTATACGTCTATAAAAACACCTTCCTTTTTCAACGAACATTAGATCATTTTTAATTTCCATACTTCCATGTGAAATACAAATTATTATTTTGTAAGTTACTACCAGATACTTGAAAGAAACAACAAATATTTTCATGTTAAGAAGGTTAGAATCCATATGTATTTGAACAATATATTAATACATTTGGACAATGAATTACACTGGAATGGCAGCTTAATTAAAAAAAAAACTATTAATGTACTAGCTATTATTTCACTGATTAGCCAATTACTCCCTGTTGATTTATCTACTTTCCTATTTGCATCATCTTTAGTCTAGTCAACAAGACTGAAAATAATGTATTTCATTAAAACATTGACCACCATTATATCAGAAGAGTCATATTTATGATGTGATGTAATTAAATTAAATTTTTTTACTAGCTTAACAGAAATTTTATTTTTTGTCAGATTTACAAGCAACAAAATAATACATTTGTTTAATTCATTGATGATATCAATTTATTTTAGCCTCAACATTATACAGTTAACTTCCTTCATAAGGCTTACGGCTCCCTGTCTGAAAATGTTATTTCACCAAAATGACATGACCATCGCAGGTGATGTCAATTACCATGGTTATTACATTCGATTGATGGGCGTTTGGAATACTTTCCCAGTAGTAGGAGTCAAAAAAATTAACGAATTTTAACAACTTTCAATTCACAGAGATCAAAAGCATAGATAATTTCTCAAGAACATATAAAAGTAACTTCAAATAATACTACCTCCATAAGGGCCCACATGATTTCAAGAACAGAAGTAATCCTAGATTTGGAATTCATTGATCCTTGATCTTTCACTTGCAAATCAAAGAGAAATGGCAATAAACATCCTTCAGTAAGGAACGCATTTGCCTGGAAAAGGAAATAAGGGTTTTTAAAAATCTATGATATAATAAAAAAAAAGTCTTTAAAAACCACACTTTATAGGTAATCAAAAAATCAAAGTTTTTGCCACCCCTAAAACAAAAATCATGTGACTCATGAGTTTCATAAAGCATGGAGAAATTTCAGGAGATTAAAGAGGTTAGTTGTCCCAAATTTTTATTAGATAGAACAAGAAAAGAATTACTTTCTCCTTTTAACACCATCTGAAAATGTTGGTTTTTAATTTTTTTTTCTTTTGTTGTTTTTGTTTTTCATTTTAATTTCAAGCCAGTTAATTTCCTTGAATTAGAATGTGATTGAAATTTTGATTGGCCATAAAATTTGCCATTCATAGTTAAGAAACAATGGAGTCTTACATTGTTATCTGGCACAGAATTCAAGTTACTAAGCGAGTACTCTAGCCAGTCAGAAAGTGGTAAAAAAAATTTATTTCAAAATTTGCCTAGTACAAACAAGTGGGTGAAAAAAAAAGTGGTAAAAATTTAAACATATTATTAATAAAATAAAGCTTAAAATACACTAAAACAAGCAAGAAACTATTTTGTATATAAACTTAAGATTTAAAATAATGAAAGCATTAAAATTAAAAAAAATTGGGGGGCAAACAAAATTAGTAACATGAAAATTATGTCATGCATCCTGTTCGAAACTTAGAGAATACTTATGATATTTAATAGAATAAATAAACCATGAATCTTCATAATATTTTATTTATTTATTTTTTTTTAGAAGGAGGCAGAATCAATTAACCCACCGACAGTTCTGCACGTAAAAAGTTGTACTATAACCTTCAGTCTTCTCTGCATAACAAAACTGGTTTTTCCATGTTATTAGATAGGGAAATAGTGTATTGGGAAGAAACATTCGACCAATTTTTTCCTTGATTGAAATTTCTTTTCTGTAAACCCTCTTCCTAATTTATTATTCTAATCGAAACACTTTCTCACACTTTTAAATTCACATCCTGTCTCTTAAATCTATTTTTGGCTCAAGCATGCATTAATTAAAAGCAGGACATATTTCCCTTTGCTTTTGTGGGAATTGCGCGACCTATTTAATAAACCAACTACAGTTATGTACCAAGATTTTCCCTATTCCCTAAAACGAAGCATTTTACGGATTTACATTGCAAGATTTTCCCTAATGTATATTGAGAAGCACAACGATTTCATGACCACTTTTATTGCTGCTCTCTGTCTAATAATTAATAAATACATTTTGTACCCTCCTTCCCTGCCTAAGACTTGCTTTAATCCTTCCACTCGGCAACAATGTTATATATATATATATATATATATATATATAATATGAAAATATACATAGTAAATTACACAAATTAAGAACAAGTTTAATAGTTTAAAAAAAATGAAAGTTAATGATGCTAAGGCAGAAACGTATTTAAAACAGATTCGAGTTAAAAGGCAAAAGTAAAACAATTTTTTTAAAAATTTTTTAAGGAGAGTAGAAACCTTTTTGATAAGAACATTATCACAGTCAACTTATAGAAAACACTTACAAGTAGAGGACTGAGCCTATGCATGAGAGGAGCAGCAACCAGCAAAAGTTGTGATTTACTACCTTGATTGAACTGTGCAGGCCAATTTCTTACAACAAAAACTGGATTTGGATCCTGAAATTTTGAAGAAAAAGTTGTTATAATCAATAGTTTTTCATGGTATTTTATGTAAAAAAATACTTGAATATGTACTATATTTATAAACTAACTTGAATCACAGAATTGTAAATATCAAGCAATTTTTCTAGCCACATCAATAGCCTATTTGTTTGGGCAACTTCTTTCTTAGGATAAGTTTGCAATGGAAGATATCCACAAATAGGATATCTTAAAGGTGTAGAGCCAAAGTTTGCAACGAGATTCTCATTGTAAGCTAAGCTGACAGCAGGGAAATATGCAAGTGCTGGGCCAACCTGAACTTTTTCAAAAGCATCTCCCAGGTAATTACCATTTCTAAGTATAAAACACAGAATAAGACAATGAATTCTAATAAATATTTAAAAAAACTATACATATATTGTGAAACAATGTGAAAAGATTTTACCTGTAAAATCCAATAACTCCTCGATCTAGATCTATTGCACAACCAATGACATCTCCAGTTAGCCATGACTAAAAATGTATAAAATATTAATTAAAAATTATATAATAAGCTTAATTAATATTCAATACAAAATTTAATTAATAAAACATTTCTATAGATTTTTAAGGAAATTTAATAAATTTTACAACTAAATAAAAAACACAGTACAGCTAAATAAAAATTAGCGTAGTAAATTTAAAAACATAAAATCATCTTAAATAGTATTTTAATTAGAAAAATTAGTGTTATTCTCAATATTTTGTTCCCTGATTGTAGTTTAATTTAAATAATTTCAAATTTGCTTATATTTCCTTCAATGCATAGAACAATGAAATAAGCTTTTATTAATTTAATTAAATTAATAAAAATCATTGATATAAAAGTAATTATAGATTCTAAGAAATCTATTCCAGAGTTAAATGTGAATTTTATTCCTCAAGATTGTTATTTATAACATTACATTTAAACACAATAATCAAAACAATTTCTTTATAATAACTAATATATCACTAAAGATGGTGCATAGCAATGACTTTTTAAAAGAACATATGTTGTTTGTTACATTCTAATAACAACAAATATTCCAAAATAACCTATTCCAATTTTTTGAAAGAACAGAATATTTTATTCCAGCTTAACCGAGTAATGCATCTAAAAAAAATTGTATTTAAAAAATAAAATTACAGAAAATTTCCTTTTATCCCCTTTCCCCCAAAAATATGTATTTATATAAAAAATTTTACCTCTCCATATTTATAAGTAGAAACGTTCCACTTCCGTATTCGATGACCATCATATGCATAAGAATGTGGAGTATCTCCAACACCTTTCTAAAATAAAATGAAATAATAAACTATAATGAATAATAAATGAATGAAAAAATGAATAAATTTAATGAAATTGTGTAAATTAAATAGTACAAAATTACTTAACACAATTGCATTAAACTTAATATTCTTTACCCCACACAAAACACGTTTTATTTCTACTTACAATAAAAAAAGAATCTGTATGTTTATACATCTCTGTTTCAATGTCGACAAATGATTGGACCTACAGCTATGAATTTTAACCTAGAGATGGATATTGACATGATTTGTGAATTATTAAACCTGATTTTTGCATATTAATCTGAATTTTTTTTAAAAATTTATAAAATGTAGTTAATACATTTCATCACAAGACAGTCATGTTAATTTTATTAGCGTCATATTAAGTAATTTTAAATGCAATTTTATTAACTATTTTCACTCATCTCTTGAGCTTCAGTTGCAGTAACTCTAATTTCACTCTGCTGAATTTTTTTAAGCTTATTTATTTTGTATATCCTGAGAATTTTGCATTACTTTATGCTAATTTTTTTATTGTTATTCCAAACTAAAAGCATAAATTAACTTCTTCCAATGACCTTTCTTGTTTACTTTCAATAATTTCGTTCTTAGATTTCACTAATTAAACAGCTGAACAGTCCTGTTTACTTCTATTTTTTTTTCTAAAATTAATTACAGGAACTCCAAAGTTTTCACTGTTTTCAGCTTTCCTTTATTTACAGATTATATAACAATCAGAGGACTAGATAACTCAATGATGGACCATGAAGGAACGAGTTGATGGTCAAAGACAGCTGTTTTAAATAAGACTTAACTTTTAACAGTCCAGAATGTAACAGATCATTATAATTATACTTCCCACCAAACATAAATATACTGATTAATTATATCAATTATGATTATATAATTAATTATAATTAAATTAATTTCAAATATAACAGCAATAAGTGTGATTCAAACAATAAAATGATTTTAGCAATCATATGCATGGTATTAGATCCAATAAATGAAAGTGCCATGCTGCTTGCATAGCAGCATTGATTCATTAAGAGTTAACTATTTTAAGCATATTTTGTAAACTATTATCACATTTGCAAACTGCATAAACATTTTTCATTTAAAGTATTTGCTAAGCAGTTGCTGTAGCAAAATATAAATAACTTACTTCTTGTGAAAATTTACAACTGAGAGTAGCCCATCCTATTTGCATGACTCCTTTTGATCCAAGCATCAACTCATATTGCCATTTTCCTGTTAAAAGAATAAAAATAAACAGTGTATTTTGAATAAGTGATGAATACCTACTTTGACAATACTTTTAAATAAACCGTTTCACTTTTTCAACAACATATTGAAGCACAAAAACATTATGTGTTTGTGAAAAATAGTCTTGCACCTGTGAACACAAATAAAAAAAAAAGAATTCATCTCATACTTAATTTAATAAAATCTGTTTTTTAACCATTTGTGCATGAGTGACATATCAATTTTTAATACAGGCTCCACTGAAAAAATAATAATTAAATGTCTCTGTTCTAAAGCCTTTCAGTGACACTGTTGAGCTGGATTTTGAAAATTTGTTTGCTCATTTTCATTCTTTAGGTTGGAAAAATATTTGAATAAAAAAATCCTTTTCAAGTGCTTTTACAAAATTTTTGAGGCTTCAAATTTACTTTTATATAACATAATTCATAGTTCAGAGAAATGTTTACATGACAAAAAAGCGTTTAATTTTTTAAGTTGAAATTATATTTAGGAACTTAAAATAAGATTATCATTTGCTTTCAAAATCGATAAGAAATTGAGTTTTATAGATTTTTAAATGAACTTAAATAACTAAACTGTTATAAGCTTCTTTTAAACACAACTAAGTATAAGAACTTATAAAACAATCTCACACTGGAGTATGTTAAAATAAGACAAAAATAAATATTTACTGGTGCATATGTGTCTTAGCTTTATGGTTAAATTCCTTACATAAGACATTAAAGAGCAAACGATGTTTTGCATGTCGGTTCGTTTAAAGACATAGCCTTGATAGCTAAAGACTTTGACTTACATACATATAAAGTACATTCATATACAGTACATACATATAAAGTACATATATATATACATACATTGTAAATACATATATTTAATGTACATGTGCACATTTATTCATTATATGTACTTAAGGTACATACATAGGTACAATGCAAGTATGTACAAACATTTTTGTACATGCACACACTGATACATTACAAACACATTTTTTGACTATGTGCATAGTTATGTGCATACATACTTATGAACATACAATACACGTACAAATCATATATGTCCATTCATATATTTTATATGTATAAATATCTACATATATCATATGTATAAACAAAGTTCTCACGTACAATGCACATATATCTACACTTATATTATGAATGTACTTGCATATACTTGTATACGTACATACATATATTGCCTTTACATACGTACATACAAAGTAACATGCATGTTTACATGCATATTATATGCAAAGTTACGCATTAATAATGTACATACAAATGACGTTTGTGCATACATACATCTTATATGCATAAGTAAGTACATACGTGCATACAAATATTGTATGAGTTCAAAATATGTCTATGTATGCTCATACATTAATACATTGTATTTATATACACACATTCATTCTACGTACATAAAAATATGTTAACACATACATATACCATGCATACAAACTGAATGCTTGCATTTTTCACTGATTATTCAAGATTTTAATCAAAAAAATTAGTCATGACTAATGATTTATTCATCAATCATGAGTCAAAAATTTGCATATGAATAATCATTCAGAATAAAAAAAAATTATTTAATTAATTGAATTCTCTTCCTGGACTTTTGACTTCGGCAAAACCTTTGGGGTACAGAGAGAGCAATTTTAGACTTTTGTCGTACTCTCTCAATAGAAAAGGTTTTGTTTTAATGACTTTCGGAGCTGGTACCCCCTAAAGACGTCAGCTTCGGTTGTCATATTTATCCATTTTTTTCATATTACATTGTTTCTTTTGTTTCAATTCCCTTCAGATTCTCTGCTGCTTAGCACGTTTTTCCATTGGAAGTATTATTTTTAATTGCTTTTAATTTTTTGAATTATTCTCTTAATACATTCAAAATAGGCTTATTCTGACTAAATTTAGTCATGATTAAAATTTCCGTTAATGCTGCTTCAAGCTAATGCAAAATTACCTTCTGAGAGCTTTGACAGTTTCAAAAATTAATATTGCAAAGAGTATTTGCATTAGCTGAAACAAGATAACCAAGATCATGTTTATTAAGTGTAACCAAAATATCACAAAATGATGATAAGGAATAAACTCACCTTTATATACACAGCAGTTGGCACGAATAGAACTAAAATTACTTTGACTAGAAAGCTAAAAAAAAAAGAAATATTTTATTTTTTAGTTTAATTTAAAATAGCTCAACTATACAAAACCTTATAGTTAACCTAAAAATTTAATAAATTCATGCGCAACAAAATAAAGTTATTAAATAAAATGAATCATTTAATAAAACTAAATGATAAAATAAAACTAAATTATTAAATAAAAACATAAATGGGTACTAATAAAAAGGAATTCTTACTCCGAGTCTATCTCTATCAATTACCAAACTACCCACATTACTTGAAACATCAAATATCACTTTATCTGGTCCAATTACTCCACGATTTTCTGAAAACAGAAAAATGCAATATAATTATATCAATCTCAAAGCAATAAATATGTAAATTTACAAGAAACATTCTTTTTCTATCCTTCTGCAACTCATATGATATAGATCGCCTTAATTTCTTATAGCATGAGTTCTCTTTAATTACTACCACATAAGTTTCAATTGAAAATTAATTTATGAACATAGATTCAAAATAAAAATTTAAAAAAAAAACATTAATAATAAGTATTAACTTTTGAATGCCATTTTCCAGATAAAATTTAAACACAAATTTTTAAAGTTCAAAAAAAAAAATTGGTTTTAGGTAAGCTGGATTGATATGTAAATTAACAAATGTGAATAAAGAACACCAAAAAAATAAGAAAATAAAGAACACATTAAAAAAAAAGAACACAATAAAAAAGTGAATAAAGAACACAATAAAAAAAAAGTCAATACCATTAACAGATGATGAAGATTCTGCAAACTGAACTGCTTTCCGTAATTCTTTTTCAATGAAATCATCGATATTGTCGAGATTGAGACTATCCCTGAAAAAATACGAATGTCATAACTAATTTCAAAGTAATTTTCAAAAGTTTTTTCGTCAGGATATAGATGCATCACATCATTAAACAGATCTTTAAAAAAGAGGCAAGATTATGTAGGTTTTAAAAGAAAATAAACAAGCCCAATCATAGAGCATCCAATTATGAAATTTCCACGAAAAATGGCAACAAAATATCACCATACATAAAAAAAAAACAATTAAAAACTTGTATATTTCTAACTATCTAGTCAAAGCCAGCACTATTTTTCATGATTTTTATAAAGAAAAATATGAATACTATTACTAATTAAACAGTAATTTTCCAAAACTATTCTTTCAGGATTTCAGGAAAGTTATTCTTTCAGGTCACATCTCTTGGAAAATCTTTTAAAAGTAGGGATAAAATAAGGTAGATTTTTTTTAAAAAAATATATAATAAGGTGGTTTTTAAAAGAAGATAAAAAAAAGTCTTATTTCTACCTATGCAATTATGAAATTTCAGTGATAAATTGCACTAAAATACCACTCCAGATAACAAATGTTAAGAGTTTCATATGTTTTTTATATTTTAGTCAGGACCAGTACTATTTTTATTAATAAGCCCATTTTTGAACTTTTCATATTGGCCTTATTCAAGAGAAGACATTTGATATACAGTTGTTATTAATATTAGCAAAATGTAATAGAAAAAAAATCATTTTCTAAATTAAAATTGACTAAAAAATAAACTTAGAAAGTTTGTGGAAAAGGTTGAATTCACTTAGATAATGAATTTGAGAAGGTTGAATTCACTAGATAATGTTACCCAGTGGGTACCGGTGACCCAGTGTCACGGAAGCGAGCAACATTACCCACGCCACACTGCCCCAAATACCTGTTCATAGGGTGGGTCACATTCATACATTCACACATCAGAAGACAACACAGAGAGAGAGAGAAATATCCATGCCCAGAGCGGGATTTGAACCCGCAACCATTGGCTTCGCAGTCAAGCATGCTAACCACCTGGCCGGCTTGTCCAGATACTGGAAGATAGCAGCTTTTTCGAATGTTTAACCACGTCAGTAATGCTTCTTCAACATCCTTGTGGGTTGGAAACATCTGCTTGGTTTGTTTAGGGATGGGAAAGTGAGACAAAAGAAGTAAACAAGAAAAAATGCTTATCGCTACATTCACCTCTATAAGATGGTCTTAAAAATCAGTATATGTATTTATTTTGAAGTAGAAATTTCAAAATTATTACAAAAAAAAAAGTAAGAAAAAAATCAGTTGAAGACCGAAAAAAGTTCACTATATCCAACTTCCTCACTTTTTTGGTTCACTATATCCACAAAAAATAACATTATATGTGTATAGCATGGCACAGGACCAAACATTTCATTCACTATATCCGGAAGTTCACTATAAACCGTGTTCACTATAGCGGGGTTTGGCTGTATGTAACTCCCCAATGCCGAAGTTATCAGCCCATAGACCAAGTAATTAAAAAAAATTATAAATAAGCACATAAATTGAATTAACTTCTCATTCTAACAGTAAAATGGAAAATAAATACTATGCATACATAAGATAATGTTTTGAGGAAGCACTGAGGTTCTTTGCATGTCAAACAAGTTTAATATTTTAAAATGAGGAATAATAGTCACAGTTAAAAATGACAAAAAAATAATAAATTAACAGTATTGATTTTTAAAAACGAAAATTTTTGACAAACAGTGATAATATGTCTTACTAACTGCTTAAGTAAAAAATTCATGGTAATTTGAAATAGAAATTTATAATTCAAAAACCTAAACATATGTTGGATTTTGATTTGAACCTTAATTCACAAATGAAACTAGTACGAAATCTTTTAATGTACGTTAATTTGTAATGCTTTTTTTTTTAAATAATGATATTTCCTTTTAAAATATTATATATAATTTTGTCCACTATGACTTGGTTATGTTTTAGATAATGACTATATGAAACTACATAAATCAATGACTTACAATAAGATATGTCCATGCTCCCCAAATGGTTGAGTGCCACCCCCTCCATAAATTTGCTTTATGAGGCCTTCTGAAAGAAAAATAATGATTTTTGTTATATTATATAATTAAGAAACAAAAAAAGTAAATAATAAAATTTTAATAAGGTTGGAAATTTTTTGAACAAATCAGAATTCAATAGTAATTTGATTATCAAAACATGTGAGAGTAATTTAAAATATGAGTGTGTTAAAGTACAAAGTTGAGTTGACACACTTTTTCTATGAAACAATTTTACATCAACGAAACAATAAACGCAAAATGCTCGTGAATTTAATCGTAGTTATGTCTTCAAGCATAAATAACAAAAACCGAATAAATTGTATGTTATATTGACTATTCGCATGATGAAATGAAACTTAACGGGCATAATGAAATTATTTAAAGAGATGTAAATTATTTCATAAATATAAATGAATTAGAATGATTTTTGAACTGAAACGTTTTTTTAATAAGAAAACAAGCAATGAAACATAAATTACAATTTTGATAAAAATAATGATAATTTAGCACAGAATTGCGAGTACAGTTGTTGCCCCCATTGAATTTTACAGTCTATCACAGCTATAACAAATATTCACATATGACACTATGGAGTGCTTCAAACATAAATATAGCAGAATTGTTAAATTTCGTAAGGCAAAAAACGTTCATTAAACTATACATTTTTCGTTAAATAATATTAAGTTAAAAGATAAAGAACTTTTTCAAATTACACATATAAATTATAATTTAATTTCACACACATAAAGAAAAAAAGATGCAAAACAACAACTGTAAAGATTTTGATAAAGATATAAATATAACCACACTAAGCAATAAGAAAATAGCTCAAAAAAGTCCACCTAAACATAGAGCATCTTCGAATGATTTACGAATACGATCATTAGAAAACATATTACGACAAAGTATTATTGAACATATATAATAATGTTTTTGTTTATCTGTCTGCAAAAACGAGAATAACAACACCGAAACTATAATCTACAGTTGCGGTTACAAAATTATATTTTTTACATGCGTTATTTGAACGCAAATGCTGCTTTAAAGGGGTCAATATCTAAATGTGGCAACTCACATGCGGAAATGGCACGCACTCGCGTCTTTACCAGCCAAGTGTATTGCATTCGAAATACATTGATCTATTTTTAAATGTTGAAACGTTCAAATCCAAGAAAGCATCTTAACTTCTGACACTTTGTCTAGCATTTATGTTTCGCTATCCTTGCTGAATCTCAGTAGCTGAAGCATTCGCTAATCACCTTCGACGAAATCTTCGTATGCAGGTCGCCAGAATGAGGGTGCCATTCTTTCTGCAGAGGGAATCCTAGCGGCATGTCTCCGGATCATCCTCAGGAATGTTTCCCTTCCCACTTCTCCGACTGTCGCCAATAGCCCACTGAGCAGTTCCAAGGCCTGTAGTGGAGTGATAGTAAAGATAGGGTTCCCAATAGAACACCGAAGTCAAGCATCACTGGCTGTGGACAGTAAGTGGGTGGGTGACCACTTTGATCAACCTACATAGGGACCAAGGGTGAGGGGTATCGGTAACGAAACTGCTGACAAAAAGTGCTCGACTTCAAGCACAAGTGATCGGGCTACCAAAGCGGAGGAGCCCCTACATAGGATCAAAAATTGTGATGGCATGTCTTCGAATCAACAACAGGAATATTTCCCAGACCGTCGCCAATAGACCATTATGCAGCTTTATAGTGTGCCGTTAATAAAGTACCTACCTAAGGCTACGTCAGTGATTCTCAACCACTGTGCNAGCCCCTACATAGGATAAAAAATTTTGATGGCATGTCTTCGAATCAACAACAGGAATATTTCCCAGACCGTCGCCAATAGACCATTATGCAGCTTTAGTGTGCCGTTAATAAAGTACCTACCTAAGGCTACGTAAATAAACTACTGTTACTATTACTGTTAAAGAACATTCACACTGGACGCAAAAGAAAAAAAAAATCTCATATGCGAATTTGGAAATGCGAGCGGGAACATGATTCCCAGAATCGTCAATGTAATGACTTTTTTATAGTGCATTTTTATGTGCTTCTGTAAAATATCAATTAAGTAAAACCTGAAGTGTATTACAGTAATGACATTTCGAGAGAAGCAAGAATTGAACCTGGATTTATAAACTGCTGTGCGCGTTAATTGAGAGAAAAAACTGTAAAAACCTTAATAAAAATCAGAAGCTTTTCATGAAAATCGCAACAAACCCAATATTTTTTACAAAGGAATACTCTAAAATATTATATATGTTAAAGTTCTTTTCAAACAAATTTTCTTTCAACGAAAAAAGTCAGAAAACTTTGTCGTACTGCAAAAGTTGATCAATTGGGTATAATATGAAAAAAACACAACTACTTCGATTTAGTAGGAACAACATATGACGCAATGCTAAACGAATGGAGGTCATCGGGCTACCAAAGCGAGGGTGCCATCCCCTCTGCAGAGGATCAAAATTGTGATGGCATGTCTTCGGATCATCCTCCGGGATGTTTCCCAGACCGTCGCCAATAGCCCATTGTGCAGCTCTAGTGCGACGTAAATTAACAACAACAACAATAAACGAATGGAATTTAGTTGTTGTTTATTTAGTTATTGTTATTAGTAGTTGTTGTTATTTGTTTTAGTTGTTGTTGTTTATTTAGTTGTATTTAGTTTCAATAACTTTTCTTTATAATGCAATAAAATCTGGCGAGTGGCTATTTAAACGATCGAACACTTCGTTAGTTTATTTGTGGCTTGAAGTTAGGCTCGCAGAAAATGCCGTTCATGGGTTAAATTTAGTAGGAACAACACAACCTGTGACGTAGGCTATATTATACCCAATTGATAGTATACAGGTGCATGGGCGTCGCAGGGGTCGAGTTTTTGGGAGGGGTGAAATGAAAGTACACTGTCATAATAGCTCTCTAAATTTCACACATAAGAAGAAAAAAAAGTTCTTGCAAAAAAATTATTTTTCTGTTTATCGTTTTTAATTTTGATGAATTTTAATCGATGGTGATTCATAAAAGTTTTCTTAGTCTAAAATATTGAGAAGTGACTTTTAAAGATTTCTAATTATTGAGGGGGACACACACCCAACACCAACGGTGCTCATGCTTAAGGGAATTCTAAAATCATTGGACAACTTGGAGGTGAGGAAGGGCACATCACGATTAAGAAATGCAAAGGACTGAAAATATCATCGTACGCAGCTAGGGATACTCTCCATGAAAATCTAAAGTCTAAGTATCTAAGTAATCTAAGTATCTTTCATGTTTTATTATAATTTTTGTCGAAAACTGCATTCAAATCAAATAATCTTGTCAAATTAGTCTTCAAATAATTCAATTGCGGATAAAAATCGATGAAATGAACTAGTTTAAATGCAATTTTCGACGGTAACTGTTATAAAGCACAAAATTAAAATGAAATTGAGTGGCCAAAGACATTCTAAGCTAATATTTGTAAGATACGTTCTGTTAATTTGTTCTAAAGTTATTACTATTTTAAAAAGCGCTGCATCGTAGGTGCATCCGATCTATAGACTTATTAACACAAATTTATGAAAATTATAATAAGAAATAAGAACACTATGAAGAGACATTCGGGGATTTATAATCATTAATTTCATTTTAATTTATATTAATGAATGAATTCAGATTAAAATTATTTTAATATTAATAAGGAATTAATAATTGCAATGAAAAAACAAAATTTAGGAGTACTAAATTGGAACATTGTATACACTTACCGACTTACCACATGGAACAATTACAAATGAAATTTATCTTAATAATACACAAAATAACTACCTTACAACAAATTATATCCAAAGCTTGGATCCCTTAATGTTAATTTTACTTTTTGCTTATTTTGCCATAACTGGGGAACTTATTAAGGGAATTGAAAAATCTTTGCACACAATTAGGTAAAATTTGTTTATCCAAAAATAATTCCATGCAAAAAGACATATTTTAGTAAATATTTACTATTTTTCATTATTTTATTTAAAGCAGTCTTAAAACGTTTGAATTGTAACGTATATAAATTGTTTCATAATTTTAAAGCATTTAATTTTACATATCGAAATACAAAATTCAAGCAAAATCTGTTGAATAGTTATTGAAATTTAAATATACGACTTTTTTAAAATTCGTTTTCTATTAACCGATTTCTCTCAGATTTAATATTTTGCCAAGTAAAATTAGATATTTTAAAATGACATAAAAAATCATAAACCTTACAATTCAAAACTTTTTCGACAGTTACTATATAAAATAATAAATATTTACTTTATTTTTTGCATGGATTTATCCTTGGATAAACGAGTTTTATAAGTGAGTGCAAAGATTTTTGAATATGCTTTAAAAGTTCTCGAGGTATGGTGAAATAAGCGAAAAATAAAATTAACATTAGGAGGTCCAAGCTTTGGATCGCTTTCCGAACCAAACTGTGGGGACCATATTTCTCAGATTGTGGATACCCCTTATATTTTGAAAAGCAAAAATCCGAATCCTGTGAAAAAAAGGTATATTTATTTAGGTGGGGCAGGTACTTTATTTACGTCGCACTAGAGCAGCACAATGGGCTATGGCGACGGTCTGGGAGGTATCCCTGAGGATGATCTGAAGATACGTCATCGCAATTTTGATCCCCTACTTCGGTAGCCCGACTACCTGCGCGCGAAGTCGGGCACTTTACGGTAGAACAGTTTAACGAGGACCGATACCGTGCACCCTCGGTCCCTAAACAGTCTGATTAATGTGGTCACCCACCCGCTTACTGATCACAGCCGGTGATTTCGGTGTTCTACTGGGAACCGTGTCTTTATTATCAGTCCACTGCGGGACGCATGGTTATTCAGAGAAAGTATGTTTTTGTGTCTGATTTTGTAACTTAAAATATTATATGCACCAATTTATTAGCATGTTTGAGGTCACCCCCTCAAACCATTAAGATAGAGTCACAAAAAGTGAAAATCCGATCATTAGATCAAAAGTAATTCAGAGTGGTCCGTTTCCCCCCTCTTGTCGCATTGTACTACCTTTTTGAATGAAGGGCTGCGTGCCTAAGTGTTCAGACATTTTTACAGCAATTATGACAGTTTTAATGTGAGCATCAATGTTGCAGACCCAATTCTTTTCATCAGTTAAATTAGTAATATATTTGCATAAAATTAAATTCTTTTAAATAAAGATCAATCTAATTTGCTAAAGAATACCAAACAGATACTTTTCAAAATAAAAATGCTCCATAGATTTATTAATAATAAATAGGATAATTCGTTTTCTCAATAGATTTATTAATATATATATATATAATAAATCTATTAAGGTGGGTAAAAAGTGATGTTTTTTTTAATCACATAACAGAAAAGTGCATTTTAAGATAAATTAACTGTAATGTTCTTGGACGAAAGTAAAAAATAGATAAATATTTTATTGATCAACATAAATACAAAATTAAATATTTTAATTAAAGAAATTGTATATGGTCTAAAATGATTTTAGGATCTAAATGATTTTAATGGCTTAAATGAAAAAAGGATCTAAAATGATTTTTATAAAATGATGATTTAAAATAAAACAAAACGCATTATAGCACAAAATAAGATTCAACACTCAGTTGGTATTCAGTTTAACATATTTTTAACTTTAAGACCTTTATATTTAGTGAATTATAAGAGAATTCATGAAAATAAAACGGTTTTTTAATGATTTTTTAAAAGTTGTGATACATTGGGAATAAAGTTCAAAAATCGTAAACAGTTCCAAAAAAAAAAAAAAAAAAAAAAAAAAAAAAAAAAAAAAAAAAANAAAAAAAAAAAAAAAAAAAAAATTAAAATAATCGCATTCGAATTTTGCGTTTCGTAATAATATTGTATTAAAAATATCAAATTAAAAAAAACAAGGGGATTACCTAAAACAAATAATTTAAAAATAACAAGGATCGATGATGAAATCGGGACCAATAAAGCACGACAAGAGCTACGAACCAGGCGTAAAACGCCTGATTCGAAAATCGCAAGTCGTTATAATACCGAATTAAAATTATCAGGATTTTCGAAACTCCATAGAAAAACTTAGCAATGAGTGTTGAAAGAATGATAATATAATTCTTAGATTTGCGGCGAAATCGGCACAAATAAAGCGCACACGATTCGAGTGTCTTATTAGTACATATTAAAAAACATCGGAATTTTCAAAACCATGTTAAAATACATATTGCCGAAAAAACTATAGAAAAATAGCTTAGATTTATAAAATTGACACAAATAAAACACGTCAAAAGTTATTACTATTTGCACGATTCGGAAGTCGCGAGTCGTTATAATATCGTATTAAAAATATCAGAATTTAAAGAAACGCGTGGAAATGCAACTATTACTTCCGAGAACACGATCGAAAAGTTACTTGGATTAACTATGAAATTGGCACAAAAAGTTTATGAAGTTATTACTAAACTTCGAAATTCTTCATAATTTTGTCGTATTAAAAATATTGGAATTTTTAAAACTTTGAAGAATCATAGCGATAACCACAAAAAAAAAAATGCCATCGAAAAATTAAATTGATTACGATTTGGCGTGTCAAAAACTTAAATGCGCGATTAAAAATTTCCGATTTTTTTTTATATTCCAAAAAAATTCTACTTGTTTTTTTTATTGCGTTCAGGTGCTACCGTGGGTTGTCCACTCTTTTCACGTAGTGTATTATATTTGGAACCTGCACCTCCCTAAGTCGCGGGTATGTTATTTACACCGCTGGCAATTTGAACGATTATATGATATAAATTTATCCGCATAAATTTTTAACAAATAAAATTATTTCTAATTTATTACTTCTTATAGTGTCCCATATTCTGGATTCTTAAGTTTAAAATTTTGTTTTAAAGAACAGTTGATTATTTTTCAAATCTAGGCATTCGCTCAGTTGGTTATATTTAACATACCATCAAAATGTGCTCACATAAAATTATATTTATATAATCCATAAACAAGAAATTTTTTTTAATCAACTTTCATTTGAAAAAAAAAAAGAAGAAAGAATTATAAGTGTTGGTGAGTACAGCAAACCAGAGATGGAGTCGCCTTGTCATGTACATGCAATAAAATGTATTAAAAAAAATCTTCATTGAAAAGAGAAAACATTAAAATTTAAATAAATATTTTATTTAAGTATAAAAACAACATTTTGCTTAGTCGGTATAAAATCTACATTAAAAATATTTAAAAATCACGTCGAGAGTGAAAATGGCTACTGTCATGGCTATGTCGATTTCCACTATAGGCACTTCCTCCACCACTTGATTGATGATGGCCGCTGCTAGCACTCCCACGGGAATACACATTGCGTCCCCGCGAGCTATGTCGTCGAGTGTGTCCCTTATCTTTATCCATTTCATGTTCTTCTAGCTTTTGTATTAAAGACAGTTTTTGTGTTATTGCTAGTCTTAGTAAGGCATTTAGTGTCTTCTTTTCTTCTTCTGTAGCTGTGACCTTCCTCTGCAGCTCATCAAGCTGGGTGACATATTCTTCACAACGAGCTGCGAACATAGCCCTCAGTGAGGCAAATGTGGCGGCATCCTCCTTCAAATTTTTAAGATCATTACGAAGCTTCATCATTGTCTCACTCACTATGGCCTTTTCATTCTCATATTTGCTCTTCAAATTAGCAAGAGCTACCTCTGCCGTCTGTTTGTTAGCCTTCAAAACGGTGCGGAGGGTGGCAATTTGTTCTCGTTTGGTAGACAGCAAAGATTGCAATTTGATTACTTTTTCTTGCAAGTCCTCATTTTCAGTCAGGGAAGAATGCTCTTGGGTACCAGTATGTAGGGTTTTTTGCCGGTGGATTTCAATAGTACTTTCGATGGCTTTGCAAAGATGATTCAGCTGGTCACGGATTGTATCTAACAAGCGGTTCCCAGCAGTCATGAAGTCTTTTTTGTTGTCGAATTTATAATCCTCTTCTAATAGAATTTTGATTGCCACATCACTCTTAAGCTTTTCCCTCAATGTGTCCAATTTGCTAGCATTCATGTTGAATATCAAACTGTAGGGCTGATCTTTATTTATTTCTGACAAACCAGAGTCAACTGAATGAGATTCTGTAAAACAAATAGAATAATTTTAAATAAGAATACATAGTTGTAAGAGAAACCTAATCGGTAACAAATAGAGATATCCCAGGTTTTAAAATTTTAGTGGGTTAAATTTTCGGGCGAAAATTTAATCTTTACCATGGCTGGTTCTGGGCTCCCAGCAAAAAATGATTTTGTTACAAGGCATATATGGCAGTACTTTTACTTTCGTTACTTGTACCGTCGGTACAAGNTTTATTTATTTCTGACAAACCAGAGTCAACTGAATGAGATTCTGTAAAACAAATAGAATAATTTTAAATAAGAATATATAGTTGTAAGAGAAACCTAATCGGTAACAAATAGAGATATTCCAGGTTTTAAAATTTTAGTGGGTTTAATTTTCGGGCGAAAATTTAATCTTTAACATGGCTGGTTCTGGGCTCCCAGCAAAAAATGTTCTTTGTTACAAGGCCAGTTTCAGGTACCAGGCAAATTTTTTTATTTTTTACCCGGCCAGTTCGAAGTACCTGGTAAAATTTGGATTTATTACCCAGCTGGGTATTATTACATTTACGCATAACAGTATAAAAATTGTATAATTTTCTATTGAGCAAATATTTTACAAGATATAGTTCAAAGAAATTTATTGTGCCTACATAAATAAAAACAAATGTTTTTATTTTTACTTTTCATTAAAATAAATATCAAAAATTTTTTTTAAAAGAAAGTTGGATTGACTGTTTGGAAGTACAATGATTAATGTACAATTTTGCAATGAAAAGGGAAAATTTGCTGATAGTGTACATCATAGTTCATTAAATTTTCAAAAGCCATTATATTAGTGCAGATTCTACTGAACATAGAATATTTTTAAAATATTTTAACGAAATTATTTTAGATGAAATGAAAAACTATTTTAAATCTCAAGGTTTAATTAAAAATCAACTATAAGTGTAGTTCATAAGCAATTCATAGAAAAAAAATTATTTTTTTTAGAGAAATGGGGAGAAAACTGGTAAAAAAAATTGACCTTGTTTCAAAATTTATTACTGTTTTATAATACTCATAAAAACTCAACTTAGGGAATAGATTATGCATTAGACATTTTATTTATATATATTACAGCAAGCATCAAAATTTGTTTGGCAGAAAAGTGCTGAACATAGTAATTAGTTATTTTTCATTTTAGATGTAAAATATAAAACAATAGTTTAATCATCTAGTTCGCAGTCTGTTCCCTAGACATATGTACAGAAAACCGTCATGAAAAATTTCAAGTAATTTGAACTAAAATACTCTGAGATATTACATATAAAACAAAGAAAAATAACCCAAAAATTAGTTTCGAGAAAAAAGACAAAAGAGGCACAACTATCAACGTTATAACCAAAATAAATGATTTTTTAAATCATCATAACTTTTGTTCGATTTGACGCAGAAACAAACCTCAAACGGCTAAATAAACAGAAAAATATTTTACTAATAATCGGCTTAAAAATGATAGTCAGGTCCCTTAACTTCATTTTTAAAAAGCATTCTAAAAATCACCTGACTAGCTTATCACAGAACAATCTGCATACTTATTATATATTCAAAATTTTTTTAAAAATATCTCAATAAGAAAGAAAGACATTACTTATGATAATAAGCATACCTTTAACATGATCCAACATTATACGATTTGGAGTTTCTCCGTTAACCATGCAGACATGGTGATAGAGTTGAGCAAGCTCCTCTGACACGGCAACCAAATCATCCTATAAACAATACATATTTAGAGTATCTAGTCATAATTTGAATCTAAAGTCAAAAATGCAAAAAACATAAAATTACCTGAATATAATTTAATGAATAGCTAGCTTCTTTAGCAATTTCACCCATAATAAGTAAATCTCCTTCCAGTTCCTTGATTTTGTTGGTATAAGTTCGAACCTAGTAGACACATAACATAAAACAATATTAATACAGATTAAGATAAAGAATGCAAATTACTTCTTTTAATATCAAATTAAAGAATAATCTATTTTTTTAATTAAAATAATATAAGTAAAGTACTTTTTATTTTATTATTTATGAAGATCATTTTAACTGAATAAAAAAATAGAGATAAAAATTTTATTGCTAAAGTAATCTAGTTGTATTGAACATCTTTTGCCACATGTGCTATTTTATACGTGATTGTTAGGTGGAATAAAGTTATATGAATATGAGAGCTGTATCTCAGAGTAATATAAGATCTGTTGAATGCCCTCTCAAAAAGCAGTGTTCAGTTTGGCAATGATTATTCAAAACTTGCAAAAAGATACAAAGCCTTGCTAAGAGCTGTTACAATTTGAAAAAACAAACAAACATAGGATATGAATAACATCTGATAATAAACTGTATTAAAGTGCATGTTAACAAAAATTTTAATGTTAAATTAATAAAAACTGAAACAAGAGTTTGTATGTTCATACTGAGGTTGAGAAAATTTCCTACAATGATATATTCAAGTAATTTTTTCCCCAAGATATAGTTAACAAGTTCTGCACCTGGATGACTTTGATAATATCTTAATTATTATAGATGAAATTACATGCTGAAAACTGAAAACAATATGAGCATAATATATTAATTTCTCAAAGTAATATAGTTAGAATATTAAATTCAGTAACAGTACTCGTATTTATTAACACATTTTGCAACACTTTAGAATACTATACAATATATTACTGAGCAGTTATGGTATGTTTAATGTTAAATTCAGCTTATTATGATGTTAAAGTATTCCTTCTAAAATATCAAAACTTTATTTTAAAAAGTAATTCAGTTTTCTGTTAAGAAAGAAGAAATTTTTTTTTTTTCAAAATAAATTTTAAGTTTCGTGCGAAAAATAAATTTCCTACTTCTCCCTTGAGACAAGTAAATCCTGTAAGTAAAATCATAACAGAAAAAGAATATTCAAATAACCTTGATTTTGAGATCAGAAATTTCAGCTCTCAACTTCATATTGACTTCTTCGTCATTTTCGTTGATGATAGCTCCCTGCTGCTGCAAACCTTTCACATCATTCTGTAGTTGCTCCACCTGTTGTACTGCAAGTTGATACCTTTGTTCGTGTTTTGTTAGAAGGCTCTTCAATCGAGACAGTTCAGGGATATCCTAAAAAACATAATACAAATAATATTATAACACAAATAATATTATAATACAAATACTTTTATAATAATCATAATATAATATTCTATAATATCTTAAAAACACAATAACTTGTTTTTATCAATTATAAATTACTCTGTAACTTTTCAAAGTTCTTTGTTTTGAATTTAAAAATATAGTTTAATTTAAGAAATAGTCAAATTTACATAAAGATATGTTCTAGTATATAATGTATGTATGCATGTATCTGGACTAAAAAACCAAATGCATGGTTTTTATATAATTAGATATTTCATAATCAAAAGTTTTCTTACTACTTGCTATTTTTTGATAACATATAACTGCACTTCTTAACTCCCCCCCCTACAAGCTCTGAAAGTTTTTGTATATTATGCAAACTATAATTCGTTTTTGAAAAAAATAAAAAAATATATATATGATTTTTTTGAATACCTGAATCTAGAATACAGTTCTGAATGTAAATAAGTTTTGAATGTAGGTATGAAAAGCACAAGAACCAAAATCAGAAATATAGTGTCAAATGTAAGCAAAATCACCTACTCTAGATAAGCAGATCAAATTGCATTATATACTAAGTTTAACGAAGAAAGAAATTAAAGGAAATATCACAAGGTCACCTAATTATTACAGAATCTATGTTTACTTGAGAAAGGCAAGCTATGCCTCAATATGCATTAATGAAATATTTACCAAAAGAAAAAAAAATTAATATGTGAAAATAAAATAAAAAACAAATATTGAAAAATATATAATAACTTATGATCACATAATGCATGTTTCAAATTAACACATACACTTGAATTTAAAATTGGTACATTATTAGGGACTATTTTTTAAATGCTTAATATTTAGATTAATAAAATTTCCATTTTATTTTTTAATTTAACATTTAAATATAAACAAACTGTTAACTCTACCTTTTCAGGTTCATCACTGCAGCTAACTTCTTCAATTTCCTCAGGTTTTCCATGTAAGACGATAAGTGTGTTGATATGCTCAAACATTTTGTGAACTCTGCTATTTTGATTATTAAGTTCTGCCTTCGTTTTTTCTAATTGTTGCTGAGCTTCTTGGAGACGAGAAGATACTTTGGCTTTCTCATTTTCAGACTTAAAATAAATTTTTCATTTAGTTAAAGAAGTTATAAAAAAATCAAATTAAAAAAAAAATCTGAATAAAATAACTGTGAAACATAAATTATTACTATTTTTTTATGTCCATAAATAATTTAAATAGTTTCTTTTTTGTTATTGATATCGCAAAAAAATACAATGAAAAATGTTACAAACATCATATCATTATTCTAATCTTTTTAGACGTATATAGGAAAATATAATTTAAAACTTCTCATAAAAAATATGCAATTGGTTTATTTTGTATAAAGAATAAAATTATAAAAATAAAACAAATACCAATTAGATAATCTTTTCACAGATGCAAAGATAATGCATAAAACAACAAAATAATATGCACAAGAAATTGATTATATAATTAGTAACAACTGAGCTTGGAAAGTATATCACTGTTTTTAAAAGTGATAAAATGAAAAAAAAAAATAACTGAAATTTAAACACATTGAAAGATATTGTTCAATTACAAGACAACTTTGTATTCCAATTTAGTAACTTGGACAATTTACTTGGCTGATTACAGAATTAATTCTTGAAAAAAGTATTCGTTCTAAAATGAAATGCCTACTTCCAATAAAAACTAATAAAGGTGGCCCAACTGTGAGAAAGTATGGCTCATAGTTTCAATGTAATTTTTATGCCCGTTGTACCAAAAAAATGTGATTTATTTTAAAACTTATTTTATTAAAATACTTAATTTTATTTAGAATTAGGCTCTTTTTTCAATTCTATATATTATGCAATACTATTATATTCATCACTTGTTTTAAAAGCATAATTGAAAACTAAAATAGTTCTTATGAGTTACAATGAAATTCAATGGACTTCTTTTTTCCCATTTAATGGATTGAACATTATCATTACAGTCAGTTCTCATCAGGCACGGATTAAGCGTACGTGGGGCCCTAGGCCATTCAAATTTTTGGGGCCCTTAAATTAAATTTTTTTCCCGTAGGGTGACCCGGGGTAATTCACGATCACTCTGCTTCTGGGGTAAATAATGATCACCTAAGTTTTATTTTAAAAAAATTATTATTTTTTAAATTTGAGACATGGACAAGAATGCTTGTACACTTTACTAAAGTATAACTACATTTACTTAATAATAATTTTTTGTTTAATCTAACAAAATAAGTATCTTTTAAACTGCTTTCTGCATTTTCCATTTTAAAGATGGGTTTCAAAATGTGCATATTTTTGCAAAGATCCCCCTCATTTTGAGTTACTTTCTTTTTCTTTGATATAAAAGTAGTGTAAGCTTTTGTTTAATTGCTTCACATCAACTGTAAACTTTATAATTGATTATAGGAAACCACATCAAATGTTGCCTCCTACAGATGGGGTAATTATTGATCACTGGGGTAATTCCTGATCATTGTCATTNATTAAATTAGAACTAAAAAATAATCATAACATTTTGAAAAATCATTGTTTTTCTTAATTTTTTGAAATTTATTTTCAAAAAATCCATTTTAAGGGGGCCCCAGGCCATGGCCTAGTCTGGCCTAATGGGTAATCCGGCCCTGGTTCTCATACAGAATATTATTGGTTGCATATTTAAATAAGCAGGCTATTCCATTATAAGGGAAGTGCACTAGTGAATCTCAAATGATATGCTTTCATGAAATTTTACTTAATAGTTTTACATAATACAAGTTTGCAAAACAGAGTACAATGTTTCGAAGGAATATATATATATTTTTTAATGATCAATGAACATTTAAAATTAGAGCTGTTTATGCTAGCAACATAAAATATAAACAATATTTAATTTTCTGTAAAAATAAATCAATGCTAATGTTAAATATAGTATACAACTTATCATTAGCATTAGGATATAAATCACATTGTACTTTAATGTGATTTATTTTCTTTCAGAAAAATCAGCAATTGAATACTGTTTTAACACACATTTAACAAAAAAAATCTTCGATTTCTTTTCTATATTTAAAATAGTCTGTGAGTGAAGTGTGTCAAAAGAGGATAAAAAATCTATTATGTAACTGCTAACAAGATTTGATTAACTTTAAAACTTTGACATTTGCTCGGAGCAGAAAGTGGATAGGACTCCCCCATTGAAGTGGCAATGGGGGAGTCCTATCCACTTCCCACTATCATTATATTAACATTTTCCTAATTGAACAAAACAAAAATTCCATGCTAGCCAATGATACATTTCTAAAAAAAATCCTCTTTTTTATGCAACTAAGCAAGGATTTGAAACCATAATTAACGATTTAAATAGAGAAATTTAATTTTGGTTTTATACAAAATAATTTGGTGCTACAAATTTTTAGTTAATAAGCATGTCATTTGATTATTCAATAAGTAATTAAGTGGAGACGGCTATATAATCTGTTTTAAGGTATTATTTAACACTAAAATACAATGAAGTTCAAGCCTTGACACCAACAATCACTTCTAATAGTTAGATACTGGTAATAACCCATAAAGAAATCTCCCTACACCTTGAAGTTAAAGACTTAAGCAATTTTAAGAAATAGTATTCTCTGAAAAATGTCCGATAGGACTAAAATATTCAGAATTAAAAGCACCAACGGTACTAGAAAATGTTGCTGAATTTAAAAATAATTTCATAGAAGTAAATAAAAATGAACCAAATGAAAACCTTTCTACACTTGTCTGTTATTTATTTCAAAAACTTGCATGTCTAGATACACTTGTATGAATGTATAGAATGTATGACATAATAGTTAATAAATGAATTTAGAATAATGCTTTTAAATGAAAATTTTTAGACAAATAATATACATTATACTACGAAAACATCAATGCAATCAGATAAGAAAAAGATAGCTGCTAAAATAAAAGATAACTAATAATTTTAACTTCAAGTACAGTTGTATCCTAAACATATATGAAAGTTCCTTTAAATTTATATTTACAAAATGTATACTACATAAAGTTAGTAAATATTAAAATGAATAAAGTAAAAAAACATAAATTATAGTTATTATCCTGATGCTTATAGCCTAATAATGCTTATAACTGACTTAATTTTATGCACAAAATATTATCAGAGTATAACACAGAAAATAATTTTATGCTTTCAAATTTAAAAACAGATTTCAATTAATAATAGTCACTTACCACTTCTAACTGTTTTTCTAGCTTACGAATTTCAGACAAATGAAGTTCACTAAATAAGTCACCGACTGTTGAAGTTTGAGGCTTTGCTCCATTGTCTTCTAAAATTTAGGTTAAAAAGATTTTAAAAAATAAAATTTTAGGGACAAATATATTTTGATATTCTAAGCACATTGTGATATCTGTCATGAAAAAAAAAGGGTAATTTGTTTGCATAATGATTCAAAAAAAGAAGTTAAAAAATAATTGAGAGAAACAAAAAGCTTAACAATGTCTGAACTAAAATTATATTCGCACAACTAAATTTATTATTAAATGTATATTATAATAATTAAAAAAATTATTATTAAATAAATATTAAGTTTTATGAGAAAACTTGAAAAACAGTTGCATGTTAAAAACATGCTATCCTTGGATCTAGTTACATGTGAAAATAATTATAATAAATTTTTAATTTATAATAAATTATTTAATTTACAATAATTTAAAAATGAGAATTTTAAATAATATATTTCATTTTTACTTGTGGAAGTCATAATAAAAGAAATATAATCTGCACAGAATTATATATTTTTTGTCTTGAAGAATTTATAATACACAGTAAAATTTACTAAATTTTGTTGAGAGATTGAAAACTCACTTTCAGATGTGCTGGATAACGATAAAGATGTTAATGTTGTATTATTGTCTGCATCATCTTCAGATGGATCACCATCTTCTTGATTTAAACCTACAAGACGATAATTTAAGTTAGTTTTGTATTTGTAAGATAATTTTGTATCATTAAATATTGCCAAAATGAATGCTATTTCTATATTAACAAACCATACAAAAAATAATTATTTGTGAATGACATAGCCAAACATGAGATAAAATAACTTAAAATAAGAAAAACAATGAAAAAAAAGAGAAGAAAAATATGACAACCGAAGCTGACATCGTCACGGGGTACCAGCCCTGGAAGTCATAAAAGCAAAACCTTTTCTATCGAGAGAGCACAACAAATGTCTAAGATGCGCTCTCTGTACCCCAAGACCCATTAGATGTATTCATTAGACATTTGTCTTTAAAAATTCCATTAGATCCATTAGACTATGTCCAAAAATCCATTAGACAATGTCTTTAAAGTTAAAATATGGAAACGCTCAAGAGCAATAAATAAGACAATACACTGAACTGCTATAATGCACTAAACATTTATCGCAGCACAAATCATGGACTCCTGATTACACAAAACTATAAATGAAGTCTGACAGCTAAAAACGCAAAGGAAAGAAAGATAACTATACACTAAATGTAAATTACAACACAACTCATAGACACCCTGATTACTCGGAACTATAAGCAAAGTCTGACAGTTAAAAACACAGAGGAAAGAAAGATAACTCTACACTAAATGTAAATTACAACACAACTTATAGACACCCTGATTACACAGAATTATAAGCAAAGTCTGACAGCTAAAAACACACATGAATTATGGTACTTCAAAATATCGGGAAGAATGCTTATTTAAATACAAACTAGTACTGAAGTTGGAGGGGGGGGGGAGTTGAAGGAGAAGGCCATTCCTTCAAATATTTGGTTTGTAATCGTACAATTAAAAAAAGAAAAAGGTTAAAGTTGATATTTAAATTGCACATACTAGAATTTAATGAGAGCAAATTCTTTATACCAAGTTGTATTAGTTAATTTTAGGTGGTTTATATATTTTTTTTAAATATAAAACTCTATTTTACATATTACCTAATCAGGTAAGGAAGGAAAAGGAAACCAATCTAAGAGCAAATAGTAATTTTCCAGACATTAGAAAATGAAAGGCTAATGAAGCTCAATTCTTCTCTATAAAGACAAATTTAAAGTAACAAGTAGGAAAATTGTTAAAATTCTAGTTTTTAGAGACCAGTTGATTAGTTTAAATAAACTCCTGAATGTGGTTTGAGAACTACTGTGCATGGTCCCCCTTAGAAAAAGAAAGAAACTGGCAAAATATTTTATTACAGGTTTATCTAATCAGTAAATTTAAAGATGCAACCTTCTTTTAGGTATGGTTTGCACTTTTTTATTATAAGCTTTACATAAAAAAAATTTTGTTTAAAAAAAAAAACTATAGTGCTTTACTTCCTGCTCATTATTGAAACATAAGAGCACGAGTCTACAAAAAATCATGATTCCCCAAGTCATAGTTTTGACAAAATTGAATAATTGAGTTATACAACACAAAACAAATCTTTAACTTTGACATATAAAATAGCTACAAAGCTGAAGCTCTACGCTCGTCATCTGAAGCACGAATTTCCTGGAGGCGATTTTGGGTTAAAAAATGCTGGTCAAGGTGAAACTATAATAGAGACTATAAACCCTTTTTAAAATATGTAAGTTTGTTTTCGAAAATCATGGCATTCTCAATATTTTTTTTTACTGCACTCAAAGCAATTGCAATTTAATTAATTTTTTCTAGTAGATTAATCCCCAAGTGTACCAAGTATTAATCTCTGAATGAAATTCTCTAGAAATTTTTATGTTGCTCACTACTTTCCTATTGGACAGCCAAAGCAAATAGGTTTTCTGATGCAGGAAAAAGTCAGAACTAATGATCAGAGTGTTGAGAATGTAGTAAACAAAATTTGGATGAAAATGGTCATTTACCTTTCAGTTAAGATTTTCACCTAAAAAGTACCTCTGGTAAATAAAGGGCTATTATTAAAAAAAAAGTCCTCAAAATCAAAAAATTAATTAAATTTTATTGTTTTAAAAATTAATTTGTATATTTTATGCAGTGAAGTGTAATATATTTAAAATTTAATGATTTTGGACTATAATGAGCAAATTTGAAATTTATGAGTGTTCTATTGTCAGTAAACCCAGTACTGAATCAAACACTATTTGAAATTTAATTAAGTGATTTAAATCTTAGAAGACAACTATAAGGAATCCAAAGAGTTTTGAAAAAAATATGCAAGGAAAGTTGAAATACTTTGAGTTTCTCAAAAAATAAATTTGATATTTTTTTTTCCTTCAAAAAAAATTTTTTTTTTCAAAACAAGTTTTAGATTTTTTTCCCTTTAATTTGGATTTGATAAGTCAAAAAATTTATTGGATGTCGCAGAAAATTGAGAAAAATGTTTTTAGGGCAGCCAAGTAAACACAGTTTCAAATTTAAAAAAAAAAAAAAATATTAAACGGCTTTTCAACTTAAAGTGGATACTATAGAGTTTTCTTGCTGATTTTAAGATAAACTGTTTCAAAACAAGTTGCCCAATCATGGTTTTGGTCAACTGAAGTAAAGGCTTTTTAAACCTTTAAATTTAAAAGTTTAAAAAAAAAATTATAAAAATTTAAAATGCCAGTTTATATTTAAAATCACCTCTGTTTTCCTAGTGTTAAAATGGAGTAAGAGTATCTCTTTTTTTCATAGTAAAGTGTGGTTATATATCTCTTTTATTTAATAAATTGCTATATTAATAACTACTTTATAATGTAATAAAAGCAGAAGTTAGAAATTACGAATGATTTTTTGATAAGAAATTAAATATATATATATATATATGAATTTCAAAGTTTACCTATATTTTAGAAATTCTTCTGCAAATTCTTATTGATTCTCTAGAAAACTTTTGCGCCCCCAAAAAGTCTCCAGTACCACTAAAGGGCGGTAGTGCCCACGCTATAGAAGCCTTAAGTCCAGATCAATTCATATAACTAATACATTTTGCATATTTTTCTTTTCTGCTTAAAGTATTTTTGTACCTTCCCACATATTGTTAAAATTTTAACTTGTTTTGTTCGTTTTCTTATTTTTGTGTAGGAAAAAAAATAATGATTGATTGGATTGCTTTGAGTAGAATTAGTATGAATAAGTCCTCAAAACTAAAAAGTCATATTTTTGTATGTTCTGACTGAATTCAATGCAACAACCTTTTCTCATCTAATGCACTTAGTTTAGATGAAAATAAAAGATTGTTTGATTGCATACTTTTTTTAAAGAGATTTTCGATACAGGGATAGCTGAATAACTTTATTTTAAGGATTGAAACATACTTATATATAATTTACACAATTACTGTAAAAAAATATTAACATTAAACATTAAGTTGACTGGTATTTTCATTTGATTTTTAGAAAATGCTAAGAGTTAAGTTTGATTAAAATGTTTTAATTGAAAATCAAATTTATTTAGAATGAAAAAATGGCACATTTCAACTACTTTTAGGGATGAGTGGCAATTTTTTTTTAGTGGGATTTAACTGGAGATTATGTTCGTGTCCAAGTCATGTTTTTAGTATTTTTGAGTTATCAGATCATGTATGATTCAAAATGCTGTATTAAAAGACTAAAAATTTTTCGGACGGAAAGTTTTATTATTATTTTTTTAATTTTGGTTTTTGTAAACATAGACGGTAATTATAATCACCATCTATGTTTACAAAAGCTGCAGCCAAACTTAAAAAAATCTTTTCACAATCACACTATAGTATAGATAATTTGAATCAAAATAAGGCAAAACTTGCACTATTTAAACTCTTTTTATCTGAAAGCATCTACTGTCAAAAGTTGAAAATTTTAATTGCTTCCTAAACAGAGAGTATAGTAAAGAGGAAACTATAGAGTGTAATATGCCTAAAATTGAAAGCAGGTGGCACATTAACAATTTAAAACTAATACGTTACAGAACATTTGTATGTGCAGCATTAAATCCCTTGATGCAATAAATAAATATTGTAATTTGATTTTATTTATACCATGCTATTTTTCATCAGAAAACTTCGATTTTTTAAAATTTGTAATATAAATATTAGATTTCGTGAGTAAAAACATATAATAGAATGAAAATGGAATCATGGAAAAGTTTGACAAAGAGGTGGGATTTTATAAAAAAATTGTTATAGATGTTAGAATTATTTAAATCGAATCTCAATAACAGATTACTGCTATTGACAAGTCTAAGACTGGCTATTTTCCTGGTACAATATAGAAATTTTCAAGGTTTTTTGTAAAAGATAGCAACTTTCCCTGACTATTCCCTGCTTTTAAGAGTTAAAATGAAATTCCCTGACAATTCCAGGTTTTCCCAGTTCTCCCTGACCCGTGGGAAACCTGCACCCAAAAAATAGTGATTTAATAATTACCTTGAAGCTTTTGCTATATAAAACGACCCATTGTTAATGGAAAAATTTTGAAAGAATAAAAAGTGGCGATACTGGAATCACCTCTCCCTTTCGGCCTTTTCAATGGACATTTAAGTCACATTGCATCAATGGAATTGCAAAGGGGGCTTCATTTATCAGCTATTATCAATGGAAGAGTCACTGAAAGGACTGTATTACCACCGCTATGATGTATGTTAAAATTATGTGCGGAGCACCAATTCGAATACAATCAGAAAACTAATTTCTTCAGATCATTAGGTTTTCTAGTGAAAACTTGGTGCCATTTGTAAAATGTTTTATCAATTTGAAATCAAAAATTCGGGCGGAAGCAAAGGACCAAAGAAATGAGTTTCTGAACTGTGTTTGAAAAGTAGTTTTCTTTTATTGTATCTTAAAAGTCATGCAAATTACATGAAATTACATGATTAAAAAAAGTGTACTTTGTTCTTATTTTGTCTATTGTTGTGTTCATACATGAAAATTTATTTCTCTATTTCCTTTTAAATGTACACAAATAATCTTATGCATATCTTAACCTTAACTTAAAATAAAACATTGAAGAGCAAGAAACAATATTTCC